TGGGGATGCCGCGCAGAGGTTTGAGTGCAGACCGCACTCCATTTCAGTGAGTGCGGTCCCACACTCCCTTCAGAGAAGGGAGTGTTGGAGTGTGTGTGCGAAGGGGGGTGGAGTGTGATTATCACTCCCCGGCCATGTGGCTGCAGGTACAAGATAAACATTTTTTATGAACCGCCAATGATAAACCCCACTTGTGATTGCAGATATTGATTGTTCAGAGTAATGAAATTGTTGGATTAGTCAATCCTGTATTGTAATAATTTTATGCTTATATCTAGTTATACTTATAACAAGCCTCCCAGTGTTACTTTTACTTTGCTACCGGACATCTACTCAACTCTTCCTCTTCAATATATATTTTCTCACCATTTTGAACCTCAAGTGAGCCTCAACTTCAGTTGCTCTTTCAGTCCCTGGTGTCCCTCAACAGAAATCACTGACATCATTCCTCAATTTGTAAGTAACTTGCTTGTTATTCAAGCTTTTGATCCAAAAATCTTGAATCTAGAAAATGAATAAGAGTATTGTTATGTTAAATTAGTACATTCCTTTTTATCATGGCAAAATTGCTCTAATTAAAACAAATTCCAGAAGCCATTTGAGTGCAGCACATGCCCACTGGCTTTACTAAGTATGTCACACAGAAACCTTTTGATCAGATCTTTCTACTACAAGATACTCCAAGGCTTTACTCTAGATTGGGAGTGGCACACACATGTGGATCTAAACCTGCTATCAAGAGGGGGCTGTCTGTGGGTGGCTCTAGGTTTTGTACCCCATGGGTGGGTGGGCATTTCACAACAAATGGGGATGCTGCCCCTGTCATGAAGCTGTACCAGACAACAGAGCAGATTCTAGAACCTGAAATCTTGCCTGAGAGATGTTGAGGTGTCTAATAGTTTTCTCCCATGATGTATCACAATCTATTGAACCATGAGCACTACCAACCAACCACCCTGGTAGTGACCTGTAGCCTAGTTTGTGAAGGCAGCATTCAAGTATGTGTCTCAGCATTTCTGAGGCTGCAAGTTTGAATCTCACAAGGCACAGCTCCATTTTTACAGTCTACAGGAAGTGGCATTTCCATCTTTGACAGCTCTTCAGAATGTTAGCCTTGGGATGCAGGACACAGCTTGGTGTTTGCCTAATAAATAGCTCTTTCTTATGTCCCTCTGACATGGTCCAATAGCCCAAACGCTTAAATAGTTGAATAACCTAAAGACTACAGTAGTAATACTTTCAAGTTTTCACAAGACAACCCGTTCAAACCCCCGTCTTGGAATTAGGATCCAATCATTGGCATCCACCAGCTTATCACCATGCGTCTCACTTCCCCCCTGATACTCTGGAATTATTTCAGCCCATTGATGATACTAGCAGCATATCCAGCAGAGGAACTTGGGATGCATAACAACCCAGAATGCACTGGTAGAGTATACTTGTTTGATACATCTAATCTATGTGAAAACAAGTGTCGTGCATTTGTGAGGACCTATGGTCGTGCTTGCTGGGGATGCTCTGAGAGACGCTATGAGCTAGCAGACAATTGTTGTGAATGTCAATGCCCAGTGCTTGACCGCACATGGCATTCCTCAAGCTGTGAAGACCCTGTTAGCAGAATCATAACTGTTATAGAAAGATTGCCACCATGCAACAACTGCAAACGACCTTTTGAGATTGAACGCCAGAAGATGCAATGCGAGAATTGTCATGCTATCAACAACAAGATGACCAGTTGGCAGTCACTGTGCAATAGATGTGCTGGGCCTCAATGAGAAAATGGATAAGAGTGGAGAAGGCTGAACATTCACATTTCAAAACAAAGCCCAAGAAATTGGCTTGAATGTTTCACCAGTAAGCCACAGCTTCTCAAGTTACATAGACCAGTTCTTCAATTGTTGAAAGTTCAATCAGAGTGACAAAATCTGGTTATGTGAAGTGATTCAATTGCCATGAAGAATTGTTCAACAACCAAAAAAAAGAAGGGGGGGAAACGGAATGAAAGAGAAAGAAGAAAGAAGCAAGAAGAAAAAAAGAATCAAATAAAGATAAAAGTTACAACTTAAAGCCAAAAAAGAAAATTAGAATCAAAAAGAGAAAAAAAGGTGAAAAAAAATTAAAAGGGTAAAAGAAAGGTGAAAAAAAGTGAGAAAAGGAAAAAAAGTGAAAAAAAACAAGTGAAAAGAGGTGAAAAAAAGTGAAAAAAAGTGAAAAAAAAAATTGGAAAAAAAAGTGAAAAAATAAAAATAAAAGAAAGGGGGCAGGAATGGTGGGCTTCTTTTTTTGCTCAACAGCAAAAGTGAGTTTTAGCCAGTCAATCAATCAACTGGAAGTTGAGGGCACTTGACTGAAAAAGGGATAGTTGTTGAGATCTGATCTCAATCCCTCCAGTGGAGGACTTCCCGTCGCGATTTAGAGCGCTTTTTAGACCTCTCTCAGTCTTAAATTAAGAAAGCAATTGAGATTCCAACCAGCTCATGTGAGAGCTGTTTCTGGAAGGCTTCAGAAAAAAGATTTTTTTTGATAAAAAATTTAGATCTAGGGGGTGTAAAACAACTTCTGGGAGGGTCGTAGATTGCGACGGGAAGTCATCCAGTGCTCTAGTAGCCTGTTTTCTGAAAAGCCGATGATTGCCTAATCTCAGTCGACTTTGCAATGACATCATAATCATTGGATGTCTTCCCGTCGCGGTTTACAACCCTTCCAGAATTGAATTTACACCCCCAAGATCTTAATTTTTGGTGTAAAAAAATTTTTTTTTTGCAAGCCTGGTGATGATACCTCTCACATGAGCTGGTTGGAATCATGATTGGAGTGTTAATTTTAGACTGGGGAGGGCTTAAAAAGCACTCTAAATGGCGACGGGAAGTCCTCCATTGAGTGAACTCTTCACTCTCATATATAAGCTTCCCTATTCTTATCAATCTCGCGATTCTCTTTTCCCATGACTCCTGAAACCATCATTGCTGTTTCTCATTAGACCAAACTACTATTCTTCCCTCTAGTCTTGGAATCATCACTGTTACTGTTGTCTATTACTTATAAAGACAAGTAACCATTCCTCTTCCATAAAAAACTCTCGTCGTCTTCAACTCAACCATATTATCCATTCGCTCGACTCTCATCTTCATCGACTCGACTCGACCACAACTCTTACTCGCTCGTCTCTGGTTGATTTTGACTCAATCGTCTCGTTTCCCTTCCATTTGACACTCCGCCGATACTCTGAAATCCTTGAATCTCCTTCACATCACAGTAGGTTATCACTCTGCTTTCCGCTCAGGTCGATGCTATGATATAGACATTAACATCTCTTCCTTTCTAGTCTTTCTTCCTTATTCTTCTTCTTCTCCTCTTTGTTGCGTCCCTTGTGTTGTTGTTCCTGCCTTAAGGTACTTTTTCTTTTTTCTTAGCCTTAGCATCTTTCTTTATGTATTTCCTTGTCTTTCTTACTGACCCTGAAATACATCCTTAAGTTTGACACTTAACAATAGTCACCAACAACTTCAGGAGAAGAAATCTGTACAATCATGCAGTTGAAGGGATTGCTGCACAGGGCTAGTCACATTTACAAAGCATGAATTGGAAAGACACACTGAGATGATGAAATTTTGAAATACAACATTTAACTACAGCATGGATGAAGGGGAGAGTTCCAGTCCTTTGACAAATATAAGAAAGGAAAAGCTGATACATATGGTACAACAGTAGATATCCATGTTTACAAAATGTGAAGCACAGATTTAAGTACTGTGAGCGAGGTGTAATTTTATCTTGGACGTGCACAAGGTACTCAAACCGTCTAAAAACATTGGTCATCTGCTTCTATTCGACTATTTGATCAACCTGTGGAGTAAAATGCACTTTGAATGGGGGTCTGATCTGAAAAATGAAGAATTATTAAACAAGAGGGACCACTGACTTGATCCAAATCCTTTAAGCATTCGCCGATAACCTTCACAACCTCTTTGACTTCCTCTGGTCCGATTATCAAGGGTGGTGCCAACCTGATGATATTTGAATGCGTTGGCTTGGCCAGAACACCTCGTGATTTCATTAACAAACAAAGCTCCCAAGCTCCCCTTTTCTTAGGAGATAAACTCGGATCAATGACAATTGCGTTTAATAAACCTTTCCCTCGGACGATTTGAATATATCCCGTTGGACTATTTTCTGATGGTCGAATTGATTTCAATTCCTGTTGGCAAATGAAGCAAGATCTAGATAAGAAAAATGAAATTTCCCTTGTGAAAGTTTCAGATGGATGGATAGCACTGACCTGTAAGCCACTTCTCATCAGTTTTCCCATTTCTTCTGCTCTCTCGGACAGATTTTCTTCGATCAAGACATTCAATGCCGCAACTGCCACTGCACACCCTAAGGGATTCCCACCGAACGTAGAGCCATGTTCTCCGGGCTTAATGACTTCCATAATATGCTCATCCGCTAACACCGCTGAGACTGGATAAAATCCACCGGATAAAGCTTTGCCTAAAGTTGTAATATCTGCTCGAACATTTGAATGCTGCTGGCACAGCCTGGAAGTAAAAACACGCAATCCAATTCCAGCTTCAATCCAAAGCTTCCACTTGTTCTCTAGCGTCGCGACTTCTATTCTTAGAGATTCAGATAAAAACTCACAATTTTCCCGTTCGACCAAGTCCAGTCTGTACTTCATCTAATATCAATAAAACATTGTGTAGTGTACATAACGCTTTGACTTTCGGGAGATAGTCATCGTCTGGGACGACCACCCTGGAATAGACAAACGGATAGGCGGAATTCCAATCAGTAAGTTTATCCCGTCGGAATGGCCGGCTCTGCGATCTTGTTTACTGCTTACCCAGCTTCACCTTGGATAGGCTCGAGTAACAACGCGGCTGTATTCTTTCCGTGCGCTTCTAGGGCTCGCTCAATATCATTGAAGTTACTATTTCATAATCCACACATGTTAGCCATGGATCAAGGTCCTCTTGTGATTATTATGGAAGCTCACTCACTTGTATCTCAATAATCTTTGTTCATCATTTTCCGGGGCACTAACTGGGCAGCTTGAGCCAATACCTCGTAAGAATGGCCCGAATGAATTTCGAGAATCTGGATCAGTGCTAGATGCATCGGCAAAGTTTGAACACATTGTGAGCTCTAAGATCCATATTAACTTTATTAAAATATATTTCTGATCAGGCTAGCAAGACATCACTTTTTCTCATTAATGCTCACTGACCTCATTCCAATCACACCCAAGGTTCGCCCATGAAAATTGCCCTCAACACTTATGATTATTGCTTGGCCGTCCGGTACCCCCTCTGCAGAAATGAGTGAAATAATATAGCCGTAACAAAAAAGCGGAGTTAGGCGTTGATAATGTCTTGAACAGGCCATACCAACTAGAAAAATTACCAACTTTTGGTGTAAGCCCACTTTCGGGCTAGCTTTAGTGCAGTCTCGACGGCTTCGACCCCTGTGTTCATAGGTAAAGCTCTCTGATAACCAAATGTGGAGCAAAGTTTGGCGAGATATGGTCCTAGCGCAGAATTGTGAAAGGCTCTTGAGGAGAGTGTCAGCCGACTCGATTGATCGATCAACGCTTTCAAGATCTTTGGATGACAGTGGCCTTGGTTGACGGCTGAATAAGCTGAGAGACAATCTATGTATTGTTTCCCTTCTGGATCCCATACTTTACATCCTTCAGCTCGATCGAAGACAACCGGAAGGGGATGATAGCTATTCAAATTTCAACATTCTTATAAGCACCGGTCACCTCGGGAAAGGAATACAGATCAGGAACAAGCGCAAATAAACTAGGGCTTAACTTGTGGGCCCCATACTGATGTTCCAAATCGATGAGAACTTGGCTCGTGAAGGGTTTGCCATCTGAAAGGTTATTTTGATTAGTGACTAGGCTGACGCCGGGCGACATATTGATCGTTTCTTCGGATGCGATGGACTGGTGGAGTTTTCTGCTGAAGTGGCAGTGATGATTGATTAGTTTTCCTCTTGGGTAAAGAGCTGCACAAAAGCTGCTGTTGCGCCAGACGTTTGGACGCTCGGGACACCTCACTCTTTGATTTTTGACCTCACGAGTACTTCGTGCTGATGCCTTCACAAGAGAATACGGCCTAGACCAAAAACTCAATTCGAGCAGGTGATTTGGATCTGTGAGAAAATGATTGACAACCCAAGGTAGGTCAAATGGTCAGCTGCAGGTGTTGAAAGCTATTTCGGTTCTACATACCAAGTTTCCTCAAGTATTGCTTCGTTGCACCGCAGTTGTGTTTTTTAGATCAGAGCATGGTCACGAGCGTTGGCAACACGGCAGCTATTTATGGACCCGTCACCCGACCCTAAGGTATGACGTAATAGCCATCGGCCAGCCCTGGACAGCACAGCATTCGAATTTCCGCCAAACGACCCAATTATCCCGTGGTCCCCTCGCTTCATGGGGGGTGGCGTCGGGCGACGTCACAAAATCAATCGCATTGCACATGATCACCCACCGGCACCTTTGAGTTGTGCATTACCTAGCACGCCTTGATGGAGTCCAGAGGTTTACTTCTGAGTAGGCTTCTAGTTTATTTTCTAAAAATAACCCTTCTCATGTTGATGTTCATGATTGGAATGGATTGTTTCTGTTTCTATCTCCTCTATGCAAGAGATGTCTTCTGGATACTAACAGCTCTACATGGATGGATGAAGTCACTTTTTTTGTGTGATGAACATTCACAGAAAAGATTGTCAACAGAGGTGATTTTAATTTTTAATCATCAACGTGAATGGTTGTTGTTATTTATGTCTTTGAAAATTGTAAACTTGTAAAGATTCTTCATATATTGTTACCATTAATCAAGCTTGTGGAATATTTCAATGAAACCTGGACTCGAATGATAAAAATTGGCTGCAAATTTTCCAACAGCGCCAAGTACGAAAGAAATTTGTAAATTAACAAAAAACCAGCTTTCATACTTTAAAGTGATTAGTACATACGTACTTCATACATCAAAATTTAGTGACTTGATGATCATGAATAAACTTCAGTTTGTTGTGAATTATTCCCTTTATCATCCTTTGGCTTCATTCAGATTTCTTGATTCCATGAGGCATCCAAATCAAGGAATGTTAGTGCTGTCAAGGAGGATCAGCAAAAGTCACAATTATGGGTTCACTGCTACATAAACACCACATGTTTTGTAAACTTCCAAAGAAGATTCATAATTTTTTCCAACCTCCTCTTGAAAGCCACAAAAGGCCTAAAAGCTGTTGCTCTTCTACCCTCAGGTTTCCAATTGGAAATTATTGGAAGTGCCTTACTATGCTATCATTTTTTTTTCAACATCAAAAGGGCCATTGGTGATTTATAAACTGGAATGTTGAACTTGTCTGGTCAAAGTTTGAGTGGGAACATATTACCCAAGGTAGCAAGAAGTCCAACTGGATTAGAAAGTTTTTGTTCCTTGTGGAACTTGAAGGATGGTAAAGATGGAAACTTTGGAAGCTTCCATGAGGATAGTTCAGGAACTACTGATGTTGGTCTACTCATGGTAACACTTATTAAAACCAACCTCTGATGATGACCCAGAAAATTGTTCATGCTTTCAACTTAGACTCAAAAGTTCACAATCAAACCTTACTAAAAATCGTGCATAAGCAGTGAACGTTTTCCAACCATCAGCATGGATCTTAGACCAACATGAACTGCCCTATCTGAGACATCTTTCGTTCTCTTCTTCAGTCATTTTACTGATTATGTATCACATCAATAGTGAATTAATTCGGATAAGGATTTTCTCTAAAAAAGATTAAGATGTTTGAACTGAAATTACTGCGCTACTGATAAAAATTCCAAAGCCAAAAATGGCAGTCATCTGCTGATGAATGAAAGCACCCCTAGTCTACCACCAGAAATTGATCCTTCAGATTGACAAGGAAAATGATTGTCTTGGAAAAACAAAATGGTGCATGCTCATTATCTTGATACAAGGCTGCTGGTCAAAAGGCACGTCATTACAGAATATGAATCTTCAACTATTACTCTGAGCTTTATAGAGGAGCTACAAGATCGACATCTTCACGTAACCGCCGATTCACACCATTTTCCTTTTTTTTTAGATGTGAGGATGCTAGACTTGTTCTCGCATTTTCAACATTTTTACAAGTCGGCCGCGATGACCTGTGAATAAGAGTTGAATTTCAAGGGTCGTTGTGCCGAAGTGATTTGATGATATTGATGTCACTTTTTATTTGACCCAGAGGTAAAAGATCTCGACCGGATGTGAATTGAAGAGTATGTCTCATAACCGGCTCGCTTGCATTCTCGTTCTGCATGTCGATACCGTGTCCAGGCGGAAAGTGGTTGACGACTTGTTGATCACTGATCTTTTCATTCTCCGCGAAGCTGAAACACGACAATTTCCGCACTCTTGGGGAAGAACTAGAGCGGGGTGAAGAGCTCCATCGGGGGCAAAGCTTTCTCCAAATTCTACTCCCCAGTGATTTGATTTCACCCGTGAAGGTGGCCTTTGCGAGAGATGATTGTGGCGTCTCGGTAAGAAACCCTCCATAAGGACGTAAGTTTACCACGTCGCTTTCGGTAGATGTGCGTGTTAACTCTGTTTGAAGCCTGTTGCCTTTGGCGGACGACTTTCGTATTGTAGCTGCCGAACGCGCGTTGGTCGCATCCTCGGAGGCTGAATGGGGCACTAAGGCTACACAGCAAGTCATCTGGGGGAAATATAGATGTGTTTCCGATTAGATAAGAGTGATCGATGGTATTGCTCTCGCTAATTAAGTGATCTGAACTCACAAATGCCAAGACGCTACCTGGTACTGACCAAGCCCAACCGGTCCACTCGAAAGTAATAGTGGCAACTCGGGTGGGTGAGGTACGGTTGGGTACGCCAAATGCATCGAAAGCTACCATCATGATTGGGGAGGTACGAAGGTTAGTAGAATGTACCGACAGCGTGTAATACTATTGCTTACCAAGACAAGCAGTCAACACGACAAATGACAGGAAAATCACACTGGAGCAGGAAGACTGCCACAGGAGGGCTGTGCGATAACGAGAAGACATTTTGGCCTTTCTTTCCAATTCTGCATTTTCACCGCAAGAATCTGGGCAGTCCCAAAATTCCAACAGTTCTGACTGATCTTGAGACTGGGTCCAAATGGTAGCCTTTAACTTCTTGATCGATTTGACGATGGCACCATACATTGTGCGCGATTGGATTGATTCAGAGGCGTCATCGGAAGTTATGTCATCTTCGACTGATCTCACCCCAACACTTGCCATTCTTGCAAATCGCCGACGAGCTTGAGTGAGGATTTGCACTTGGACCGTTAAGGTTGAATAAAGCCTAGCCGACGCGTAAATAAAAAGGGTAAAAAGGCTGAGACAATAACATAAGTATATCCCACAAGCGAACCTCCACCGACGATTCACTTGGAACATCATTGGCCGCAGAGTGTCTAAGGTGCTTTTGAACTCGTTCACCAGAAAAGGGGGTAAGGCATCATCCAGAAGTAGGTCTTCTTCTTGAGCATTGAAGAGTTTCACATTCGAGTTTAGAATGAAGAAGTCTCTGCCTAATGTGTCCGCGTCCTTGGTCATTGAGAGAGTGATGGGTAAAGTGGCTACTGGAAAACTGATGTACAGCAGCACTACCAACATGTTGAACAAAGATGGCGGCAACCCGTTGCTTAAAAAACTCGTACCACGTGGTGTCAGTTGAACCGGTACTATTGGGATAACAGATAGAGTCCTCCAGACTGTAGATACATATAAAGAGAAAATTGGTTGTGTCAATATTATTAAATTTGAACGGTTTCTGGTGCAGTCTTCAGACTTCAATGGAAAAAAGAGACCAGCCAAACCCGACCCCCGGATTGAAGAAAGTAAAGGGGGGAACAGAGGCGATAGCGGAAAAAAAGGCTTACCCCTGGTGGCAGCACAATAGAACAAAAAGTTGTAAGATATCATCTGCGTTATCATCGTAGGCCGACTGAGGTATCGGCCGTTATCTCGATTCATCAATATGATGGAACACAAAACCACTTGAACATTATGAGGCGGAGAAGAAATTTTCAGCGCTCATGAAAGGTTCCCAAAAAAAAGAAAAATTCGCTCGATAATTGGGTAGCTCAAGAAGCAGAGGGAAAAAACCAACAAGAGCTGTTTATAAGTGCAAACAGAGGGACTAAAACCTCAAGATTCGGATTCAGGTAGCCGTTTCTATTCCTTTCGATCAGCCAATAATTTCGAATGGTGACGTTTTTGATGAGACTGATGAGATAGAAAACACCCATGAGGACCATCAAGGTGGAAATGATCCAAAATCTGATCCGAGTAGTTGAACTGAGTTCCAGGCCAGCGTTGGAGCTTATAAAACTCTCGATCTTGTAAAATTCCTCAACGCTCATTGAATCGGTCGTGGAATTGCTGATGGTTTGATTTAGTGCGACGCGGATTGAGGTTGGCTTGGAAACCATCTTTTCGTCGATCCAGTAGTGGGTTATTCTCGTCTATAACCAGCTTCAACTTCGTCAAGATTTCGGATTTCACAAAGCCCTTTGCTACTGGTGTTCTTGGCTCACGAAGGATTGACAAATAAGATAAATGAATAAAAATAATTAGGAAGCTTCTCGATAATTCAACTTGGAGGCAGGAGGTACGGAAAAGAAATCAGAATAGAGCGAATGTAACTACTACGAGGTGTGACAAATCCTCACACTCTAAGGGAGCAGTAGAGTTGATGGATTTTTTTGGGTTTCAATTTGGATAAAGCGTTTGTGCGCACTTTTATCGGTATGAATCTATCTTTTGGCACATACTTTCTTGTCAATGAAGAACTGACTCGAGCAATTTGAAAATTCACAAGTTTAAAAAAAGTAGAAAGTATGTAGGCTATGTAGAGGAAGGAAACTTGGATGCGATATTCATCAGCCCTAAAGAGACGGTGACTTGGTTGATAAAGAAGGATCCGAAAGAGGATAACCGCCGCATATAGCTCTGCATTGATGCTGATCGCTGACAATTCTTCCAATCAAGAGGGGCTTCATTTCATTTCATTTTATCGCCCTCAAATGTTTGGGACCTTTCAATTTAAAGTTGTTAATACACGGAGACAAATATTGTTTTCACTTGCTCCATTTATACATCGCCTTACGCAAAAGAAATACCGCAAGAAGGGAATTAGGCATAGTCGCCGATGAAAAGAGAACCAGCTATAAGGATCCAATCGGCTTCAGTACTCCTTCACTGATCGGTCGGAGGGAAGATTCACAATGACATGTTGACCCATCAAAAAAAAGCTTAATGTTCCACGAAGTGGTTCGACGGCATAGAATTCAACGATCCTGTTGTAAAGACGGTACATAGATGCAGCCTCAACACTAAAACGATTGAAGGTTAGGATTCGAGGTTATAATGAAGCATGCTCAGTCGGCTTCCGCGCTCTTAAGGGGTTTCACCAATGGGCACATGTCAGTTAATTTTGGCTCCATGCAGTACTCGACTGAGCGCACAGTATGTGCTTCCATGATATAATGTTCAACCTGATGCTTGTTGTCGATGTCGCCTTATTGTTGCTCTATTAGAAATTGACCTTGGATATGGACGAACGCTTTCAAAGTTTCAATGTCTTGCTTACGAGAAATAATCCATGAGGGATAATTCCTGTTATTTTGCAATCATTAGGGCAGATGGCTATGGTCAATTTCTTTGAGTTTGTAGCCATCTGTTTTGCTTAAAGCTAAGCTTGCAATTTGTTAAGATATGCATTCAGGCTACAATTCAAACATCATGCACAAATACGAGAATAAAGATGTTCCAAAAAATGATAAATGATTCTTGTTGATATCCAAAACTCTCATGCAAGAACTCCTGATAAGTCATGAGTCCCTCTGGGAAAGCCTGAGGCAACAGTAGGGACTTGGTCACTATCATCTATCCAATTTTTTAATACTTCCTTGGTCACATTTTGTATTTTTCAAGATGAGGATTCAGATATTAAGGTAGGAGTTATGTGAGATGCAGCCTCAAGTGGTAGAACATGACACCCAACTCTCCCCCAACCATAGAAAAGTAGAAGAGTCAAATCTACCATCTGAATTGGTGACGATTTCCATGAAGATGAGATCAATGTCGCATCTTCTGCAGTGCAATTCAAGTGGAATTAGATGTCATTGAGTTTAGTAGGACATAGCTGAGTGAACTCTCAACAACAATTGCATTTCTTCATTTTCAATTCCCCTCAGGCTCAATTGATGACACCTTATTATGTTTTTATTTTTTTGTATTTTGTTCAATTTTTCTTATGAACAGCAAACACAGCCAAGACTCACTTTTCATGAATGAAAAAACAAAGGATAATACTACTTATTTTTGCGACTGCTACGACCGCAGATGATCAGAGGTAGATACTGGTGCCAACCAAAGCATTGGTACTCGAGTAGTGTTGCAAAACAAGACTAGAACGGTCCTATTTTTCTACTTTTGGCCAGGTCTGACGGCGATCTTGAGGCACTGGCGACTGGCCATCTTGTCCAAGGCCTGTTGATACTCTTCGATTTTAAAGATATCCTGTTTCACATCATCAAATTTAAATCAGCAAAAAAATTAAGTCTGATTCTGACAGCAAGGCAGCTCACAGTCACCATCCCCTCGGTACGAATCCTCCCCGAATCACTAGTGATATTTCACGAGGCAAGTTCGCTTTGGGTGAGCAACAGTTTTATTGAGTAAAAAGAAGAGAGCAAAACTTTGAAGACTAACAGGTATGCAACAGCTCGCGGGAAGCAGTTTCTGCAAGAAAGGAAAAATGCATGAGTCAGCCTCAAGGTTGTTGATGCACCAAAAGATTGGCCTACGTTTGAGAAAATGATCCAATGATGTTGATTTCATCGGAGAAAATCTTGGTTGGTGACCAAGAGACTCGCGCAGCATTATCGTAAACGCCGTAGACAAGCCTAGAAATGCATGCGCCAAAAGTCAGCAGCCAACCTAAGGAGTAAGCCATGTTGAACTGATTTGATAGGGAGATTTAAAAGGCTGACAGAGTGCCACCACGGCGGACGTAGTTGATACTGTCATTGACAATCGACTCCACGCCGGTAGCCTCGACCACCACATCAAATCCATGTGGGTTATCTTTCTTCAATTGCGCCCATTGATTCGCAGCATCGGCCCGATCCAAATCGATGTATTCACTGCGCCATAAAGACTAGGTGTTAATTGGAGCAAAATATTTGCTTGAAATCAGGGTAATCAAGCTATAACGCAAGCTTACTCTGCCGCCTGGATCTTGCGCGCAATATCCTGCAAGAGTGCAAGCAAGTATCAGAGTGAGAAATTCCCGATGATGATTGATCTGAGAAGGATTGGGACTTGCCATCTTCATGCCTTTGTTAGCAGCTAAAACGACACGCTGTGCCCCGTTCAATTTGAGGAGTTGGGCGAGGATGAGCCCGGTTGGTCCGGCGCCGATCAAGAGGCACTCGCTTCCGGGCTTGGGACGGATCTTGTCGAGCCCATGAACGGCACACGAGGCAGGCTCGACCAAGGTGGCTTGCTCGTCGGTCAGGTTCTTGATCGGGAATACCTTGGCGGCGTGGAACTTTGCATATTCGGCAAAACCGCCGTTGAGAGTCACCCCATGGGCTTCGAAACCTGTCCAAAGAAGATGACCATCAGCCCCAAAATTCCAACTTCGTGAGGACTTGGATGGGGGAAAAATTTGAATAGTCTGCTTACTCTCACAAAACCTGGTAGTCCAAACGGTAAAAGTGGAAAGAAATGTACAGTTGGTCAATCAAGGAGCATCTTCACATTTGAGAAGAGGAAAGAAGTTTTGAAGGGAAGGAGCACAAACAGGGAAGTACCACGTTGGCAGTAGAAGCACTTGCCGCAGGTTTCGCCGACATCGCAAACCACACGATCGCCGATCGAGACACTGTGAACTTTTGAACCGGCTTGTACGATCGTCCCGATGACCCTGATGAAGAAAAAAGGAAAGAGAGCCGAGAGTAAGGAGATCGGTTGAGGATCGCACATGTGCTCGTTTGACTCAACTCATGTCCCGGGATTAATGGAAACTTGGAAATGAATTCTCCCTCGTGAATGTGCCTGCAAGTTTGGGGTACATAGGGAATGAGGTTTTGGGAATTGGGTTAATTTGGTTAGAATGACGTCATCCAGTATGAAATGGGACAGATGATGATGATCGAAGAAAGAAGAAAGCCTACTGGTCGGTTCCACATACTCCGCACATTGACACTGAAATAAGGCCATCCATCAAATCAACATCAGTTTCGATTCAGGCCATGGCGAAGGAAGACGGAAGGCAAGGTTGCAGGAGGGCAAGGTGAAAGAATTGAAGCGAGCTCATCACGGCCAGCATGGATGGCTGGACAGATGAGATTGGGGAACAGATTTGACGACCCAAAATTTGATAGACTGGAGAGGATAGTAGGCTGGCACCCATCGGTCACCAATCATGATTACAGAGCAAATTCTATGCATCACATTTTTAAGTCATACATCTATATGGCTAAGCCTGAGGGGAAAGGATTGAAGATGGTCTGGGAAGCGTGAAGACCAGGGAAAATACCTTTGAGCAAAACCTCATTTTCATCGATCGATGGGAGGTCAGCCTGGATGACTGAAAAGTGACGAGCCTTCTCGTAGTAGAGCGCGGTCATCTTCGAGGGCATCACTGCGGCGGCGGCCATCTTGGGTGGATGATTGATTGGTGTGAGTGAGAAGATTGGGTGGAAGGGGGTCGATTGCTTTTTTTTTTAGAATGAGAAGTGCTTGGAGTTAGTATTTAATTTGGTTGTGGATTTGTTTTTTTATTTTTATTTTTTGGAGTTGGAGTTGGAGGGAGAAGCAAGGCTTGGTGGATGGGATTATGAATATCAGCAGATAGACGAGAGCCTCTTTAATGGAATCTTATCAGCCAACCTTGTAGTTTGAGTATATATATCTGATTCTGGAGTCTCCAATCTGTAGCTTATAATTAGGGAGTTCCGGATCGATTGATGGCAATTGGCAGAGAGAGAGAGAGAGAGAGGGAGAGAGAGCAGAGCTGGATGACGGAAATGGTCGGGGGATCACGAGGCTGGCAGCCTCTTTAATCTTACTAGCAGCTCAGCGGAGATGCTGTACAGGAAATTAATACTTGGTATGCTAGCAGGTTAATTTTACCGGAACTCTGGGCCTCACGATCAGAGCAGGGGGGACCAGAATCCGCCACTCCAGTGCTGAAATCCTGATGATATCCACCCGGCTGGTAAGCTATGTATTCTCAACCGCCTGTGAGTCTAATTCAACCCCAAGAAGAGGAATATAAGGCTCTGGTTTTGATATAATTGCTTGCACGAAAAAAAAAAAAAAAAGCAGGCACACAGTTGAGCGTTCAAGGGGAACATTGATGATGGGCATATATCCCCCAATATTGGCCCCGACTGACTCCAGTCATCATCGATTCAAGCTTCACCAAGGTTCACCCTCCAGTGCCTTTTTAGACTTACAAGGATATCAACCTGCTGCACACTCTCCTCATCTGAGTTATCCAGCCCCTCCATCGACTGCAGCCTGTCCCGGCCTCTGCCATCCTGTTTTTTTAGCAGCACGCTTGCGGTTTGAGTAGTCCATCGAGCATCCTCCGCTCGCACGCGGTGATACTCGGCGATAAAATTCATAAACAGGCCTTCGTCCGGCATCTTGTATGATCGATTGAGCGTGCCCAACAAGTCCAACAATAGGTTAGACTCCAAAACAACGGCTACATCTCCTCCGGCAGACTCGCAAGTTTGAAGCTCATCGGCCAGCTGTATCCTTCCAACAGTACCCACTCTCGCTCTGCTTGACTCATGACGACATTCCCCCTTCCACACCACCGGTCAATCACCTGAGCACTACTCATCATGTCCTCCATAAGAGTCATCTGTATCCCTATATAGGGCAAACCGTCACGTGAATAAAAAAAACAGAGCTTATATTCCCCCTTTCTTTCAAGCCTCACTATGAAGGCCACAGGCGAATAAAAAAAATTGGGCATATATCACAAACCCGACTTGCATCCTGGGCTGTCGGAGGGAAGCAAGTCCTTTCTTGAACGCTTTAGGATACTGGATAATGGACAAGAAGACATGATGCGAGACTGGCAGTGCACAGTCAAATTATTATTCTCGAATATATTTTATATCAACGCTAAAAAATGTGGTCAAGCACTTGTCCAAAAATAGAGACTAAAGCCACAACCAATCCTTTTCTACGAGAGACTCGCCCTGCAGCATCCGGGGTACATACCGATTTGCGGTGCTTCAGGCCGACCGCAACTCAACAAGTCTCTCCTTGCCTGAGGCCTTTTCAGCCAGACACTCTGAAATGAGGCTCAGGGGACTTATAGTTAGAGACCACATGACCATTCATCTCTATTTTGCTCCTGATTCCTCTCACTTGGTAGATTGTCCATTGCTGGCTATATCTCTTACAGAGACAACCACTCTGGTTGATTGATTTCTTTTTTCTGGTTTAAGAATGAATAGGATCCAATTCACCTAACTAACTGATTTTGAAGAGCAAGTGCTCCCTAGCTTATATGGCCATCAAGCTGAATGTAACCCCTTTGGCAGTATCTATCAATTAATCTGCCCACGATCTTCCAAATGTTTATTTTGCCATGAGGACAAAGCAACTTTGCATTTTAATGTAAAATGACAACCAACAGTGCTTTTATTACAAGATCTTCTTCTCTTGGATTGGTGATTTAGCCTTCCAAAAGCCTCCGGTGATGGTCTTCATCACAGCAATTTGGAAGGCGGTGAAAAAATAAGTAAAGAAGGGGAGACCTCATTGCAGATGTGATGCTTGATTCTCCATGTTGTTTAGATTCAATGATGGTTTTAAAGCCACCCTACAGAGTTGAAACTATGAGGCAAGGGAAGAAACTGTGGGTGATGTATTCCTCTAGCTTGCACAGCCTCTATGTTGACAACACAAAGTGCAGGAGAGGCTTGTGCCTAAAACTAACACACTTGTCTGTTGCAATCATTGTTTTGGGCTTTTTTTTGCACCAAAAAAAATCATCAGTTGAAATTCAGCTAAGCAAAACTTGGACTGGGTTTGCCTAAAATGGGGAACTCAGGATTTTTGGATGTAGTACTGAACCTCAACTCATGTGTTTTTTTGATTGCCTGTTTCAGCGGTGGGCCGCTACGCTACGCTTTTGGCCCAAAAAGCGTAGCGTAGCGGCACTTTTTTTGCGCCAAAATTTTGTAGTGTTAGCGCTTTTGTAGCGCATTTTTGCTACGTTACGCTGCGCTACAGCGCTTTTAGCGGTAAAAGCGGCTAAAAACCGCTAAAAAGCGCTGTAGCGCAGCGTAGTGGGCCCTTTTTTGCGGCCCACACGCGTAGCGTTAGCGGTGTTGTGGCGGAATTCCGCTAAGCTACACTTAACGCTAACGGGAATTCCGCTGTGTTACGCTACACTAACCACTACGGTTAGTGTAGCGGCCCACCGTTGCCTGTTTACTGCCCTGCCAAAGCTCAACTTCAATCTGTGTTTTTATTTTTCCTGGTGTTTTTAAAAATTTTCACTCATCCAATTTTTGGATATTTTGTCTGAAAATTGGATGAGGAGAACAGCAACATGCTCAGATTTCACCATGTGAACTGTGCCTCAAAAGACTGTGGATCTTCATTCAGGGTAGTTGATCCAAGATTCCCTACACCAAAGCTGCTCAATAGCAACACATGAGCATGTGCATATTAGGCAAAAGCCCCTTCTTGGGACCTCCTTGGGAGGCTTTCTTTGCAAGTGGCATTGCAGAGGTGTGGGACTTGTAATAATTTAGTGGATTCCTATATTTTTAGATTGCAATGAAGGGATCACTTGGATGCGGATTTGGAAAAAAAACATCTAAACAACTTTGGAAGAGATTATGTAAGCATTGTTTGTGAAAAAACTCAGTTTTGAATTGATGCTTGAGGCCCAACTTTGAATACCACTATTTAAGCATACTAAATATGTATTGGAATATGCAATATGCTTTCAGGATCCAATCCCAAGTTTTCTGTTGGCACTTAGGCTTTAGATTGTTGCAGGGGGACCTATTGGGGACCTCATGGTCATCTCAATGACTTCCCCCCCCCCCTCATCATGGTAATTGGTAACCTGTACAACAATGTAGGGGTGAATAGTGCTGTCCTAAGAATAGGCTAGTTGGAGCATAAATTATTACCATTGAAAACAAGAGAAAATTCTGGGAGTCCTAAAGGGAAGCCAAGCCAGATGAAACATGAAGAGAAAGATTACTACAATCCACCTAGTCATGGGGTGCAAGGGATAATGTGAGAAGATACATCAAGAAAAGAGAAAAGCAAAAAGGGAGACAATTTGAACTTCTAAACTTAATACAACAAATGTGTGCAAACCTAGTTATGTGCTTGATGAAGTTTCCTCCGTTTTCATGCACTGTGAATGACAAAACAAATCTTCCCCTCCTAAGTGGCATCAACACTGGGAATTTATATTTTTTGAAATATAAGTTCAGATTCTCACAACTGTGTGACTATCCATTACTGAATAATGTGTTATTTTCATCCAGTAGAACAATAAAACCCTTTGTGGGTAACATAACTAGGAGTGTTTTACCCAAAAAAGCTACAAAACATAACATGATGATGTGTTATCTGTGTCAATCCTGGTCGAAATATACCAAAATTATAGAAAACTACTCAAAGAGAGTCAGACATTCTTCAGCTATCCATAAAGCTTGGGTATGGATAAGAAATTTTTTTAAAATCAACATAGCAATAAGGATGGGCTTGTGGTAAGTAAATATTAGGTGGTACCTGAGAAACGTGAGCAGGTACCCCTTGCACCCACCGCACACCCAAAAGTAGTAGGTGCTGCTGGGTGTGATGTCAGTTGTCTGTTTTTGGGCAAAAAAAACAGGTGGTGCCTGGGCACCTGCCCCCTAACCCCCGCTTCTGGGATTTCTCAGCCAGGTTCCTGGTAAGGATCTCCAGTACTTAGGTGCCAAGGCCACAGTACCACTGGTGTTCTGTGCAGAGGTGCTGGGTGCCTGCTTTTTTCCATAAATCAACACATTACCCAGGTTCCACAAGGCCATCTTTACATAGCAAAGTACTGTTACCATTAAAAAAAACAATAACAATGCAAAAAATATGTTATTGTTAATTTAAATCTGGCCAGTAACATAGCCTCCCAGTTTTGCCTGTATTGTCACATTACAAACCATGATGAAATTGATTCTCTGTAATAGACTGCTAAATTCTGACAGTTTTTTGTCATATTTAATTTGCAGATATTTTGATTTAGGTATTTCCAACGGTGGGCCAGCTACGCTAACCGTAGCGTAGTGTAGCGATTTTTCGCTACAATTTAGCGTAGTGTTAGCGCTTGTTTCTTTTTTTGCGCTAACACTACGCGCATGGGGCGAAAACGTGCGCTAACGTTTAGCGTAGCGTTAGCGCGATTCCCCCCATCTGCGCTAACGCTACACGCACAGGCCGCCAAAAACTGCCCGCTACGCTGCGTTACGGCCGTTTTTAGCGGTTTTTTGCCGCTAAAAACGCTGTAGCGTAGCGTAACGCAGCGTAGCGGCGCCAGCGGCGCGCTAACACTACACCAAAATGAGGTTAGTGTTAGCGCCGCTACAAATTAGCGTAGCGCAGCGGCCGTAGCGGCGCGCTAACACTACACGAAAAAAAAAAATTGGTGCCGCTACGCTAACGCTACATGGGCCCGTAGCGTAGTGTAGCGTAGCGGCCCACCGCTGGTATTTCCATCAATTCAACCACTTTAATTCCTTGTTGGATTGAAGCCCAACAATTCAAAATAATATATCTATGACAGTTCACTATTGCAAAATGAAACAAAAAAAGCATGGCAATGCAAATACAAATTGCTTGGAATGATGATACACTGGATTCTGCTACTGATCATGATCCAATCTAAATTGGTTGAATGCCAGATATTTGCTAGTAATGATCAAGCCACATTTTTTTTTCCATGTGTTTTTGTGATTGTAAGACTTGCATCCTTACACTCATTGCAGAGTGGTCACTCCTGAGGGACAAAGGGATGGCTACCACGGGATAACAAAAAGAAACTTGCCATTGCAGGTGACTGTAAGAAAGTTGGGCTGTACATCGTCCAAGTCACTATAATACAGTCAAACCTGTCTAAGGACATACCCCTTGGGAGAAGGATTTATGTATACCTTTAAACAGGTTATGCCCTTAGAGGGAGGGAATTTTCAGCAAAATCAAGTTTTGGGAGAAGCCTTACACCATGCCCTTATGCAGATTATGTACACAGAAAGGTATGCCCTTAGCCAAGTTTGACTGTACTAGGATATAGACCAGATGAGGTAAAGTAAAGGAACAACCCTGTGTTGTTGATAAATATTTACATTCTTCCAAATAACCATCTGGTGCCCATTTGAGGAAATGTGTTATTAGACAGAAAGAAGCCAGCTTTTTGAGGTAACATTGATTCTAATGACCATCCTTTGACATTACAAACCTGTCAATTTCTCATCTTCATATGAGTTGTCAAGAGTGTGGTCCTGGAATCCACATGCCCCTGTTTGTGTCTTCCGGCCACTGCAGATAGATCAAACACACACCTCAACATAATCAACAGCTTGAATCTAAAATCGTGATCAAGAAGTTGATTGCCATCTTCCCCATCATATGGCACTAGCAGAGAGATGCCACAAATAAGACTTGCAATGCAAAATAAAATAAAAGGCACTACCAAGGAACAACAAGAGAAGAAGAAGAAAAAACAGACAGACAAGAGGAGGAAGGGGGGGATGCTATGGAGAATGAGTGGGAGGGTCTCTTGCAGGATGTATGGCAAGAAACACAAGAAAAAGAAGACTGACAGGAGAGAAGAGAAAGACGGAGGAAAAGAGAGAGAATATGTATATGTGATTGTGGTTGTACAAGATCGTGATGTATGTTTAGAGAGAGAGCGTGTGTAAAAAAAGAAGGGACCAAGGCGGCTTGTAATCCACAGAAGTATGTATGTAGCAGAAAGATTAAGTGGGCTGTTATGCACGAAGTCGGAGGAGATAGACATATAAATCAATCCTGCCATGTATCTGTATGTATCTCTGGATATGTACTTGCTTTTGAAGGTTTCAAGTCGAGTGAACGGGCGTGTGGGTGTTCAGTTTAGAAATACTTGATCGTTCTGAGAGGTTCTGTTTTTTTTTGTGGTAATCAATCTATGTAGTGTATCTAGATGGATGGTAATATTTTGATTTCCGACCTCATAATTATAAAATTTAGTCGATTTTGGGCGAGGGTAGAAAAGAGAGAGAAAGGAAAAGATTAAGGATCCAGCGGACGGATGGCCCATCACTTATGATCCTAAGCACGAAAGATACGAAATGATTAAGATCGATCATCTACCCTCGTTTTTTGGTTTTGTGTTTTCGCATGACTTTCGTGAAAAGATATTAACGTAGATGTCTGATCGTCCAAAGAGGAAAAGTGAAAGGTAAATTGTAAGTATCCCTTCAACCATGAAAACCCGAGTGTGAGGAAAAAAAAAACATACACATAATGAAATTCCAAGGAAGAAACCCAAACATTTTCAAGTAAAGAGACGAAGAAAAAACGTGATTGGATTGGAGAATGTTTGGTGTTCAAGAAGAGGAAGAGTTGATGACGAGTGTATCGTGGACCATGTTTAAAGCTTTGATCGAGTCTTGTTTGGAGATCACGCAAGAGATGTTAATCTCGGATGCGCCTTGACTGATCATTTCGATATTCACATTCCCTTCTGCCAGAGTACTAAACAGAATATAAAAAAGAGAGAAGTAGGAAAACAAAAACGAGTCAAAACGGGTTAAGAGATTAGGACGAGGAGATCGCCACCCCACCTGAACATCTTCCCAGCGATCCCGACCATGTTTTTCATCTTTCGACCGACTAGGGAGAGGATGGCCATTTGGTTGAGGACGGAGACCTCGCCGATATCTTTAAGTTCTTTGACGAGCCGATCTAAGCCCTTGAACCTGTAGATCTCATTGACCATGATGGCCATACTGACATGAACCTCGCTGGTGGAGATGAGGTCGACGGCGATGCCGAACTTATCCAAGGTGCCGAAGATTCTTGCAAAGAACCCATGGGAGATCGTCTTCTGGTTCGAATGGATGTTGAGCACGACGATATCTTCCTTGATCGTGATCGCCGTTGGCGCCTTGCTGTTGATCCCATCCGACCCCCCAGTGATCTCGACTAACTTGGGGGATGAGGGGATCGATCGGTTTGGGTAGATCACCGTCCCATGTCCTACTGGATTCATGACATTCTTGATCCGGATGGGAATCGAGGCTCGGATGACTTGTTCCATCGTGAAGGGATGGATAACCTCGGAGCCATAGTATGTCAACTCTATAAAGGTGAATCGCCAAAAGGTGAGAGAAAGAGTAAAATCAATCAGTGGAAGAGTAAAACAAACACCAACTAATCTCGGGCTGACCTGCAGCTTCTTCGGGTGTGACTACACTGAGCAGTCGAGCTTTGGGAACCTTTCTCGGATCGGCAGTGAAGATGCCATCGACCTCTTTCCAAACCTGGAGTTCTGCAGCACCGAGACCTACGGCACAAAGCGAGGCGCACAAGTCGGTATAACCACGGCCAACCTGCGTCAAGAGTGATCCTGGCACGACGCCAAAGAATCCGGTGATCACTGGGATTCGATCTTCGCATTGCTTTAACCGTTCTCCAAGTCTTAAAGCTAGGCGATCGTAGAATGGTTGGCGGAGCTGGCCTCCTGCTGTCTGATAGAACCCATCCGGATCCCCATCTGGGGCTTCAAATTCTATTTTTTCGACTATGTTGTCCAGACAAACTAGTTCGGCATCGAATCCCTATGGAAACGATTTCTGTTGGCCCCTCAAAAAATATACTCAAACAATTACTGATCTGGAAAACTTTACCTGATCTGCCAAGTAGGTCGTCACCAGTCGGCACGATAGTTTTTCTCCTACTCCGATGATCAAATCCTTTGATTTGGGGGAGATTTCTTCCAAAATCTGTAGGCAGAGTCAAGTAGGCAACAAAAATACATGTCAAGAAAAGCCCCGATTTTGGGATGAAAATGAGGTTGGTCTTGGGAGAAAAAAAGTAAGACGATTGATTGACCTGAGTAGCTAAGAGCAAACTGCGTAGTCTTTCGCAATCGTAGGTGATGTCATACTGGAGATCGGAGAGGAGATTCTCATCAGAGATCAACTCAGAGGCAGCCTTGAGATGATCAGCTCTAAGGATTTCGATGGTTTTGTCGAATGGGGCGTTATGTTCTTCGAGGGGTTGGTGAGCAGAGTCTAGGGAGAGATTATTTAAGTTAGGTCCGGGGGAGTTTTGGCTGGGATATAAGTTGGGGGATGTGAAGCCGTTGACGGTGGAGTTGGTCCTCGAGAGTAGACGAGGGGTTGGCGAGCCTCGTCGTGCGAGTATCTGAGAGAGGATCAATGGGTTGGGTCCGTTGGGAGTGCTGTGAGTGGTAGTGGGTGAGAAGGTGGCCTGGGAGGGGGATTGCTGGATGCTGGGGTTTTCGAGTGCTTCCAAGGCCGCCTTAAGGAGTAAGTTAGTCGTTCCAGTCGATTTAGTATTCCCGGAGCGGGCCGAACAGACGATTGCGACCCTATGACCGGCATCGAGGGTAGAACTGTGAGGAAGGGTGCATGGTCAGTGTGTGCCTGCAAGTCGAGTGGTTTGGCTGATGGACTCTTACGGCAAGATTTGGGTGGCGACGTTCGGGAGGAACTTGCCGACACTCGTTCCTCCGTACTTCTGTACGACCCAGGCCGGCTGATGATCCTTGGTGGTGGGTGGATTGGATCTTTTGGTTCGCTGTCCACGCTGCTCGTCAGTGGTGGTGGTGGTGTTCATGGTTTTCTAATTTTTCTTTTTCTTTTTTTTTTTTTTTGGATGGTCAGGTCAGCTTATCGTATCTCGTCTTAAGAAGTGGTTGGGGCGGATGGTGAAGGGTCTGCTGGCATCTCCTGCTGATTCGAAACTTTTCTTCTTCCGGATCGGAGGCAGATAAGGAATGGAATGTTTGACGTTCGCTCTGATTCATTCATTCATTCATTCGTACATGTGTATGCAGTCAACAAACATCACCAAACAGACGGCCCCCGATTGCCGGAGCAACAGAGCAAGAAGCATTGGATGGCTGCTGTTGGCAACCGACATGATGTGGAGGCAGAAGGAGGTTTTGCAAGGGGCACTTCATGGTTGGTCATCATGAAAGACTGACTGCATCTCAATACATCTCCATTGCTCAGACAATCTCAGTGTACATACATATTTACCTCATCTCATGTATTATACATAATGTGTGTACCCGGCTGAGACAAGAACTTACAGCCATTTCGAGAAAGGTTGCGGTTCGCGAGCCAGACTTTTTTTTATTTTTTTTATTTTTTTTATTTTTTTATTTTTTAGGGGCTGAATACAGCCCTGTATATGAGCTGGATTACTTCCAATTCTTCGTTTACAGAAGAAAACGAAGGATTGGAAGACATACAGCCGACATACAGGGCTGTATCAGACTCTAAAAAATAAAAAAATAAAAAAATAAAATAAAAAAATAAAAAAGTCCGACTCCCAAGCAGCAAGCTTTCTCGAAACGGCTGTAATTCAGTTGTGGCAAGAAACATTGCTTGCAAAGTCGTAATTGGAATCAAGAAGAAAGAGATCATGAAAACAATAAACATTAGAGAGTATGTAGGATTTCAAAACGAAACCATCGATGGATTGTGATGGGAGCTAGGGAATCAGTAACTACGTCCGAACATCGTCCATCGTTTGCACATCCTTCGTGCAGCCATATCCCAAGCATTTCGTCACTCCTGACTCGATGGCCGGGTAGGGAGTTTGATCGAATGGAATACAGAGTGACTTCGCGCCTGCCGAGGGTGCTCGCTCATCTTGCTCAACCGCACTCCTATTGGAAGAACGAAAAAGAGTAGGTCAGATACCCATGAGAAAAAAAAAGGAAGAGAAGAGAAGAGAAGAGAAGAAAGAGAAACTAACTCTTTGGCACTCTGATTCTTGATCTGATCTTCACATGATTCCTCTTCACACCAGGCGATCACACACGAACAGTTGTTATTCAACGTCGGCACGAAATCCTTCCAATCGAGCACGAGCTTCCGATGAGCATCATAGACCACTTTGGCCTTAGAGTACATATCCGATTGGATGGTTTCCAAGAGTTTCGGGATCTCAACATCCAGAGTCTCGAGTGGATAAGACTTCTTCTCACCAGTATCCCTACGGACGACGAGTGTGGTCTGACTGGCGAGATCCTTAGGACCGAGTTCCAATCGAAGTGGGATGCCCTTCATCTCCCAGGAGTTAAACTTCCAGCCAGGCGTATAACCCTCTCGGATATCAGTCCTAGCCAACACACCCGCTTTCCTCAGTCGCGCCGCAAGATCCTCAGACTTGTCGTACAGATCCTTCCGAGATTCAGGCCCAGTAGACGCGACGATCCCAACGGGGATGACGATCACCTGGAGATTGGCCACCCGTGGGGGTAACACCAGTCCCTTATCATCAGCATGGACCATGACCATCACACCGATGCTCCGGGTTGAGAGACCCCATGAGTTTTGCCAGACGAACAGCTTCTCGGCTTGAGTCCCCGCATTTGGATCGACCGGTTTGGAGGGATCCTCAACACTAATGTTGAACATCTTTGAAAAGTTTTGCCCAAGACAGTGCGAGGTTGCTCCTTGGATACCCCGACCTGAGGTAGGTACGAATCCCTCGACCGTCGTCGTATACAATCCCCCTGCGAATTTCTCCTTCTCAGACTTCACTCCGGGTGTTACCGGTACGGCTAAGAGCTCTTCATAAACGCCTCGGTAGAGATCTAAGATCTGTCGGACTTCTAGATCGGCTTCTTCCCTATGTAAATGAGCCGTATGACCTTCTTGCCAAAGAAACTCTCGAGTACGAATAAAGGGCTCTATAAGATCGATCGGGCTCAGATCAGCTAAACTGGTTTCATAGCAAAATAAATATTCAGACACTGACGGGGGTTCTTGAATTCCCATCGGACAACGCTGTTCCATTGGTTGAGTTTTAGAGGAAGGTCGCGATAGCTTTGGATCCACTGTTAATCCGACCAAGGGGGCAGATAATGAGCAAACATGAATGTCACAATGATGCCCTAAGCATCAGAGTCTGGGGAAACAGGAGGCTTGTTATACCTTGGCATAGTAGGGGTACATGACTGTTTCGGATGTAGGACGAATGGCGATGTGCTCTTCCAACTCAGATTGGCCGCTGTAAACACAAGACCAGATATTTGGTGCTGAGCCTAACAAGATTTACAAAACGAGTAGTGAAATGAAATTGAAACTTGACTCACGCTCTGGTCACCCAGGCTACTTCTGGTGCGAATCCTTCGATGTGGTCTTTCTCCTTCTCCAATACTCTAGAAGAGACAAACATTGGAAAGTAGGCGTTCTCAACACCCAGTGCTTTGATCCGATCATCAAACCACCCTGAGAAACTCAAAATCAGCATGCAACTCTGAGAGGAAATCTAGAGAAGCGGGAGAGGGTCAGCCGGGCGCACTTTGGATGATTTCCCAAATCCGATAGGAAGCTGGCTTTAAGATGTAGCATCCGGATATATCGTAATAATCAATCATATCACCCTTTTTGAGAACCTGAATTAATTGGTTTGTCGAGCATTTTCGAGGGGTGTTAGATTTTGCAGGTTAAAACGTAGTGATGTTGATGTGAGACAGAATTCACATCTTGATACCAATCTCCAAAGGTACTTGATTCCTTCTTGAAACTGATTCCCAGTGAACTTTTATCGCCACCAGTTTCTTTGCTCTGAGCTGGCTTTGACGCTTGGGCTGGGACTTTAGCCTTGGGGGCCGTTGTATCTTTACTACAAAAACAAACAAACAGTAATCAGATGAGATACTCATTAGCGATGGGCTAAATTATCAAGTTCGAAGGATATGAGTACCTCGCGACAGTCTCCGTTCCAGGAACATGGAACGTATGTTTTTGGATTTTGATCTCGGTCTTTTCTAGGCATTGGATGTGATCGGAATCGGTGAGAGAGTCAGATAGGACCAGCATGACGGTAGAAGCATGATTAGGGGTGATCGAGTCCAGTTTGACTGTTGATTGACAGGGAATGGATTAGTCAAAACCCATCTTTGCGAGTCGATAAATGAAAAAAATGGGACAGACCGACCTTCAGCCTTGGAAGGCTTGTTCAGCACAGTCATAATCAGATCATCCCCCGCCGCTCTCATGTCCTTGAACCCCAGCTTCTTCGCCAAGCTACTCGCAGGACCTAAATCTTTTCCTGGCTCGATGACGACGACGACTAACTGGATTGTCGCCAATGGGGACCCGGCGACTGCCTTGGGCTTAAAGAGCGAGATCTTGAGGTCTTGGTCACTTGCAGACATTTCAGCTATGAGATTTTCTTGATATTCAAAAGTGTGATGGTGGTCTCGTATCCCTTCGTTTCCTGTTCGTCTCTATTCGAGTCTTCTGAGATTGTGCCCCAAGTGCAGCTGTTTGACCTTTGCTTCGGTATGTGCTCAGCTGGAAGTGTGTCTGATTACGTAAACTTGGCTCCGGCTCAACATTCGAGCTCGGAGGCCCCCGGAGCCCCGTGCCCCGAGGCTCTACCCGCAGACGGGACTAAGTTAAGTTAAGTTTAGCAGGCCCTCGCGACACGCGAAACATTTCCTCGGGGCAAGCTCCTATCCCAACTCAATTTTTTTTTTTTTTAAAATATGCAGGCGCTTTCAGCCGGGAGGACTGCCCGTTCCGAGGGTTCAGACTGCGCTGTCTTCAGGAGTTTGGCAGTTTTGGTCGCGGTTGAGTTGGATATAGAACGGCGGTCGCTTGTTCCTTCACCGCCCTTCGTTTTTTTGGTTATTTCACTGCCAGCTACAAATACTCGAAGTCGACACTACAAATCATAGCTCCAACCGGGTAACTTCCTCTACGAGAAATTAGGATAAATCCATACGGGCTATCTGAGGTTATCTGTCAAACCCACCTGTAGAGGGACATGCGGGGCACGCAGAGAAAACTTCCGTTCTGGATACAGCTGCCTAACTGAAAGAGTCCCTCCTGAAATTCAATGGGGGACGCCGTCCCATGGGGAGTTTCTCCGGTCGGCGCACTGGAAAGTGTCTCATGGCTCCGCGGAAAGGAAGAGGTACATGGTCAAGTTAGACAGCACCCGTTCAATTGCGAGAGCAGCTTAAACATCTCATCTCTTGCTGCAGTTCTGGCCTATAAGCCTCTAGCACACACACATAGGTCTCTCTAGGTGTGCGCTCAGAAACTAGAATTTGAGCTACTCTTTGCCTTTCCATCGGAGAGACGTATTTGCCTTTTTTTTCCTACCCGCGCCCGATTTCTCTTGTTGACACAGTATTACTAGTACCCTTACCCAATCAACACCCATGATACATTGGTCACTTCCAAAAAATGGCAAATTGTTGGCTTTCTTAGCCAGCATGGTTCATGTCAGCCCCTGGATTCAGGGCTTTCCAACACACCCCCATCGACCTATCCCATCCTTGGCGGCTAACATCTCACCCACCAATTGGGAGGCGGCGGATGAGGCCATAACCAAGATTGGCCCCGGCCGCAAGGCCCTCCTCATGACTTATAATCACGGTGACGGCATCCTTCGCATTCCTGGGGCAAACCCTTCTGGTGATCAATACATGGTCTATCCAATGACAGAAATTGCCTTCCATCAGGTTCCCACTCATAAATCGCCGTATCTCCACGATGAGACCATTCTGCTTCATAAGGAGTTGATCCCAGGTCATGCGATTCCCGTTCTAAACTATGACCTGAACCTAAAATATGATCGAGCTCAAACATCTCATCAGGCGCTGCCACCAAAAGCGCCTTCAACAAGGTTACGGAAAGAGGCAGAGCCATTTACACCTCTTCAATCAAATGGAAAGTCAGAAACACTGCGAAGGAATGCGGCCTGTGAAGAAAAAACGAATATTGATGAGCCCACCGGACAACGAAAATCCATCAACGCCCAAGGACTGTCCATTCCCATGAATGGAATATTAAAAGGTACAATGCCTCCAGCTACCCACTTTTCGAGCAGAACAGAGGTGGTCGCAAATATTTCGGTGAGTGAGATGATCGATACCTTTGTCACGATTGACAGACTGCTAATTGAAAATTTACTCGCGACAGAAGATGGATGAGAAGATGAGCGAGGAGTTGCCCATAGAAGCCTTCGTAGCCTGCCCAAGTAATCTCAAGCCTCCCGGGCCAAGCAACCAAGGCTGCCCTAATAACAATTTTCAGAAGAAGAATATCGATAAGGAACGACTGGATGATCCAGTCTTAAACACAGCTGGGGCTGCGCCTGCTTTCTCCTTAGGTGAAGAGGAGATTTCTACGAAAGAAAAAGAAGGGGAAGGTCGAGCATCCGATCATGCTGCGAGATATGATGAAATTACTGTTTTGAACCATCGCAAGAAAAACGGGGGCAATATCGCCAATATGAACATTGCCAAGATCCCTGAGAGTCTTATTCACGGACCAGCACATGGAATCCATGTTGAACCTGCACCTGGGAAAGAAACTCAAATGGGACAAAAAAGGAGTACCACCTCAACTGAGATCCAAAGTGGTATTGAACCTTTCTCATCGATTCAAGGAGATACAAACAAGTGCTACAGGAAAAAAGGGATTTTAACATCCCCATGCAAGTCAGAATCTCAAATCAATAAGATCCCATTGATGGCTCCCAAAATCGATGTTGAAGAATCAATAACCTCTGCCAAGACATTACAGAGAGAAAGGCCAACTTCCAAAAATCAAGGTCTAATTGAAGGTGGAATGGGAGCAACAATATTGGTTAATAATAATGAATCTACCCTTGGTTGTAAAAATCTGGAATCAGACAAACCAACTTACAAAGATATACCAAGGCAAACTGATACATCATCAGCTTCCAACACTATTGAGAAACCTAAAAGAATTGAAGCAGATTTCGGAAAGAAATTCCACAAGCAAGAGCTCATAATAGAAGAGAAGTTTTCACAGAAATTTTCAACTCTCACAAATTCAGAACTAGGAAATTATAAATTTGGAAGCCAAACAGAATCACTGATGGGGAAAAATGAACCATCTGGTTTAGAAAAACAATCAGATATCAATGGAAACAGAATTGGTGGCCAGAAATCAGTTGATAAAAATAGTTTCAAAAGAAAAGTGATTTCATCTCCACCTAGTCTGACTGAAACTAATTTAGGGAAGAAAACCCAGAAAGCTCAATATGAAAATTCAAAGAAGTAAGTTCAAGATTTAATTTTTTATGATTTCAAAAGATTGGATGAGGAAAACTAAATTGGTCTTCAATTAAACAGATTTTTTTGGAAAAAAGAAAATGGAGATGGAGAAACCTTAAAATCAAGAAAACTAGACTGGGCAGTTTTGAGTACAGTCTCAGAGGATGTAGTTGAGGAGACATCATGCGGCAAATTTTTGGACCAAAAAATATGTTTGACTGAAACACAAGACCAGTCCAAAGAAAATTATAAATTGAAATACAAACCAAGTGAAAAGTATGTCTTTCATCTGGAAAACTTAATGATTGGTCTACAAATTGATTTTCCTCTTTCTGTTGGATTTCTTGGCATCAAAACTGTGTGAGTAGGTTTGAAAAAGGCGAGATACTGCAAATTAGTAATGGTAACTCAGGAGAAAACTTCAATATAAACAAAAAGGAAAAAAGGAAATCCAAGAAAAATAAAAAGAAGAGTCAAAAATCTAACTCTCAAAATGACAAAGGTTCTCAAGAATTGAAAGAAGGGGAGAGGTAAGAAGGCATTTTACAATAGAAATTCTTAAGATGCAAACTTTGCTCAATCATACCTGATTTTCTTTTCCATTCAAAAAGGCTGGTTTCAAATAATGAAGATGGTGAGCTTCACTCTTTCACTAGAGAAACCAAGGACACTTCAAGCATAAAAATCAAGGAAATTCAACCTCCAGTGAGTATAACAGTTTGTAAATCTCATCAGACAACAAGCTGAATGTATGAATAATTATTGAAAAAATATCTGTTCAATCATTGATTCTCTTCTGCTCAATAAAAAAACTTCTGGTACTTGTTTTTGAAGGTCCTGGAAAACTTCAGTGAGAATAGTGACTTACCAGGAATTCAGAGTGTGAAAAATGTCCAGAGGCTATATCAGAATTTTAATTTAGCCTTTCATCCTGGCTCTCAACTAAAAGCAGATGAAATTTATCCTGGGATTAAGGAACCAAATGAAATTCAATTTGATCCTCAAGAGGAACCAAACAGGTTTGTAGATAGTTCCAAGAAATTTCTTGAGAATTACAAAGCCATTTTTCAAGACCAAAAACAGATGGCTTTGGAGGAGGATGAAAGGAATTTTTACATCAAGCAACATGTAAGTATATTTATTGAGAAACTCAAGGAATTCCATTTTGATTCCCCATTCCTTGAATCAATATCAAGATATTTAAAAATTCAATACCCATCTGAGCATATACCATTGAGTGATATGGATATAGACATGTACATTCAACTTAGAAATGTGTGGAATAGAAATCCAAAGCAAGTCATAGTGGTAATAATATATTTTTCTGTTACTTTAGGAGAAAGTGAAGGTCTTAGAAGAGTTAATACAATGTTGAAGCAGATTTCAGAATACACCACTGTCATAAATTGGAGATTCATTAAAGCCAGTTTGTTGAGAAACAATGATCTTACTAAGGAAGAAGCAAATGAAATAGAAAATTTCTACAAACTTTCCACTAGATTTCCAAAGATAGTGAACCAGAAACAGGATGATTCTAATGAGCCCAAGTTCAAGCCAAGAATCCGATTCAACATACTTGAATCCCTTGGAATTTTCAAGTCCAGGAGGCATATACCAATTTCAATTGAAAAGTTTGCCACTTATTTCTCAGAAAAAATTCAAATGAGGTCCCTAGAAGCTGATCTTGAAAGTAGAAGGTGGAAGTATGGAGTTGATCCAAGAAGATTGAGTCTCATGTTTATCCATGAAAAGGATAAGCTTGGAAAACAAACATATCAGAATGCATCTATCATCAAAGCAGAAAGGAATCAATTGGTTCCAGGGTATGCTTCTGCGGAAATGCATTGGGTCATTGAAATATCTTCCTTAAATAATCACTTTTCAGATTCAAACACTGCACTAGGAAAAGGGCAAGTTACTTCTTTTGTAGTTTGAACAAGATTCAGCAATCATTTTTTGTTTTGATTATTCTAACAAGATTTTGAATCAAAGATATTTTCCTGAGGTAGTATCATGATGAAGTTGCAACTTAAATTTGAAGCAGCCAGTTCCAAAGAAATTGAAATTTTAACTCTTTCAAGCAATGGAGATTCTGAGATTTCTGATCTTGTGCTTTACTCTGTCCATTATTTTTCACATCTATGACCCAGTTTGTGACACTCATGTATGTAGTTTCCTAGTTCAGCAGTGTGAAATGGAGGACTTCCTTCATTGTCCTTCCATCATCTCACTGTCTTGGATTGGGTATGTTCTCTCTTTTTGTCTCATTCTTCTTCTTCTTCTTTCTCTTACTTTTCTCACATTTCTGATTTGCCATCAACTCATTGCAATTTTTTAGAATTGTGAGAGTCGAAACATGTTGTAAAAACCTTTTTCTGAATTCAGTTTGTGTGAGAAGTTCTGGAATTCAAGCTGGTAACTTGTATGGAATGGTATGGGATCACCACAGCAATCTAGTATGGGATCTCAGTTGCTTATAAGTTATATTCTTAAATTAAATGCTAAACTAGATACCAGTCCACAGGGATCAAGGGCTCCTCTGTAGAAAAATGGTGTAGGTTTTACCAGTGATTGGAAACACATAAACAGTGAAAAACTGATACCCTTTGTGTGGATCAGGTGGAATGGGGCCAAATCCATCTTGAAATCTGTGTTTTGGACCAACAAACCCAATATTATTTCCTGGCCCCAAATTTCAGTCCTTTTTCCATTGGGAGATACTTCAAGTTTGAATTTTACATCTGCCCAAAGTCTTGAGTGACTTTGTTAAGTTTGTGTGACATGTTAGAAGCCTCGTATTTGACACCAAGAGAAATCTTGATCAATATTGCAGCCAAAGTTTCGCCTGACACAAAAAATAAAATATTTACAACAAAAGCTATGATGGCCCTTCCTTCTTCACTTGGACTTTTCAGACAAGTCTAATTTTTTTTCTCTACATGAAACAGCTTACCGTCAGTCTCAGCCCCCGTTTCTCGTCTAGATTGCGCTTGCGCCGCATACATACAGTGACCGGCACAGCCATCTGGTGGCAATCTGTGGCCATATATTTGACCTACATCATTAAAGTTAGTCGAAATCCAGCTGGTCACTATAGTAAATGCAGCACTGAGAGACCTCCGAGTAACACACCAAACATTTCCCACATTGGTAGAGGTGTGCCTGTCCAACGCGCGATGCACTTTTAACAGGGAGACTTGTATTTCAGCGCAGTTAGGACCTCCTATGGAACAAGTTCTTTACCTTTGCAAACTTGACCGCATGAAAATATGAACTGATAAACTCTCCAAAGGCGATACAGCTCCCAAAGAAATGTGAGAGTGACGTATGTCGGCCGCAACTCTTTCTGCATTTCTTTGATGCGATAGCCAATACCTCTAGTATATAGATTTTTCCGGGAGTGTGCCCAGAAAGTGACATCCAATCATTCCTCCTAGCCTTCGGTCAATGTTCAATCTGGAAGACGGATTTACCTCCTTTATTCTACCCACGCCCAGTTTCTCTGGTTGGCGCAGTATCACTACCGTTGCGCAATCGACAACAATGGCACATTGGTCGCTTTCAAAAAACGGACAATTGGTGGCTACATTAGCATGCGTAATTCATGCCATCCAATGGATTCAAGGCTTTCCGACCCACCCCCATCTCATCCCATCCTTGGCAGCTAACATATCACCCACCAATTGGGAGGCGGCAGATGAGGCCATAACCAAGATTGGCCCCGGCCCCAAGGCACTCCTCATGACTTACAGTCACGGCGATGGTATCGTTCACATTCCTGGGTCAAACCCTTTTGATGATCAATACCTGGTCTATCCAATGACAGAGATCGCCTTCCATCGGGTTCCCACTCATAAATCGTGGTATTTAGACGACGAGTCCATTCTCGTCCATACTGAGGTGATCCCAGGTCACGCAATTCCGGTTCAAAACTCTGACCTAGCTCTAAATTATGATGTAGCTCAAACATCTCATCAGACGCTACCTCCCAAAGCACCTCCAACGAAGTTGCGGAAAGAGGCAGAACCGTTTATACCCCGTCTGTCAAACGCAGTCGATGTAAGAACATTGCGAAGGAATAAGACCTGTGAAGAAAAAGCTGCTGTCAAGACTCTGTATGAGCCCATCGGACAACAAGAATCTACCAACACGAAAGAATTATCCAACGCCATGGGGAGGACGCGAAAAGGCGCAGCGGTTCCTACCCACATGACCGGCAGAACAGACTCAGTCGCAAATCTATCGGTAAGTGAGATGATCAATCTCTATGTCACGGTTGAAAGAATAATAATCGAGAGATCAATCGCGGCAGAATATACATGATAATATGCGCGAGGAGTTGCCACCAGAAGCCTTCGTTGCATGCCCAAGTGATCTCAGACTCTATCCGCCCGGGTCGAGCAATCAAGGCAGCCCTACTGATAATTTTCAGTCAAAAAATATTGGTAAGCAACGACTGGATGATTCAGCCTTAACCACAATAGAGGATACGCCTTCTTTATCCTCGGATAAAGAGGAAAGTTCTACGACTGAAGCAGAAGAGGAAAGCGGAACCCCCGATCTGGCTCCCAAATTTGATAACATCACTGTTTTGGACCATCGAAAGAAAAACCGCGACAATATTAGCATTTCCGGTACCGTGAGGCTCGTACAGGAGCCAACACGTGGAGCCCGTCTGACCAAGTCTGAAGCTGGGAGAAAGATTCCACTGGGGAAAGACCAGTTTTCTACTTCAACTGAGATTCAAAATAGTGATAATATTCTCTCCTCGATGGAAGCGGAGAACAGTGAGTGCAATGCTCAAAAAGAAATTTGTGAATCTCCAAGAAGGTCCGAATCTCAAATTAACAAAATCTCATTTGCAGTTCCCCCATGCAATCAGCACAAAATAACCAAAAATCAACCATGTGAAGACAGAAAAAATCATTTGGAAGCTGTACCATTGATGTTGGCAAAAGAGGAGAATAAAGGTTTGATTGAAGACAAAACTGAATTACCTTTCTCAGTTGATAATAATGAACATGACCATGGTAGTATGTTGGTAACTCCAAAGCATGAGTTTAAATCCCTTAAAAATAGTTTTCCAGAAATAAATACAATAAAACCAACTTACAAGGGATCACCAGGGGAAACATCATCAACTACAGCAAGTTTTGGGAAACCTGATAAAGTGGAAGAAGTTATCCAAAATAAATTCAACAGTCAAGAAACCAAAAACAGGTTTGCAAATAAAACATGTGAAATTAGAAATTCAGCAGTAAAAAACAATGCAAAGTTCCAACCTAGCCAGGAGAAATCAATCATGGGGAAAACTAATTCATTTAACCCAGTAAATGAATCAGACAATGGTCATCTACCCAGTGGAGAGGGTGTGAGTACCCAGAAACCAGGTAAGGAAGTGAGTATTGAAACAGAAGAGGGTACCTCTCTTCCTGATCAGGCCAAAAACAGTCCAGATAAGAAAAAACAAGCAGGAAAATTGAAAAATTCAAACATGTAAGTTAAATATGGTGTCACTTCATGATGAAATCAGGCAAATTGCACCAGTTGATATTCACAAATCCAAACTATTTGAAATAATGGTGATGGTACATCACATGGTTGTAAATGGAATTTTGTGTTCATCTCAATTGTTTGGAATAATTTGCCTTAATAAATTTGCATTTCAACTGGTGCCATTTTCTGTTTTTTTTTTTTTTTTTTTTTTTTTTTTTTTTTTTTTGCAGTGTATATGTTTCACAATTTGAAAAATAGGGAAATGGAACCTAACTTAATCTAACTTGAACAGAGCTTCCTGGACCAAAAACAAAAGAACCGGAGTGGCCTTAGGATCAAGAAAATTAGACTGGGGAGTTTTGAGTCCAGAGGATCCAGTTGATGAGAAATCATATGAGGAAAATTCATACCAGCAAAGCTCTTCAACTGAGACCCTTGAGGACCAAGGAAATCATGAGACCAAATCCAAAAAAAGTCAAAGGTATGCCTTTGATCTTGGTATCTTGATTGGTCTGTAACATGAATTTGACAATATGATTTCAATTTTTGGAATAATGTATGCAACTCTTAGCATATTGAATAAAGTTGAGTCACCATCAATAATCGATAATTCTTCTGGGGGTAACCCAGATATCAAGAAAAAGCGGAAAAAGAAATCTCACAAAAAGCCAAAGAAGGATCAAAATTACAATTCCCAAAATATTGAAGAATTCAAAGAGGCAGAAAAGTAAGATTCTTTGAATCTTTTGGCCTAATAATTATTGAGATGGGTCCTGGACTGAATCATAATAAAAAATTCATTTTTTGTCTTAAGGCTTTTACCAAATCAAGAAAATAAAGTGCAAAATCCTGTCAGAGAAGCCAACATAACTTCAAGGACAAGAATCAAGGGAAATAAATCTCAGGTGAGTGTGATTTACTGTAGCTTCATTTACAAAAGATGATTGTTTCAAAATTAATTATAAAACCTCCACTGCTCCATAGTTCCAGAGTAGAGCAACCAATAACATGACATCATCAGGAACATGGAGTGAAGGATATTTTGAAAGGTTTTATCAAAATTTCAAGTCAGCCTTTTGTCCTAGCTCCAAAATTGAAGCAGATGAGATTTATCCAGGAATAAAAGAACCAAATCAAATACAATGGGGCTCTGAAGAAGAACCAAACAGATTTGTGGATAATTCAAAGGAATTGATTGCAAAATACAGAAGTACATTGTCTGTAGACAATGATCAAATGATGTTGGAAGAAGCTGCAAGGGATTTTTATATCAATCATCAAACAAGTTCATTTATGGAAAAGGCTGTGGGAATTAAATTTGAGTTTGAATTTGTTAAATCAATATCAAGATACCTAAAAATTCAATTCCCATCTGAACACATTCCCTTGATTGATATGGATAAAGATTTGTATATGAAGCTTAGAGACATGTGGAAGAGAGATGCAAAGCAACTTGTGAATATGATAATACATTTTTCTGGAAACTTAGAAGAAAGTGAAGGTCTCAGGAGAGTCAATACAATGTTGAAGCAAATTTCAGAATACACAACTGTTGTAAATTGGAAATTGATAAAAGAAAGCTTGTTGAAGACTAATGATCTTACCAAGGATGAAGCAAAGTCAATTGAAGAATTTTACAAACTTTCCACTAGGTTTCCAAAAAGAATAAACCAGATACAAGATAAGGCTAATGAGCCCAAATTTAAGCAAAACATACGTTTCAACATATTGGAATCACTTGGAGTTTTCAAATCCAAAAGGCATGTACCAATTTCGATTGAAAAATTTGCAAATTCTATAGCAACAAACATGGAAATGAGATCGCTAGAAGCAGATCTTGAAGGTGGACGGTGGAAATATGGGATTGATCCAAGAAGATTAAGCCTTATATTTTCTCATGAAAAGCATGGGACTGGAAAGGAAATATCTTCTATAGTTGAAGAAGAAAAGGTTCAATTGGTTCCAGGGCATATTTCTGCTGAAATGCATTGGGTATTGGAAACATGTGCCTTGAATGATAGTTTGTTCAGCTGCACACATTGATCTGGGAAAAGGAGAATTTGCTGCATTTGTGTTTTGAAGAAGACTGAATGTTTTTTTGATTCAACAATTCTGGAAAGAGTTTGAATGAATGATATCATTCCACAGCATAATCACATTGATCTATCTCATTTTAGAGGTCATAGATTAAATGAGCACTAAGTTCACACCTTTTAACTTTCTTGACTGTTTAAAAGTTAATAGTGGAATTCTCTGCCACCTGATAGGTCTCAGACTCCAGAATAATAATTCAGTACTAATTCTATTCCAAAAACTATATGGAAACTCTCATGAGGGTTTACACCATTTCATAGTGATGTATCTCTGTCAAGTGCATTGCTTGAATATATTTTCTTTCTCTTTCCATCCCTGCTCTGTTTTGGTGCAATTAACGAACCATCATTGGGTACATTTCTTTGCCATACCTGCTTGTTTGTCTCCTGTCCTATCCTTCAGTACCTATCTCATAAATTAACCAGATGTTCCACATAAAGATTTTCATTTTCATTTGTGTCTCCATTTGAAGGAATACTGGTAACTGCTCACAGGAAGAATCTAAAGATTCATTGGAACAATTGAACAGGTGATTAAATTGAGCCTGTGCAAATACAATAAATTCATGATTCTCAGTCCACTTGCAGCCTTTCCTTCAACCTTGGATTACGACCCGGTTTTTTTTCTTGTTCTAATCCCCCCTGCAATTTGTCACCTGACTTGATGCGTAGAAAATCATACACACATGTACACCAACTAAGGTATTTGTCCATCTTGTGTTTAGTGCTCAACCAACCCTGCTCAACCTATAAGGAAATGGCGGCTTGAGACAATGTCTTTCTAAACCTTGCGCATTCACCTGGGTCTGACTTAACTAAGCCTCCCAGGACTGGGGGTGCAGAGCACCCCGATGCGAAGCATCTCCCATTCCCAATGGGAGGCTTATGAGTTATTGTGGCTTTCCTTCTTGAGAGCTTCCAAAAATGTGTGGCTTTTGAACAAAAATTTCAAATCAATTCGCATTGTGAGATGCATACTCATCATGAGACAACGAGGAGAAGGGCAGTTTGTAGCTGAGCATCTCATGTTGAATGTAGTATCACTTGCCCCCTACCTACACTTGTAGGAGGGTGCTGCCCTAGCCCAGAAGCTGAGGTTGATGGAAGATGGAATTCTGTATTGCAATTGAGTTTGCTCAGAATTTTTGGGAATTCACACACATCACTCTGGTTGAACACACAAAAAAGGAAGACTTCAAAGGGGGAAGGGAGGAGTGCATGAAGGAGGAAAAATATGTGATTGACACCAAAAAAAAAGAGAAAATTAAGGCCTTGAGTTTGATACCACAGGCGTCAAGAATTTGTGGGGAGAAAGCAACAGACAAGTGAGGGGAATTTTTCTCCCACCAAAAATGCAAAAGCTCCCAGGCCAAAAAACAGATATCACCTGCAAGTCCCTCCTTCGGAGGTCGCGCTTCGCGCGAGGGCGCTTCACGCCAGCCCTCAGCCCTGTACCAGGGCCCTCTGAAGCGAGGGACTTGTGTTAAGTCAGACCTGGGTCGTGGTTCTGGAATCGGGCCTCCTCCGCTCCCGCCGGCACTCCTGACCGGGACCCGCTTGATTGCGCTGGGAGCTGATGAGAGATGTCACAGGTCGCACGCACGAAATGGCGCGGGCGGTTAGGTCAAGGATGCCTGATGTTCGAAACCCTAACCTCTGGTGACAATCGGATCGAGTGAACGGCTCTATACCGCAGCCCCCCCGCCCAGCAGGCCCCCCGGCCGGCTTCGCAGACGATGGCCGCTTAAGACAGACCGACTGATTGCCTCTGCCCAGCCGCCAGCCTCCCCACCCATCGAAGTCACCCTCAAGGCCAACATCAAACTTCAAGATGGTCCGTATTCCAATACTCTGCTCCTTCTTCCTCGACCACCTCTGCAGATGGCCCTGACGTATTGCAACCTCTCCTCACATCTGATCGTAATCCTGATTTCTACTCAAACAGACGAAGAAAAGAAGAAATGGAGGACGTAACAAGTCTGGCCGTGGTCACGTCAAGCCCGTCCGTTGCTCGAACTGTTCTCGATGTGTGCCCAAGGATAAGGCCATCAAAAGGTAGAACTTCAAAGCGATTGTAATCGATTCTCACTCACGCTTACCGAGCCGCCTGAATTCCGTTTGTCATCTCCAGATTCACTGTCCGAAACATGGTCGAATCTGCCGCCATTCGGGATTTGAGTGATGCCTCCGTTTACACGGAATACGTCCTTCCCAAACTTTACGTCAAGATTGTATGTTATAATCGCACCGATGTCATCGCAACTACACCCCCCAGCTAACTGACGGTGAACTGTTCAACTTGGATGATGTAGCATTATTGTGTCTCCTGTGCTATCCACGCTCACGTTGTCCGGGTGCGATCTGTCATCGGCCGACGCAACCGTGCACCTCCAGCACGGGTTCGTTTCAACAAGGATGGGAAGAAGGTTAACCCCAATGCTGTTGCAGGTCAGTACAGTTCATGTCCTGTGACCATCCATTCTTAGCGCTAAAGCGCTGTGTCGATCTCTTCCAGCTGTTGCGGCCGTCACTGGACCCCGAGCATAATCTCTCGTCACTCTTGTAATTGGTCACACTACCTATATGCTGCATCTGAAATGTAGTTGACTTTGTCACCAACCAAGCTCTCCTATGCTGTACCATGGTGCCCATCATTTTTACTCCCTTCGATGAGAAGAAACGCCTTAGATGAACCGGAGCCACTCCCAATAAATCACTCAACATTATATGCATTCCCCCCGCTCCTTGTGCCAGACCAACATGCATGGGTAAAGCCACCCAGGACTGCGCTTCCCTGCCCTTTCGGTCGGTTGTGCCCCTAAGTGATCATGTGTGGGCGTGAATCACTCATCTGCTCCCTGCTTCGAGAGAGGGGTTCGGCCTCGGAGCGTTTCATGTAGAAACCTTCCCAAGAGAGCAAGCTGTCGTCGAATCATTGTGGCGCCTCTGCCATCTTTGTATGGCTCTCTAGTGAGGTTGTTTTGGCGCTTAGTAGGAGGTAAATTTGAGCCTGAATCGGTCATGTTGACTTGATATACCTTGCTGAGCGTTCCGTAACCCAAGAGACATCGTAAACCAGGCTTGCCTGCTGCCCTGTTGGACATCGAAAGCCTTTTATTTCCTTCACAAACAAACACTTTAAGCCAAACCTGTCAGGTCGATGGGTATTAGATAGAACAATGGACCGAGAAATAGATGTGTTTGATTAGGTGGAGTTTGACAAGATTTTTTGCGGCAGTTGATGGTTGATTACTATATAGAGTTGACTCTCAACTTTGATGTGGTGCCCAATTAGCTATGTAGCATGATTTGAGATTTTTGGGAATCTCAATCTATGTACTAATCTGATACAACACACCCAAGGGCTGTGTCTTGATGGGACAGTTGAATCCCACTCAATTATTCATTTCAACAATCCATTGTTGAGGGGTACTCTCAATTCCAAAGGTTTCCTTGTTTTTTGATTGTGAACTTGACTCAAAGGAAGTGCAGTGCCATTAACTTTGTTGGATCAATTTATCTCAAATATGTAGGAGGTTTATCAGGCTGTAGACTGAAATGATTCCTTAGTGGGAACTTTTCAATTTTTGTTCTTGTATTTGCAACTTGAAAGAATCATTTTGGACTCTTGTGGGCTGGTCAGCAAGCAGTTTGTGCCCCCCACAGACTCCAGAGTGTGGCTTCGATCAAGAAAGGATTAGGAGAGGGGGTGGTGATTGATTATGTCAGCCCCAAGCCGAGTTGGTTTTTTTTTTTTTTTTTTTTTGAGAAACTCAACAAGATCTTCCACATCATCAACCAAACCAGAAAACCCCAGAAAACCGAACCCAAGCCAACCAAACTACATCCAAGGACATGGAAGGCAATCGGGATGAAGCTCAACGTGCCTTCAAACTCGCCCAATCTCTGCAATCCACCGACCCGATCAAATCACTCAAGTTTGCCAAGAAAGCCTGTGCACTGTATTGGAGTCCAGAGGCAGCAGCATTAGTCAAAACACTAGAGACTGGAGAAGGCCCTTCGACTACGACTACTCAAAACCCAACAGCCACCTCAACTGCAACCAATACATCATCATCATCAGCAACAAAGAGATCCACCCAACCTTCGACCCCTAAACCAAGCTCAAGTAACAAGAACCCAACCTCAGAACAAACACCTCCCACCTACAAACCTGCTCAACTCGAACTAGTCAAAAAAGTCAGACGCCACAAGATCACTCAGTACTACGAAATACTCGAGCTTAAACGAGAGGCCGATGAATCTCAAATCAAATCTGCTTATCGCAAGGTCCGTTCGTTTCATTAGGATCTTCTAAGAAAAAAAAACCCCTCATCACTGGTCTGAAACTTCACCTCTTCCTCCCAGTTGGCACTTGCTCTCCATCCCGACAAAAACAACGCACCAGGCGCAGACGAAGCCTTCAAAAGTAAGTCTCAAAACTCTAACAAGAAGCAGATTCTAGACTTGAACTAATTCAACCTGCCTCAAACAGTGGTCTCAAAAGCCTTCCAAGTCTTATCAGATCCTGACAAACGAGCCGCCTATGATCGACACGGAGCAGACCCAGACTCAAGATCAGCAGGAGTACCGAGCAGTTCACCCTTTGGCGGCGGCGGCGGCGGAGGAGGAGGAGGTATGCATTTCTCGCACGAGGATGCAATCGACCCCGACCAATTATTCAGGATGTTCTTCGGAGGCGGTGGCTTCGATCATCCGGGCATGCAATTCGGCGGCGGCCCAACGGTCTTCCAATTCGGTGGCGGCGGACGGACTACTTTCCGAAGGGCCGGCTTCAACCGTCGCCAACAGCAACAGCAGAACCCAAATGAGCCCGAAGTTCGACCGGCATCAACCTGGATTAGCTTACTGCCCATCATCTTGTTCTTCGTCGTCTCCCTCATCCAATCCTTCCCTTCCCTCTTCTCCTCTCCATCCACCCCCGATCCTTCCTTCTCGTGGAATCCTAGCACTGTTTACCCCATCCAACGGGTCACCCACACCTCACCAGGTGTTACTTGTGAGTCGATCCTGTTTACCCCATCCAACGGGTCACCCACACCTCGCCAGGTGTTACTTGTGAGTTGATCCTGTCCAGTTTATCGATCAAGAACCCAAAAGCAAAACAAAAAAAAACCCAATGATTGACTCATCATTCAAACAGATTTCGTTAACCCGGTAGAATTTGCTAGCCATCCATTATGGGAGCAGTATCTGAAAGCGAACCCGGGACTGAGTGGGACGAGTGAAACAACAAATGAAGAGAAGACAATGGAAGAGAACAAGCAGACATTGCTCCAAGACCTCATCAACGAGTCCCGCCAGCTAGTCGAGAAGAGAAAGGCAAACCAACGGCAGTACCTTGTCATCCCTAAGGAGTTCAAGAGGTTCGAGCTGGAGATCGAGAACTCGTGGGTCAGGAAGCTGAAGTACGAGTGTCAGAACGCCAGAGCACATCGAGACGCTAGGAGACGAGAGTTGATGGGTTTCTTAGGTATCGGGTTCGTCACTCTCTCCTCACAATCTGCTCTTTCTTTCTTTCTCTTTCTCTTTCTACCTCTCCCCCTCTCATACCAGCTAATATAATACTCTGTTCTTTTGTCGGTCTTGATTGATTGTCACAAACAGGTCCGATTGGGAAGCAATTAAGAAGTTGGAAGCCGAGCTCATCCCGGCCTGTGAAGGCTTGAAAGCAATGGGATATGTGATCGATTGATGAAAGAAAATCAGAGAGAGAGAGAGAGAACAGACAAAAAAACACTTGTAAAAACGACTACTTGAAAATATAGACAACAGTTCTCTATCCTTCTTCCTTAAATCATATATATCCTCCTTTCCCCTCTTTTCTCACTTGTGTTTATGAATGTGTTTGTGTCTACTTAATTTATTTCTTTTATCATCTCAAAAAAATCTATCTGGAATGAACTCTTCATATACACACACCTAGAAAGTGTAAATGATTGATTTTGTTAGGATAAGTTGACCAAGACTTGCAAAGTTTTAGGCTGCAATAATCATACTCACTTTGATGACCAATTTGACCTTGAGCTGTTGGTTGAGATGAACCTGAGAACTTAGAAGTGATGGGTTGAACTTGTGGGATTGGATTTGCTGCTGAAACAGATGTACTTCTACAAGAGCCTCAGGCTTATTAAAATCTGAAAACGCTCAATCATTCCAAGAACAGATTTTAGCTCCTTTGAGGCATTATTATTATTTTGGCTAAAATAGTGCATTTTAGCCTAATTTTTACTCCTGAGACGGTTTGTAACCGAAAAGTGCCAGCAAGTTGACCTATTTCCAACCTCCCAAATTGCTGTTTGTTCTTGGGATGAGCGAGCTATTTTTGTGTGTAGTGTATCTAGTCAAGAGTACACTGCAAAGACTAAGAATAAGAAGGGTGAGTTTTACTTGAGGGATGAGTGGAAAAAAGAGAGCAAAACTCCATCAAGCCCTAAGTCTCAGCTAGTGCCCATCACTCCCTGAAAGAAAAAACTGGCTGTTGCCTTAGTCATCGCATTGATCCAAGGAATAAAACAATAATATCCGTTCCGGGGGCGAGCGCATCATCTGACCTTTCGGGGCCCCGCCACGGGTTATTTACCCTGGTGGTAGAATTCCGTCAATTCTATCCTTCTCTCGGTGCGGATTTGTACTCGAACGAAACCTTTACTTCCATCCTGCGAAACTTCACAAAAACAATACCACGGCATGGCTAAGGGAGGCGGAAAAGGAGCTGGGGCCAAAGTGAGATTGACTGATTGCTCTTCAAAAATTGAATTAATTGCTGATAAACATCTTCAAAATTTGTTGTTATGCCAGGCCGCCAAATCTGCACATGAAGAACAAGTCAAGGCACAAAAACAGAAAGATTTGGAGGATGCCGAGGCAGCTCAATGGGCCGATGGAGCCAAAGAAAGCAAAGTAAGAATTTAAAACCTCATGGGTTCTTAGACATTGGTGAAATTCTCAGGCTGATGATCATCACACTTTTCTCAGGCTAGTAAAAAAGAGAAAGCAGAAAAGGCTGCAGCTGCCAAAGCTGAGCGAGAGCGCTTGTTGTCAGTAAAGCATGGTCTGATGATCAGTTGGATATAGATAACTAAACATTTCTTGTACGGGTTCAATCGACCAACCAGAAAGGAAGAAGAGGAACAGGAAGCCAAGAAAACGAGCGCGAAAGCGGCCAAACCAGCAGCGTCCAAGTCAGCGAAAAAGGCACCAGCCGGCCCCTCGTCCTCCGCCGTCCCCGAATTTTCCGCTCGAAACATCGTGAGTCCCATTTCGAATCTCATATCTTGCATCATGCTCGTTCCTTACTGTTGAGACTAATTCATCGCACGATTTTCTTCAGGATGACGTGAGTTTCTTTTAGATGAACTATCTAAGATCTATTCACCTATTTAAATCCAACCATGCATTTGTTTTTTTGGATGCGCTTATTTCTAGGCATTGGATCTGTTGGATATTGCAAACGAGAAATCAGACAAGGCTACCCTGGGCGCCAAAGCAGCCAAAGGGGTCGATGCGCATCCCGAAAGGCGTTTCAAGGCGGCTTTTGAGGCTTACAAAGAGAATGAATTACCAGTGATCAGGAAAGAGGTTGGCACATCAGTTCCTTCGATTTTTATTTCACTCCCACCAGTAACGATGTTATAGATCAACTGAGGATCTGACTATACCATTGGCTTGCCCATTGATCATGTTTTAATTTATTCAAAGCAACCGGGACTCAGATTACAGCAATACCACGATCTGTTATACAAACAGTTCCAGAAGCACCCAGATAACCCATTCAACCAGGTTACTGTCTCCTACGATGCTACGAAGGAGGACAAGGTGACTGCGCTCGAAAACAAGAAGAAGCATATTGAAGAAAGGTATATGAGATGTGATGAATCTGCGATTTTAGGTGATGTAACTGATGTATATTTTGCTGTTATTTAGATTGAAAACCAATTGATGGTAGGGATGTTAACTTGGTGTCATGTCGGGATGTGGATGTAACTTGGAAGTTTGATAGATCAGTAATTACCCTGGTTATAAATACCCAAAGATATCAAAAAAAGTAGATATATTGTAAAAAACAAACCAACATGAATTTGGTTCTTCTCATACCACCCCCACCTTGAATGAATAAATCTGTATGCCGTCTGAATTTCGCTCATCCAGCAACCTAAAATACATACCGTGTTGAGCCTGTGTAGTTACCAAGATTAGTCAACTCATATTGACTTTACCAGCGCCATTCTCTCATAGAGATATTTATCAGGTGTATGGCTATCATGTTTTGCTGACTTGTTAGGAATGTAAACCGATGTCCCAAATTAGAGTGGAGCATCTGGAAATGGAATGGTTGTTAAAATCTTTTTCAGAACTTATAAGCTCTCCACGTACTCTTTTCTCTCATTGATCGACCGAAGGCACTGCTTCCTTCACTCATGCTTCATCACAATCAATAACAGTTAAGCCTCTGTATAAAAAACACACCACACACATGCACACATTTGGGGTCAAAATTCAAGATGGCTCCACGGAATTGAGATACAATTTACTGCACGCAGCGTAATCAGCATCCTTGCTCAATGCCTCGTCGTATGAAATTTTCGCATTTATGTGTCCGCCTAGTAATTTGGCGCAAAGGGTTATCAGAATTTCTAGCCTTGATCTTGAGTTTGCAACTTGAATGTGGGTAGACTCCGCAATGAGCTCTGATTCCTGAAGAAGTTACATATGCCAGCCGAACCCCCGGCTGTCGAGTCACCCGGGCTATCCCCGAGTGGTCCGGAGCAACTCCAAATTGAATATTGGGTTTTATTCAATTTGCTTTTTTTTTGCTGTGGAACTGTAAAAGTGGTCAACAGTCACACACTCCAACGAGACTGTCAAGAACCACTTCATACTGCAAGCACTTCATCATGGACTCAAACCGAACGGAAAATACCAGAAACAAGAAGAAGAGTAAACCCAATCTGGATACTAAAGAACCAGCAGCCGACCACCCTACTAAGGAAGGTGCGGATGTCGAACCAGACTCAGGTGACCCAAGGACGACTACAACTCTGTTCATCTCTAGCCTCAGCGATTCGGTCGATTCAGCCAAACTTCTCGAGCGTGCCTCTTCCATCGGTCCCGTGAGAGATGCGTTCGTGGTCTCGGATCCAGTCAAAGCCAAGTCGAGGGGTTTTGGTTACGTTCGATTCGTCTTGAGAGAGGATGCCGAGACAGCACTTAAAGATGGATTGGGCGAATTCGAAGGTCAGGCAAAACCACCTCTTGTCACCTGGGCAAAACCCAAGTTGAACCCAGAGGAGAGAGCTCAGAAAAAACTCGAGAAGACTAAGCCTCAGCAGGCTCAGAAGCGTGGTAGATCGAAACCGGATGGTCTAGAAGAATCCGCCGATTCTGAAGCCAAGAAGAGGAAGAACAACCCTTTCAGTCAAGTCAAGAAGGACCCCTTTTCAAATCGAATCGTCGTCGTTCAAGGCCTTCCAATCCCCACGGAGAAAGATGGAAACGATTCTTCGAAAGCTCCAAAGACAAACCCAGAAGACAGTGAGGAAGAAGCCGAGGAAGCTCGATCTGAGACTGGCGACGACCCTCAAGCTCATCCTGGAAAGTCGATTACGAGTAAAGCTCTGTACAAGAAAGCCAAGAAGTTAGGAAGACTCGAATCAGTCAAATATCCTGTTCTTTTCCCCCCAAGCCCTTCATCCGCCTCTGCTCACTTGTTCTTCAACGATGCGACCTCAGCAGCGATCGCACAGAAAAAACTTCATGGACATATCTTCAAAGGTCACTTTTTAACCACCGCCCTAAAATCCCGTCTAGATGCCACTACTCGACTAGGACATGCCTTTGGTGGGCGACTGATCATCCGAAATTTACAATTCGACATCACCGAGCAAGATCTCCGGTTCCTGTTTGCACCATTTGGACCTCTTCACTCAATCGACATCCCTACTACAGTAGTAGAGGGAAAACCAAAGCCAAGAGGCAGGGGTTTCGCATTCGTGTGGATGTTGAATGAAGCGGATGCAGGTAGAGCAATCGAAGGCTTAAATGGTAAAAAGGTCTATACAGGAATCGCCCTTGATGCCATCCAGAAGGAGACAGATAACGAGAAAAAGAGCGCGAAAAGAAAGCGGGAGAAAGGAAATGACTCGGTCGAACGTGGTCGAGTGATAGCCGTTGATTGGGTGCTCAGCAAACAAAAATATGAAGAGGCCGAGGGCGCAGGCGATGAGAAAACCAGCGATGATCAAGAGTCTAACGACGATGATGATGAGGAGGACGAGGATGAGGAGGATGAGGAGGATGATGACGAGGATGATGACGAGAGTGGATCGGAGAACGAAGATGGGGATGACGAGAGTGCTTTAGATGGTTCTTACGACTCTGATGCCCAAATAGGATCAAGTGAGGAAGAAGAAGATGCAACCGACGGAAAATTCAAGGCCAAAAAAGAGCAAGGTACTACTCTGTTTGTTCGCAACTTATCTTTCGAAGCTACCGAGCAAGAGTTGCATACTCTTTTCCGTCCGTTTGGACCTCTTAGGTATGCGCGTATTGTCATGGATCCCAAGCTTGGACGATCCCGGGGAACTGGTTTTGTGTGTCTCTGGAACAAAGAAGACGCCGAAAAAGTGTTAGATTTGACCAGGAAGTTGGAAAGTGAAGGTTTTGGTCATGGCGTAAGTCTTATTGATTGCCGACTGCGTATTTCCACATCTAATCATTAACTTCTCTTCATACATCCTAGCCTCCAGCTGCAAATGGATTGCCCTCCCTGCTCCAACCTGATCCTTCGTCAAGCCTAGCTTCTCGACTTAGCTTGCACGGCCGAGTCCTCGGTATCTCTGAAGCAGTTTCGAGGGACCAGGCTGAAAAACTCAGGATCGACCGAGACAAGAGTGGGGCGTGTAAGGATAAGCGGCGTCTTTATCTCATGCGTGAAGGAGGTAAGTCACTCGAAATTTCATATCGTCCGAGATGAATCCGTTTTGACCAGTCAATCTTTGCATTAATTGTAGTGATTTTTCCTAACTCCGATGAAGCCAAAAATCTCCATCCGGCCGATCTGGCTGCTCGGCAACAATCATTTGACCAAAGGAAAGCTCTTCTGAGGTCCAATTTGTCGCTCTACATATCCTTTACCCGATTATCAATCCGTCAACTACCACTCTACGTGTCTGAACGTTGCCTCAAACGCTTAGCCCGACATGCCTTAGATCAGTGGCGCAAGGAAGTCAAAGCCGGAAAGCGGGCAGAGTTGACTCAAGAAGAACTTGAGAGAGAGATCACACTCGAGCAGAAGATACCCGAGAAGAAGTCAGAATCCAAGAAGAAAAAGGAAATCAAGAGTAAAGTCAAACAAGTCAAGATCTTACGGACAACAGAAAAAACCGATGGGACGACCGGGTTGGGTAAAAGTAAAGGTTACGGTTTCCTGGAAATGGAAAGTCACGCGGATGCTTTAAGGGTCCTTAGATGGGCTAATGCCAATCCGGTGGTGGATAGGCTGCTGAGAGAATGGACGTGTGAAGAAATCGAGAGATCGATCCAACAAAACGAAACAGCCGGAGTCGAGGAAGATGATGAGAGTCCAAAGAAGAAGAGAGCGAAAAACAATAATCAAGATACGGATGACAGTTCCAAGAAGCAAAAGGGTAAGAAGAATGACCAAAATGCAGACGAAAGTTCCAAAGACAAGAAACCTAAACCGAGCGAACCAAAGATGGACGAAAAAAGAATCGAAAAACTTCAGATCAAACTGAACGAACTGCGGTCTGAATTGGAAACTTTGGACAATCGTAACAAGAAAGCTGCTGCTAAAGTCTCCTCCAATCACTCAGATGGGAAGAATCAAGCTGAAACTGCACATATCAAACCTCATCGGATGTTGATCATCGAGTTTGGTTTGTTTATTCTCCTATTTTTGCTCTTCACCAGGAAAGCTGCTGATAAAATCTCTTTCACTCCTTGTCATCACTTCTTCAATTGCACTTAGCGATCGAAAATGCCCAAACCGTTAAAAAACGGTTGGAAAGAAAGGAGAAAATGCGTGAAAGGGACATGAAAAAGGATGGAACCAAGAACGGTAAGTTAGATGCACGAGTGATTACTAGCTCGTTCTCCTTCTTGCCAAGCTCATGGTTTTCTAATGGACTTGATCAACAGAGGAAGATAAAAAAGCGACCGGGCACGACAACAATGATGATGATAACAAGAACCGATCGAAACAGTCAGGCAAAGGCCACTCTAAAACAGCCGAGCAAAAGAACAATAGCCGACAACGAAAGCTCCGAGTATCTTCATCCGCACCTGAAAAAGATCCCATCGAGTCGGCTGAGAAGAATAGTCAAAGCAAACTTGGTCGAATTATCAGTCAAAAAAGAAAGTCGAAGAAGATCAAACGAGGCTCGAAATAAATATAAAAAAAAACTATGCCCATCCTTTCATCATCGTAATCTCACTTGGTTTTTCTTCTCTTCTCCATTCTTCATTCTTTCCGAATAGCATCCACTTCTTTGTAGGACTTTGTCAATACATATTCAAGCTGATGAAGATCCTATCCATTGTACCACATTGGTAATGTGAAACTCAGATCACGTGTTTTTTGTCAAGCATTATTTTTTATTATTATATGAATGGTCACAATGATGCAAAAAACTACAGAAAGTTGGCTAAAGCATGTACAGTGACGTCGACTTCGAACCAGTTTCTGGTCAGCAGTTGCTTTGCTAGTCTGTTGAGCTTTTTCGTATCAGGATTACCAATCTAAACTTGTTGCGCTTATTCATTGTGACCTGATTACCCTTCTGTACAGACTTCACAAACTGTAAGAACTTAGTACGCTGACATCAGACATTTCCTAATGTTAGAAAATTGTGTGCACACGTATAATGTACTATGTCCTGTAAAGCGCAGAACAGTTTCATAGATTGCTGAACGGGTTACTAGAAACAAATAATTAGCCATTATTTGTTTCTGGTGCTCCTCAGGCTCGCCGCTCAATCACAATGCTCGGGAAGATATTATATGACAAAAGGTTTGTACGCATTGAAAATCAGGTTCTCTCAAGCAACGTGCTTTAAACCCTCACATCAAACGACACACGTCACATCTTCTCTGCCCCCGAAATACTTGAGAGCATCGCGGACGCAACCGGTGCTGTTACGAATACAATATTCATATTGCAGTACTCCGGTCTGCGCCTTGGCAGCTGCCGCCCTCGTTCATCCAACCGGCTAACGCGCCTATGAATGGCTTGGTTGGTGAGCAAGGTTTGATGGTCCAGCTCGCATTTACCTCACATCCCGTCCCGCATCCTGTAGGGTTAATATATTAGGACAGATCAGGACTACCTTGAAAGATAGCTGTTGTATAGAGATTACCGCCGCCATGTTACAGCTCCCGACGGGATGTGAGAGCAATAGGTCCACACGCCGGAGCTCTTGAAGCATTGCCTCCATTCATCCCCGCTGGCCATGTCTGGACTTTGCCGCTGAGATATGAGCGAGCCATCTTGGTGGAAGCTCCTCGTTCAGTTGTCATCTGTCGAGTTTTCTCCTCTCGTGGCACTGCCCGCACGATTGAGCAAGAATGGCTTACCGGTTCAACTCGAAGAAAGCGGGGTTCTTCGCCTTATTAACCTACGCCCACCATATCATCCACTCAACTGAGGGAGGTGAAATACACTCAATCGACGGAGTTCTAACACCGCCCCATCGCATCCCTTGTTTATGGTCCAACCTCTCATCCAAAACTTGGAAGAGTGTCGATGAAGCCATCAGTAAGATTGGCCCCGGCGGGGAGGCAGAAGTCAAGTCTTACTCTCACGGCTACAGTACTCTTCGCATTCTTGGGGAAAGGCCTTGGAATGACAAATACGTGTCATATCCGGCTACGCAGATTGATTCATATCGGTTTCCAACTGATGAATCGAGGTACCTACCCGGTAAGATTATTCTGTTTGACAGTGAGGTCGTCCCAGGCCATCTGGTTCCGGAGGAACCAGGTGGCCCAGAAACACCTCGGGACCTAGTTCCAAACTCTATCCAAGCTCCGAGAGCTCATCAGGCGCCGCCGCGGGTGCCCAAGACTGGTACCTCAGCCTTACGCGCAAATGCGGAGCCATTTACACCTGGTCAGGCAAACAGGCAAAAAGTGACATTACCAGATAAGAAGACTTATAGGGAAATCGTTGCTAGCGGTATCATGCCTCAGGATGAGCCCGCAGGCGATCGAGAATCCACCAACCCGAACGAAATGTCTGGCCATGCGCTTTCAAAGGGAGTCTCCAGCGCCATCGGAGAGCAGCCAGTTGCACAGAACTTGGTGAGTGAAATGAATACTTTTCCATAAATCATCATTGGCAGACAGTTAACCCGGATATTTAATCCCAAATGTTTGAGCAGCGGAACGTAACTCAGAATCGCAAGATGCGCAAGAACTTGCCCAAAGAAGCCTCTGTCGCACATCCGATGAACTTCTATAGGAACCAGCCAAGAAAGCAAATTGAGCCCGATCGCAACTTTCTGGCAAAAAAACTCGATGCGAAATCACCAGTGGGTCGAATCTTAAACAGAGCTAGGAATGAACCTGGAACTGAATCTATCACCGATTCAAGCTCGGTTAAAGAGACCGATCGAGTCATGCCCCTCCAAACCTCACGGACAAAAAAGGTCGATACCAAATCACCGGCTATTCAAATTTTGACCAGAGCTAAGGATGAGCCCAAGCAAGCTAAAATCGAAAGCATCCCTAATTCAGTGTCGGTTCGAAAGAACGAGGCGTCAAAGGAAGATGAAAAGCAGGAAGACATATCCGATCATGCTCGTAACTCTATTTCCCAAGAAGTTCCCATTGATCGTCAGAAGAGCGCCGATGATAAAAACCCAAATAATCAGCACATTGAGAGACATGAGACAATTTTGACGTCTGCGCTCGACCAAGGTGGGGTTGGCAAGATAGCAGAGGCAGAAAAAGCTGATTTCATGAATCCAAGAAGTGGTTCAGAATCTTTGGAGAGGCCAGAGTCTACACTCAAACCGCCGCAAGCTTCCCAAAAGAATGATGAAAAAAAGTTAGCTTCTTCCAATATGGCCTTGGATGATGTTCCAAACGTCTCTGGCAATGAAGTAATCCAAGACGAGAAAAAGATGACGATGCCGCTTGAATCTAACAATAAGAGGGAGCAGAATTCATTTGAAGATAAACCCGGGACTCCAAGTCCAGCTGGAGTAGACCACGATGAATCTCTCCCAAGGCAAGCTGTTCCAGAAGCCCCACAAAGTGCCGTTGGAAATTTAAATTACAAAAGCGCACTGTTGAAAAAAGTGCTGATACCCAACATCGGACAGAAAAAGGTACGATTTGAAAAAAATATTGAACAAATGAACCCTGATGCAAACAAATTGAAGTCGGATGTTTCCAAGATCCACCAGAGGAAGACGGGAGCTCAAAACAATCAAAGAACAAACCCGATTCCAAAACATTTCGAGTGGTATGGTCCAGCTCTTAGCACGAACAAACCAGGTTTGAACTCTTCTTTCAGGATGAAACTCACCCCAAATGCTCGCCCTTTGGGCTTGAAAAAACATCAGAGATTGAAGCAAATTGAAACATCCCTTCGAGAAAAAATAGCTAAGGTAGACCATGCTGCCATTGGAGCTGATATGACAATACAGAATCCAATTGTGGAAACAGTGCCCAAATCTGAAGAGATTATCTATGATTCCCAAAGTCCCACACAAGAAAGCTATCTGTCAGTACTGAAAAAACATCAAAGCTTGAAGCAAATTGAAACATCCCAACCAGAAAAACATTTGAGTCAAGATGATGCTCACATTGGAACTGATGTTGGGAAAAAAGACCCAGTTGTTGAAACAATGCCAACAGTCACAAAGCTAATCACTGATCCTGATCAATTGGGTAACAATGAGAATCAAGAACTATGGCAAACAATCCCAATTCATTCAAAGGTGTAAGTTTACCATAGCTTGATTAGTTTGATTTCTTTGTAAGCTTTCCTGTGAATAGTTAAAATATAATCTTTCCAACAGGGATGGAAATGCAGAGGACCCTGAAGACAAAGAAACCCATAAACTGGGAAATGTCAATTGGGGAGTTTTGGAGAATGAAGGACCAGAGGATTCACCTTCAAGCACAGAAATTACAGACCAAGAAATCTCTAGTCCTGAAAAGCAGGAAACTGAATCTAAAGAAAACAATAATTCCAACCATATACAAAGCCAAACGTAAGTATTCTGCTTGAGTTTGTGATTCATCAGGTATCAAAAGCTGATCATTTTCCTAAAACAATATATTTAGAGAAACTCTGGAGAACATCATTCAGAAAACAAGAGAACCAAAGGGAGAAAAACTTGGAAAAGCATTGGGTAGAAGAACAAAGAAAAAGAAGAATGGGAAACACAAGCTCCTAGAGTCAACTTTGGCAGAAATGAAAGACAATAAAGCACAAGAAGGTGATACGTAAGAACGATTCAGATTCATGCTAAATTCTTGAGACCAAACTGCTAATTTTTTAGATTGTGTTTATTTTCTGTTCTGAAAATTTCAGTCAGGAAAAAGATCTCAAAGTTTCTCTTAATGAATTTGATGAGTATGTTCAGGAAGTGTGGGATGACTCGCTTGAAAACGTTATAGAGGATGAGAGTATTCAAAGTGAAGTGAGTGAACATTTTTGCAAATTGGATTATACATAACATTGAAATATTGGGAATATTGTTGATACATATGGACATCTGATTTAATTTGATTGATCTGTATATTCTTAGCGTGAATTTTACATTTTGAATAAATTTTGCACAAGATTATTACAAGAGTTTTGGGATCCAGTTCAAAGCCCGATTTACAAGAAATTCAAATCAGCCTTCCATCCATCCAAATCTTATAATCTCAAACCCAATGAGATTTTCCCAGGTATAGAAAGAAAACAGTTCCAGATCTCCCAATCCAAGAAACCATTTTCTGAAGATGACCTGGCCAAATTTGGATTCAAATCTGATACAAATTCCCATTCATCAACCAACACTGAATCTGTTGGGAATCAATTTAAATTCAATTTAGATGGATTCAAGTACCATTTGGAACATGATAATATAGATCTTGAATTCATGAAAGCTTTGGGCATTCATTTAAAAATCGGTGACAGATCTAGATATTTATCTTTGAATGATATGAATCTGGAATCATACAAACAGATTAGTAACATGTTCCACACCAACAAATTGGGTTTTGTGAAGGGTGTCAATCTAGCAATCGCACTGATTGGAGTTTATGAAGGTTTGAGGAGAGTTAACACCATGATCAAACAAACCTCTGAAATGACGATTGTTGAGAATTGGAAATTGATCAGAAAGTTGCTGACTCAAAACGGTGAACTCACACCAAAAGAAGCAGACAAGATTGGAAGATACTACAGAATCTCAACAGTCTTTCCAAACAGGCTAAACCAAGAATCAAAAGAGAAGCCGAAATTCAAAACTGAAGTCCAATTGAATATATTGAGCTCGCTAGGAATCTTTGAATCTAGAAGACAAGAGGGAATTTGGATTGATGAATTCCAGTTCAGGAAAAGCAGTAGGCTTTGGGATTCCAGGGAAGATCTTTACAGAAGTAGTCGACACAATGGAGTTGATATTGAAAGAGTGGTACGGATCATCAAGAAGCACAAGATAGACAGTAGTTGGAACTTGATTGATTTTCCTGGTCTTGTCCGTGATGATTTCATCAAATCAAAGGAGGAGCCATTGTTGCCCTGGTGTCTTTCTCCTGAGAGAGGATGGCTCACCAAGATCTATGGTTCCAAGAAAACTGAAGAAGATTTGGTCAATTTTTTGACAAAGGAAGGAATCCTCTAGGGCTCACCCTAAAATTGTTTCATTGATAATTTAAGGAGTTTAAAGCAGTCCGATAAATTTAGAATCACTTGATTTTACATATTCTGTCAAGCTGCTCACTACTTCCCTTGCAACTTCTCTGGAATTGTCAAATTAAGAACCCTAGTAATCTGTGCCAAATTGATTTCAAGGTACTTTCAAGTTTCATTTTCTCTATCCATCATTTTGATTTTCTCAATCAAATTGATTCTCTCTATTGTTTCAATTTTTGTTATCAGTTTACTTCTATTCATGAATGGTTTGCTTTTCCCTATATATTGGTTTGTTCTCAAACCTTTTTCTCTATCATTTTATTTATTTATTTCCATCTTTGCAGTGATAGGAAAGCCCCTTCCAACTGCAATTTATGTGTTTACAAATTTTAAATTTGAGGTCTGTGGAGGCCGAGTTGACCAGGCTACATACATAGATGTAAGTTTGGCTGTGGACCAAGGCCACCATATACATCTGTTGGGGTCCACTCATGATGTAGCCCTTGCTACAAAAATTCAGCTGCCCCCAGTTGACAGCTTGAACCTCTGAGTAAGCTTGTTTTGTTGTTCAAGCTTTTCATAAATGTTGGTTTGACAAAGCTTCAAGACATATCCAAGTTATTATGTAATCATTTTGATGGTCAGTCTGTATATAGTTAGACTGGGAGTATCTTGCATGACAACTGGAGTGACTTTCATGTAGTGGGCCTGCTTTCAGATTCTATATGGGCAATGTCCGGAATCCATGGCTGACTAGTAAAACCTGTCTCACAGAATCTGCACCTTACAATCCTCCACATTGAAAATCCAACAGTTACAAGGTCTAGTTCCAAAGTGTGATACCATGCCCACTGTGGTAACCCAAATGAATGACATGCAGAAAAAATCAAAAGTATATTCTTTTTTGTATATAAAAGCATGACATGCTTTCAGGAATTGCACCACACAGATCAACAAAACTGCTTTCAACAGAAAAATTCAATTCCTGCTGATCACTGACAGTGACAATGACACTCAGCACCCTGGCAGGAGAAATCAACTCCCTGCCCCACGGGCAAAGCATACCTTTTCAGTGATCAAATAATAACAAACCCCAGATTATTACCTCAATTGTTAGATTGGGGGAAACCTAATTTTCTTGTTTCTCAGCCTAAAAGGGGGGGGGGGGGGGGGAGGACAGCACAAATGGCAACTTGACAATATTTTGTATTTACTTTAATTATAATATGTTAAAAAAAGGGTACATCCAAACAAACAAACAAACAAACAAACAGTTGATTGATTTGATCAATAGTACAGATCACACAGAAAGGGCAGAATGAAGTTAATAAGACCAAAAGATAATATAAGGGTGAGTGGTCACTTTCTGTTTTTTTGGTCCTTTTTTTGGGTAAGAAGAAACTGATTGTTATTCTTTCATACAGCTTACTCAGCAATGGAGCCAAGCAGGTTGATAAAGTGTTACAAGTTAAGATCCTCTGTAAGTTGAGAATGCATAGGGACTGAGTAAGAGTGGGATATGATAATGTTCAGCAGGATCTTTGATCTCAAACGTGATTTCGACAAAAGGATAGAAGGAGACGATGCCCCGCTTCTGGTAAACTGATAAACAATCAAGCTTATCGTAAGTTTCTGGGAAGTTTGATGAGATGAAGTCAAGGAAGGGAAAGCGGTGACATACACTCGTTACTGAAGAAGGTCACCTTGTAGATCCCGATCTCCGGTCGGCTGTTTGCCGGTAACAGGGTGTTACATCGTCCATCCGCATCTGTTGTCCCGTTCGCAATTAGCACAAAGCCGTTTGCCGTCAGCCGGTCCAGCCGAATACCCATGTCGTCACCCGGCTTCCCAGAAGTTGCATCCAGGACTACAATTGTAGTTCAATTGGTCAGTTTTCGAGCAGGGTGGTAGATAGATAGATGGTTTGGAAGAAAAACAAACAAACCATGTGAGGTGATCGGACTTTTTCCAAATGACAGGGCCGGTTTCCTGTAATAAGAAGTTTTGTGTTAGGTTGGCTGTGGGATGAAGATTAGAGAGGGAAATGGATCAAACGGACGTATGAACGGGAGTTTCCATTTTACGTTTCTTAGAGGCTGAGCTGAGGATTTCAGCATTGACAGATGATCCAGTAGCGAGGTGGGCTTTCTCTTCCTGTTTGGCAGCCGCCGCGGCTTCCTTGAAGGCGATCAGCTGACTCATCTCCGCGCGACGAGCGGGATCGACTTGAGCGCATTGGGCAATATGATCGCGCATCCGAAACGCTTTGGGACGCTCGACGTGCCATCCACAGTACTTGCAGGTGGCCCGTTCGTCAGTCCCGTTCCCATTAGTGTGAAAGTAAACCCACACTGGATCTTTCGGTCGCCCGCCCTGTGGTGTCAGAGCGTCGAGTGATCAAAGGGGGTCAGTGGGCAGGGTTGGAAGTAGGAGGGGGCAGAGTGACTACTAATACTACTACTACTACTACTGACCGAGCGCGTCTTAAACTTTACCCCTTCGAAGCTGGTATTAGGTGCAGAGGGTGATTCACAGGCTAGGTTAGGGGTGCTTTGATCGATCTTGGGTGCACTGGTTGCAAAGGGTGTTTGAGTGTGTTGTGGTTGATGTTGTTGTTGTTGGTGGTGGTGGTGGTGTGGTGGTGGTGGTTGCTGTGTTGGTTGTTGTTGCTGCGGCTGCGGATGTTGCTGCTGCTGCTGTTTGAGTAGTGGATGGAGTGCAGACTGAGAGTGAGTTGATGAGCTGGGTGAGCTCTTGTTGGTTGGCTTATCATTGTTTGGCTGAGTAAACTGTGCGACTGCCTGTGCTAGTGAGATGCTCTTGTCGTTCTCTTCGGATGGTTTCGGGGTTCGGGTGAAGAAGTGGTTATCACTACTCGAGGGTACGGGCAGGTCGGGTTGGAGTTCGGGTGTTGATGGCTTAGGGTTGGGTTGGACTGGTTCGTTGCTGCTGGGCTCGTTTGAATTTTGTTGAAGTTGAAGCTGCTGCTGCTGCTTCTGCTGCTGCTGCGGCGTCGGTTGTTGGTGTTGGTGTTGGTGTTGGTGCTGCTGCTGCTGCTGCTGGCTAGGGTTGATCTGGAGTAGGGATGATGGGTCCTTGTTTGGATGGTGTGAGTCAGTTGGTGGTGGCAGTTCGAGTGAGTTGGTGAGGATGGGTAGTGATGGCGAGGGTGTTGGTGAGTCAGTTGTTTTTGGTTTTTTGTGGTGAGGCTGTTGAGGGTCGAGTGGATAGTTTTCGAGTGGGAGATGATGGTGGTGCTAGGGTTAAGAGGAAAGGGATTAGGGTTAGCAGCAGCAGTGGACAGAGTAGTTGTCATATGCATGTACCTGCTCGGTATCGTTCCACACTGATAATAGGAGAGAGGAGGTAGTAGTGAGTTAGTAGTGCGCTGGCGGTGGTGGTAGTACATATTTATATAGTAGTCATACTGACTGATCGGATCCAAGTGTAGTTTTTGACTCAAAGTCCCGAGTCGGAAAGTAGCAAAAGTATTTTAAACTTGCTCTGGAGGCTGAACGAAAAAGAAAGAAAGCGGTTGTCTGTTGAGTCTAAAACGGAGTTTATGTTTTTTTTTTTTTTGAGTTATTTACGATCAGTCAAAAACTGACACGGCCTGTTTATAATCCGAGTCGCTCGCACTTTAAACCAACTGAGAGGCCGGGAGTGCGAAGACCAGCGAGAGGGGATTCTTCAGGGAGAGAAAAGTCAGAAAGGAGGAAAAACAAAAGCAAAACGAGCGAATCGATGAGGGCAGGGGGTGCGGGCGCCAGGCAAACAATTAAAACACAGTTTAAGCCCACCAAAATCAGTGACATCCACCACCTGTGAAACCAATCTCAACATCCCTCCCCCCTGCATGGCCAAATCAGATGATCGGAAGGCCTGGGACTGGGTACAAAATTACACATCATATCAAACAACAGCAAAAAAAAAAAAGAAAACACTCAGCTGCACCTCATCAGGCTCACATGAAACATTGACATCATGTGCTCTCATTGGATGGAGGCAAGATCAAAAGCCATCTTGAGCTTAAATGTGTCTCAGAGTTGAGCATTGATGTTTGATTAATATTATTACTATGTATTATGGATGGGCTAGTGACTACCCATATATAAACATGGATTTCTGACAGAGGATAGATACAAGATCCGTACAGCTGGATCCAATCAAGTTGGTATATATACTATAACAAAAACAAGACAATTCATGAATCCATCCATTCAAGCGATCCACCAATAGCCGTCTTCCGAGGTAACCGTCCCGGCAGAGGTGACAGGATGGTGTACTTCTTATTCTTCACATCAATTGCTGAGCTAAAAGCAGCACCCAGCACAAAAGAAAAAAAAAGGTCAGAGAAAGAAAGAAGTTAATCAATCAGAGTTAAACACTCACAGGTGAATAAATCCCAGTGAAGGTCCACTACACGCTTCAAACGCCGCATCAGATTCCGGATCAAGCCCATCCCATTCAGCCTGAGGGATTGAGAGCACCAGATTCAAGATATTCGACATCGATCGACCATTCTCTGGGTCGACCTTCGTCAGCGTGGTCGGTTTCACCGATCGGGTAGCACCGATCGGTAGGGCTGATGAAGGGACGATAGCCTCTGAAAGAAGGGATACACAGAAAAAAAAAAAAAAAGAAGAAAAAAAAGTCAAATCTTCAATCAACTGATCACTTTTGTTTTCCAACAAAACGGAGACCCACCATCGCCAATTCGATAGATTGTCAAGTCCTCAAACTTCACGACAATTGTGAATGGCGACAGTTGTCCCTGAGATAAAGCCGGGCCTCCATAGAAGTAAGAACGGATTTGGTTGGACTCCAACCGTCTTCGATAAGTGATATCTAGATCAGTCGCCTAGGATCAGCCAATTTCAAATTGGGAATGAGTTGGTTTAGTGACCGAGTGATTCGAGCTAAATTTGAAACGGGTCCTTGGCAAAGAATTACGCACCCCTCCATTCTTCGGTACTCGGACCACTTGAACGGTTTTGTTGATCGACATTAGCTTACTGATTTCCAAATGAAGTTTCTCATTCCCTATTACCACCAGTATATTAACTAATTTCGGGTACGAGCTAAGTTCAATGTTAGCGACTTTTTTTTTCTCCACACAATAACCAGTAACGGAGAAAAAAACTCGATTCGACGTACCACCTAGAGCTCGTACCACCGATTTGACCAATCCACCCTTGGCTTTCTCGCTAAATTCAGCCGGGGTATCGATCAAAAGCCCACCTCTCCAAAGAGCGGTCTCGCCACTCTTTTCAATCCTTGTTTCTAGAGCACTCCCGACCCTCTTGATCAGTACTTCAGCCAAGCCGGTATTCCGACTAAATTGGGTATGTCCATAAAAGAAAGAGAGTGCGTTGAGAGAGGGCGCGAAGAGTGCCGGGTTCGGCGTCGAAGGCTGATTGGGATCATGGGTTGGAAGGGGTAGGAGTACTGCTGGACCTGTCGTCGGCGTTGATCCGAACGGCAGAACCGGCGTGGTCGTGGGAATCGAGACGTTAAGTGGCGCGACTGAGAAGGTTCCTGGAACTGTCCATCCGCCCTGTTTGAATGAAAAAAGTATGCCAAGTATGAACTTAGTTTAGGTATATCGGCAGGCGAGGAGGATAGAAACCGATTTAATGTAATGCTGGTACACACATCATTTGGATTCAAATTAACGAGGAGCAATCCAGGACCTTCGACTTTTGTTCGGCCGCTTTTGACAGCCCAGTTAGCCAGAGTTTTGATCAAAGTAGATTTCCCACTAGCAAGTGAGCCGATGACCATGACGTGAGGGCCATGTTTTTCCTCATCTGGTTCCTGCGCGTCTGATGAAACTTGAAGCCTCGGCGGTGGTTCGACGTGGGGAACAAAATGCTTTGGTGCTACTGAGCCTAGCCTGGCGCGTTCCAATGCAAGATGAAGGGCCATGTACGCAGGTACGGTCGATTCCTCGGCAACGTATTCCGTCGAGGCTTTTCCTATGACGTGTGATTGAGAGGAAAAAGTCGAGATCGAAAATCAGAAGATAAATTAGGACAAGTTGTGTACGATGGAGAAAAAAGCGCAGAAAAAGAATGGGATGGTATACGACTTATCTCAAGATCAGCCCCATGCCAGCTAAAGATTGCAGACCGGATCTCATCGCCAAAGGTATACTCTTGACCGCTAGTCAACTCAAACCCGGATATTTCAGCTGTGCCAGAGACTAATTTGATGGTGATCGACTCTCCTGGATCGAGCTCGAATCGATATTCGTGTAGGGCTGGTAAGCTGAATGGTCGACAGGATGATGATTGCGTCATCAAATAATCCTATGTACTGGTCGATTTTTGGTTTTGTTGTTTGATATGGAAATATGGAAATCACCACTCGTGTGTCCAAATTCAGCAGCCGCCCGCAACTGACGGAGCCCCCGGGGGGCACGCAGGCCCCTTTTGGGCAGCCCCCTGCCTAGGACTTTGACATGGTCGTGTTGTACAGTCACCTCCCAGATATTTATAGCCAGTTTGTTGGGATTATACAACCCCAACCCACCAACTTGAAGTCATGAGACTTGGGCAAGTGGTATAAAATAGGTTTCAAAAAATGATTCTGAAAGCAAAAATATGAAAAAATTGATTTTTGAAGTTTGCAAAACATATCACAATTATTGCACTTTTTTCAAAAGTTTCAATAATGCTCTGAGTCCAAATGATAAAACAAAAATTGGAAAGAGTAGTATGGTATGCAAGGAAAATGATAATAAATGAAAAAAATGAACTCCAGAAATTGTTCAGAGCTCAGTATCCAGGTCAAAATGCAAGTTGAATTTGGTCACACTGCCTTTTCCACTGTGAGTCTGATGAATGCCTCATTCCACACCAGTTTAAAACCATCTGGTATTTATTTATTTTTGAACTTTTGATCTATCATCATTCCTCCAACATACCACACTCCAATTTCCAATTTTTTTTTTTTCATTTGGAGCAATATTAAAACTTCTGCAAAAAGTGCAATAACTGTGATATATCTGCAAATTTCAAAAACCATTTTTCCTATTTTTGTTTTCAGAATCATTTTTAAAGACCTATTCTACACCACTTGCCCAAGTCTCATTATATAAAGTTGGTGGGTTGGGGTTGTGTAATCCAGACAAACTGGCTATAAACATCTGGGAGGTGACTGTACATATCAAGGCAAAACATGTGTACTGCGCCCTCTGTAAAATCTGTTGTTTTACATGTTTCAGCCAAGGAGAAGGTGTGTCCATGAACAGAGTATGTACTAGACATGTTTTGATAAGATGTAGCATACATAGACAAGAGTTTGTACTAGTTGGTAAAAGATTCCACATCACCCTACTTCTGTTACTAGGGAAAAAAATGGGGCTATTGATTTGCTGAAAGCTTGATCATTTACTTTGACTACAAACTGCAAACTTCAAATCATAAGAAACAAATGTAAAATAGAAATTGAAGCAAGGCACTGAAATTTGGCAAGCCTATTGTTCATTGGTGATGATAGTCTTTCCTTGTTACCTGCATGTGGTTGTTTTGCTTGCAACATGTTGCTTGCAAACAATTTCACATATGGATTTACCCTTGGAGGGAGTTCATCAAACAGAAAGTATGTAATCTCTTGAGTATTGATCACATGAAAGCAATTACTTATTTGAATTTTGGCCTGTCTTCCTCAACCAACGATTTGAAAATTCTTGTGAAAGGCAATGGAATCATGAACATTGATGATGAAGAAATGAATAGAATTTTAATGGTGAATAAGCTCAAACTAAAGGATGTACCAAATGCAGAGGAGCAAGGAAAAATTCTGGAATTTATTGAAGCTATCCCACAACTGAGAAGTAGGCCCAATTCTGGATTGGTCAGAGATTGTAAGTTACTACCCAATTATTCTGAAAAATTGAAAATGTGCCACTAAGTTGAGACATACTCTTATTCAAAATAGATGTCATGAATCCTGATACTGAGGAAGGGAAAAAATGTACAGAACTTACAGTGATCACTATAATGATGATTATTGACTGATTAGTTTCAATTGGTAGATTTGTTGAACATTATGCAACATGAATTCACATCTTTAAGAGGAGAATTTTCTGCAATTGTCAATCATTATCAATGTCATAATTTCAGAGCAGTAAATTATCTCAATTCCATCCACAAACAAATCCAGCTTTACTTTCAACATTGGTTACTAAGCTTCCAGGGAAAGTTTGGATGGACAATTTTCCCGGAAAAATTGAGCCAGGTTAAGAATGCAGAAGGAACTAATATTAGTGAAAAAAATGGGTTAGAATGATATTACTCTGACTTATGCATCCCTGGTTTATGAAGGAGATGGAGCTGACTTCTTTTTCAATCTTTGGGATTAGTTTTATACCAGAAGACTTTGATAATTTGGAACCTGATGCAGATGAAATCATCTCACAAGTTGGTTCAATTCAAAGTGAATTTCTTGAGGTTGGGAGGAATTCTGAAGAGGCATCAACTTCACTCAAAAGGAATCCACCCCATACAACAACAGAAAGAAAGAAAACACCTGCAGTTTCAGCAGAAAAAATAATACCTGCAGATGTCCATGGAATTATTATGAAAAAAGTCATAAGCGACGTACTTCATCAATTGAAGATTTTGTTAAATGAACCAAATTCCTATTACACACAATATTTTCAAATGGATGAATTTTTTGAAGTTAATATTTCTCTACAAAGGTTTGCTTTTAGAACACTTGATTTTCTTTACACTCATGAGTTAGTAAATTTTGAAGACTACAAGTCAGCCTTTCAAGAAGATGAAACTATAAAAAAAGCATCATACAACATGGTCACCTTTTTTGTTCACTTCAGAAGAAATGGGAAACATTTTTATCCCATGAATGTGAAAAATATCTTGAATAGCCCTTATTCTTCAGATTACAACAACATATTAGCAGGTATTTCTTCTTCTTCTTTCTTTCCCTGTTTGTTTTTCTTGAGAGTGAAATTTACCTTCCTAATTGCTTTTCAATTCAAATTTTGATTCTTTCAAATGATGGTTAAGCTCTTGATGAAGGACAGAGGAAGTATTTCATGTATTCCTCTTTGAAGTTTGTCTTTGAGTTGCAAAAGGATAAAAATTCAAGAATACAAGAGAATCAAATTACAGCTCATATTTGGCACTACTTACAAATCAGGCTATTTGAGATGGATAGAATGTTTTGTGCATTGGAAAATGGTCTATCAAAACTTCATCAGGAGGAAAGGGATGATATAAAAAATAGTATCCTACGGGTCTTCAGATTATTCATAAATTTTCAACATATGAATTCAAGTTGGCAAACAGCTTTTTCTCCTGTTTTACAGATTTTATACCAAGTTTTGGAATTCATTGAAGAAGAATACACTTACAGTCAAAAAGATCCAGATTTTCATCACTTGAATGAAAGTGAAAAGAAAAACATTGCTTTAATGTCCTCATACAGTAAATTTCTCGGCAGATTAGAGAACATTGAGACCTACTGGGAAGAAAAATATGATTACTCTGGTCAGAATTTGATCAAAAACAAAGAAAAATTCAAAACAATGAGTGAAGAAAATGAAATTGTTTATAGATACATTACATTCATCCAACTGCAACATTCAAAAGAAAAATTAAACATCCTTGGGGGTATGCAATCACAATGGAATGACTATTGTCAGAATGAAAAGGTGTTGTATTTAGTTCAAAATTTAAAACAGTCAATCAGAAGAAGATCCAGAAGTAACTTTCAGAATGTACTAGCTGAAAGTTCTATTCATTTTAGCCATATATCATTATCCAGTATTGAACCTTTTTATTTAGTTAACTTTTTATCACTCTTGATTATTGCATGGGTTTTTAAAAGATTCTTTCCATCATCTCAAATGCACATGAATCATTGAAAGAAATATTTATTTTTGATTTTTTCTGTTTTTTATCTCTATTTGAAATGAATAGCAAGGTGGCTAAAAACTTGGATTGAACTAAGGTTCATGTTGTTAATGTTAGATATGGTAAGCTTGATGATTTTCATTTGATTGTTTGAAATAGAGGTCAATTGACCCTACAGTATTATCTGCATTATGTACATACTGTTTTTTTGTGAAGTACCTACTGCCTGTCAAGTAACTGTGATCCCAATAGCAGTTTTTAGGGAATCAAAAGATATGACAGGCCTACAAGCCTACAAATATAGACTAAAACTCAAAAAATGCACCCATTCAACATTACACAATATGGCATGTTATGTTCAAAAGGATTATTTGGTTGAAGATACTGATTATGAATCTTGTGCAGCTTCCTTCCTTGATGATTGAAATTGACTCATGTTACATCCCAGGTATTGATTTTCTTTGTAGCCTTAATATTCAATTGATTCTTCTTGCCTCTGATTAAGTATTTTGGGAACCCTTGATATCCTATTTTTGTAATTAAAACTCCTTCTTGATCCATTGTCTGTCTGATTTGAATTGTAGTTCTGCTCTGAGTTTTCACTGAACTGGTTTTCCTATATGCAACTGATTTATTCTCAAGTAATTCATCCAACAGTAGTATCATCATTCCCCTTTAGAACTCCTTGTTCTCCCCTACACCTGCCGCGTCCAAATCAAAGGCACCTAATAGGGGGTATCAAATATAACCAAATCCACCATTATTTAATTGACTGGTTTGAAAAAATCCACCCTTTTTTAAACATGTTGGTTCTTCATTTAACCCCTTTTGGGGCCCATTGATGCAAAAAAATATTTTTAAAAAAGTGACTGGTTTCTAATGGTGGATTTCCTATATTTGATACCCCCTAATGAATCTGTTTCAATCTCTTTCATCTCATTGGTCCAAGGAAAAGGCAAGTGGTTGATTTATTTGAAAGAGGCTCTCAAAAATCTCCATATGCTGAGTTCCATGTTTGTCTGAAACACCTTCAAAACAAATTTCCTAAAGTGGAATACTCCTAAGCCTCCTTCAAATAATCCACATTTTCTCAAAAAAGGTTTTAGCCATACTACTGTTCAAATCATTACAAAAAAAAACCATGTCTTCAATCTCCACCTGGTTAGCTCTTTCTCTTCTGTCCCTTATCCTTCAAATCAATGGTTCATGTGATCCGGTATTTCAAATTAGAGATGGGCGGGGATAATCCGCCGCGGATATCCGCTATCCCCTGGCGGATACCCGCTAGGGCCAGTGGATACCCGCCAGCGGGTACCAGCTCGTTGGAAGGAGTTTTTCCGCTCAGACCTGGCGGATATCCGGGTATCCCAAGGGATACCCGCCGACAAGACGTGATGTATACCAGCTCGCCGGGAGGAATCCCTCCCGACGAGAGGGTACACAATCCAGCTTGCCGGGAGGGATTCCTCCCGACGAGCTGGTTCAAAAACCAGTTTTTTTTTCTTTCTTTTTTTTTTTGAAAAAAAAAAACACTATCCACCCTTAAAAGGGGGCGGATATCCGCGCGGATACCCGCCAGCGCCAGCGGGTATCCGCCAGCGGATGCGGATGCGGATGCGGATGCGCAATTCCGCTGAAAATGTGAGCGGATATCCGCATCCGAACGGATATCCGGATGCGGAGCGCCCATCTCTATTTCAAATTATTCAGCAATATCTGGTGGTAATTATATTTCCTGTAAATTCTTGTCCGTTCTTGCCCCAAATTTCATTCACATCAATTCTTCTCTCAAATTCACAGAAGGTTCCACTTTGAGATTGTACAGCATTTTTGTGAATCCAGTTGGTTTTCTCCACATCAATTTTAGTTTCAGGTCATGATAGACCCCAGTTTCCAGTTATTTCCGTCTTTTTACAATACTTTCAGTTTAAGGTCATGAGGGACCACCTTGAGATTGTTTGATTTTTCAGTTTAAGCACTGCCAAAATGATTGTATCAGATTGCTGAATCTGGAATTACATCAGATAAAAATATCTGATATTACATCAGGAAAGACTGGGATTGTATCCACCAGAATTGATATTATATCTACCTAAAATGATATTGTGTCTATCATGAAAGATATTAAATCAGCACCAACCTATTCAATTTCAACATAACTGAATTCATATCAGATTTTTCCATCTGATTTAATGCCCATGGGCTAAAAATTTGTATCAGATAAAAAAATCTGATATAAAATCAGTTATGTTGATATTAAATAGGTTGGGCTGATGCAATATCTGTTAAGATAGATATAACATGTTTTAAGTAGGTATAATATCACTCCTGATAGATATAATACCAGTTTTTCCTGATGTAAAATCTTATTTTTTCATCTGATGTAATGCCAGATGTGGGAATCTGATATAATCACATTTGCAGTGAAGGTCATGAAGGACCCGCTTTCAGTTTAAGGTCATGAAGGACCCCCCCCCCCCCACAGTCAATTTCAAATTGGGAATGAGTTGGTTTAGTAACCGAGTGATTTGAGCTGAATTTGAAACGGGTCCTTGGCAAAGAATTACGCACCCCTCCATTCTTTGGTACTTGGACCACTTGAACGGTTTTGTTGATCAACATCAGCTTACTGATTTCCAAATGAATTTTCTCATTCCCTATTACCACCAGTATATTATATTACAAACAATACCAGTTTTGCCTCACAAAAAAATGGCAATTTAGGTGGTGGAAAATAGATCAATTTTCCTGATGCTTTTTTACAAAATGACTCAGGAGTAAAAATTAGGCTAAAATAGCTCATTTTAGCCTCATTTTTACTCCTGAGTCAGTTTGTAAAAAAGCCTCAGGGAAATTGATCTATTTTCCACCACCCAAATGGCAATTTTTTCCTGGGTCGAAACTGGTATTTTTTGTAGTGATATAATGGATGTGGCTGTACAGCATCAAGGGTAAGCCTGAGTAAAAACCTCAAATGATTAATCAGTGCTTGTTTCTTTCCACAATCCAATCAGTTCATGCTGAATTTGGCTGCCAATAGGTCCTAGATGACCCCAGATTTTCTGTGAGTTTCTAGGCAATTGCCTAGCTGAAATCTCTCATTGAATTCAAGTTGGATTCAATGGGAGATTTCAGCTGAAAATTCTATGTATCTTTATGATGGAACTAGGGATTAGTGTGGCTGGCGCCACATTTAAGATCTCAACTTAGTGAGACTGGATAACAAAGAGAAAAGTTTAAAGTATACATTAGGGGGGTTCATGATTCAATTTTAGAGCCATTTTTAACATCTTGATGGGCAGCATTTTCCAATTTTTGTGGGTTTCTCAGATTTGGTATTTTCTGAACTCTATAAATCCCCAAAATATATATATGTTTGATCCAAAACCCCTCAAATATGGCTCTAAAGTTCAATAGGATCATTGGTACCGGTGTTGGGAGCATTCTTCAATGGAGAGGATTACTTGATCCGATCAACTTCCAATAGTGATAAGGAATTGACAAATGGGAAGAAATCAAAGATGAATAGTTCTAGTTTGATCCCATTGGGCTGATTGGGCTTGATTAACTCTTTAGATTTCAAATCAATGTGTGGGATATTCTTGTCCGCAATGTGGTATGCCAATTTGAATTCAAAGGACTTGATTGATTCCAAGAAATTCAAGGAATAGAAATGGTTTGCAATTTTGGCTGATTTGAATTTTAAATCTCCATTCTTGGCCTGGCTCAAAGTGACTGATTCCAGCATCTTTGAATATTACACAGACCACGACCGACCAATGTTTATTCTTGAGTGCTAGGACACCCAAGCTTTTGTTTGGCTGGGACTTAAGGACAAACTTGACGCCACATGGGATCTTTTTACCAATACAGTATCCTAAGAAGATTGGATCCGCTACTTTGACCAGACAGTTATCTACGCAATATGCATGGGTGTATTGTTCTCCAAGATGCTTGAGATATTCTAATACAGATCAACCCGCCAAACAGCTTGTTGATGATCTTAATGCGGCATACAACCGTTGTAAGACTCAAAAAGTGATTGTAAGATCCTTTTTGCTGAATGGAGAAAGGGATGAAATGAGCTGCAAACTCTGCCTTTCTATATTATCAGAAAACAAGACCACCAAGGTAAGCTTGGCAGTTTGGTTGGTGATAATGGATTATGTTCAAAGATGGTTGTATAATTGTTGAAGGTTGATCTTGTTGTCCAAAGAATTGATTGAGTTGTTGATGTTGTTTCTCGTCTTGATGTCTTGATACTCGTGCTCTTCCTTGATGCTGTATATGTATAATGTAATAGAGGTGGTTCTTGAACCCAAAGGGTCTGGGAGCACTATGCTTCAACCAGGACTGGAACAAAGGACTGGCTCTTCTGTGTAATGTTTGTGAAATGAACTGTGTATATATTTCAATCTGTGAACTGTACTACTCGTGAACTTCTTGTGTAATAAATATGTATAATCTGTGACAGGTGTCCCACCAAAAATGTGTACTGAGTGGGATGAGGAGGGAAACAACTGGCAGACAGAGGCCTCCTTATATAGTAAAATATGAGGGATTTTAGCCCCAAGGGACCCTCTGTATGAGGCATTTTAGCTTCCCTGTACCTGAAAATACTGAGGGATTTTGGCTAGACTATCTACAACGCATTCCTTTTATATGTAAGCTGTAAGAAAGGAATTCATGTGTTCTGTGGCTGAATAAATGGGAATTTAACTGGTACAACTGGTGGCCAACTTGTGGTTCTGTATGGATAAAAGGAATTCAATATGAATAAAAGGAATTCAATATGCATTATGCAATATACCCCCATGTAATATACCCTCCAGCTGAGTGCCTCTGATCCTGTGATTCTCCGTGTGACATCCTTGATTCCACGTAACTTCTGATCCAGTAGAGATATGAAGGTGGTTCCAGTGAGTGACTAGGGGTTAAATTGGCCGTAGATTCCATTTCTGACGTCCATTTGTCCATATCTTGAGTCCTTCATTGATAAATAATAAAATTTTGATTTTTCTCCCTTCATACACAGGAATAATGACCACACCGTCTGTTCCCATTTGGCATGATGCACACCTTTGAAGGAGTTTCCAAAAACATCTTTCAGTCTGGAGTGAGAGACGGTAAAACACCTACACCATTTCATAATGGAATCAGTACCAAATAAATCTAGTTCTTTGTTTTAACACAAAACATACCTTGCTCAAAAAAGATCACATTCTCTTTTTTTGGTATGAACTTTTCAGGCGTTCACTTCAAACAAAGCAGGATATTAAGAAGAGAATTGAAACCAGAATCAAAGGGCAAAGCTGAATGGGCGGTCTTCATCAAAGAAAACCAAAACAAGCTCAACAGTCCTCACAAGTTTTTCAAGTCTCTTGGCAGGAAGCAAATTGAAAATGCCAGCCTGAGAGCTAGATTGGGTTTGATGGTGTCTGAAATCAAGAGTCATGATTGGATGATTGGCAAGTTGGAGACTTGATTAGAATAGGTCGACCAAGAATGGAACATTGATTTTAATCCAAGTTTGGATCAAACTGGAGAATACATGCATTTAGACAACTGCAGGCCTTAGTCTGCCAGTTTTGATGTACATTGAGGGGTTAAGTTCTCTGGGGCGTATGACAAGTATAGAAGTCATGAGTATTCTCCCTTACCAGAGACAAAATGGTTCATAGTGAATAGCAGTATGTAGCTGAAAGTTAAGTTAAATAATGCCTGTATTGGATTACAGGCCAGGGCAAGATGTTTATGTTATATTCATTTCAAGCGTACAAAAATGCTGAATTAGGGGAAAGCATTGGTTTAGTAAAAAGTGACAAAATCAGATGTCCCAGATGGGGAAGGAGGATAGTTTAGAGACAAAGGAAGCGGACATGCAAAGCGATGTCTTGGCAAAAAAATGTGATTCTAAAGAGGACAGATTGAGAGGTCATTGGAAAAGGAAAATTAAATTATGAGTGATGCAAAACACAGGAGAAAGAAGAGGAAAAAGTCAAGTGGATCAAGAGTAACTGGGGGAGATGGAAGAATATAAAAAGAGGAGTATTTCCCACTGATGGTTTCCCCATAGAGGCTCCAAGACTTAAGGTATACTATGGTACCCTGGGGGAAATGAAATTATTGCTAAATTTGATAGGATTTAGTGGAATATATAGTTTGGATATCAATCAATAATTTCACAAATATCAGTGAAACTTTGGAATAAATTGATTACTCAGACCTATTAGCTGCTGGCTCAGACAAGATATTTCACTTGCAAAAATTAAGGCCTCTGAATAGCTGCCTTCTTGATGCTCAAAGTGGAGGCATCAAATTTGATTCAGGGGAAATTTTGAGAACAGTCACCAAAGACAAATCCAATCTGAGAAAGAACCTTTGTTCAAAGCTATTAGAATACACAATGCAAGCTCCCCTACCTGGTATTGCAATGTTTTTTTTTTATTTCTGGCCAGCAAAGAAAAAGAGTATTCAGCTGATATTTTCAAAACACTCCAATTCTTTTTTGTAAATCTCAGACAAAAGTGTGACTTGAATATTCTGTCTCTCAGCTCTGATGGTGCTTCAAATGAGATTTCTGCACAGATTGATCTCCACAACGTATTTTAGTCTCACTTGAAACTTGTTCAACCAGAGTTCAATCTCAACATCAATATTGATTGGAAATCCTCCTTCTCCATTGGTCGCAGTTGAAGATCCTAAATATGCCCAATAGAAATGTTCAAATCAAATATGCTCTGATTTGTGAGGAATAATTCAGCTGAATTTTATCATTTCAAGAAAACAAAATTGGGATCATGGGTTGGAAGGGGTAGGAGTACTGCTGGACCTGTTGTCGGCGTTGATCCGAACGGCAGAACCGGCGTGGTCGTGGGAATCAAGACGTCAAGTGGCGCGACTGAGAAGGTTCCTGGAACTGTCCACCCGACCTGTTTGAAAAGAAAGTATACCAAGAATGAACTCACTTTAGGTATATTGGCCGGCGAGGAGGATAAAAACCTATTTAATGTAATGCTGGTACACACATCATTTGGATTCAAATTAACCAGGAGCAATCCAGGACCTTTGACTTTTGTTCGGCCGCTTTTGACAGCCCAGGTAGCCAGAGTTTTGATCAAAGTAGATTTCCCACTAGCAAGTGAGCCATGTTTTTCCTCATCTGGTTCCTGCGCGTCTGATGAAACTTGAAGCCTCGGTGGTGGTTTGACGTGGGGAACAAAATGCTTTGGTGCTACTGAGCCTAGCCTGGCGCATTCCGATGCAAGATGAAGGGCCATGTACGCAGGTATGGTCGATTCTTCGGCAACGTATTCCGTCAAGGCTTTGCCTATGACATGTGATTGAGAGCAAAAAGTCAAGATTGAAAATCAAAAGATAAATTAGGACAAGTTGTGTACAATGGAAAAAAGCACATAAAAAGAATGGGATATTATATGACTTATCTCAAGATCAGCCCCATGCCAGCTGAAGATTGCAGACCGGATCTCATCGCCAAAGGTATACTCTTGACTGAAAGATTTTGGAAACTAAAGGTATTTATTTCTTTATAAGCTATCTCATCTTTTATTATAAAATACAATAATATAATAAACTGACTTTTACCTAAAGGCAGAATAAATCTGAATTAGATAAATGAAGAAATGAAAAATGATGACTTGATAATAGTGCACTAGAGTGTTTGAGGATAAATTTGAGATAACAACTTAAGTTTTTGAAGAAAAGATGTGAATCAATTAGCATCTTAATCTTTTGCTATCTCAAGTGAAAATAATAAAAAGAAACAACTATACTTGTTTATAGTGTTAAGTAATTTCTTTAATGGCTGTTGTTTATTTTGTTTTGATTAGCGATACTAAATAACATTCATTTATTAGTTAAAAGTATCACTCTCTTTCTCAAATGAAGAAAGGCTAAAACACTCACCAATAAACGACGAGGAAATTCTTTCAATAAGCTTGCATTGTGAATCTGATTTAGTCGGGCTAAAGATGATGTTGTAGGATTAAAGAATGATCAATAACAATCCTCTCCTCAACTTGATTGTAAATTATTGAGACTCACCTAGAGCTCAATGATTGCCAATCGTCATCATTTAGAATCCTGGCGTCATCGATGTCATTCCCTTTTTCACAAGCTTTTTGCTTGATTGAAGATTCACAATCTATAAGCTCTATACATGATCAGTATGCAATTATCTTTCTAGGCAGCCTTACAATCAAAGTGTAAAGCTTACCTGCTGCTCTCCTCTTTTGAGGGCTACATTGAGAAATGGAATGCTAACATTGACCGCTAGTCAAATCAAACCCGGATATTTCAGCTGTGCCAGAGACTAATTTGTTGGTGATTGACTCTCCTGGATTGAGTTCAAATCAATATTTGTGTAGGGCTGGTAAGCTGTATGGTTGACAGGATGATGATTGTGTCATCAAATAAGGGTTGCTGTAATTTTACAAGACATATGTCTTGTAAATCACATGGTTTGTAAAATTACATTTTTATGGGGGTAATGTATAATTTTACAAACCATCACCCAAAAATATGGGTTGCAAAAAAAGGGTTGCAACATATGTGCCTTAAAATTGCAACCCATGCCCCATGGAGTTGAATTTTAAGGCACATATGTTGCAACCCTTATGTCTTGCAAACAATATGATTTGCAAAAGTACATTGGTGCCTTATTTCATGGAATTTTGCAACCATTAGTTTGCAACCCATATATGAGTTGTAAATTATGCTTTGAAAAATTGCACAACATGGTATGTAAAATTGAATTTTACAAACCATATTTGGCAACCCTCCAAAAAAAAAAAAGAGCAAGACCCAAAAATCAACACAAAAAACAAGCTATGTGAAATTGAATTTTACAAACCTTGTTTTGCAACCCTCCAAAAAAAAAGGGAGACACAAAAATCAACAAAAAAAACAACAGAAATCAAAAAAAAGGATAAAGGAAAAGGACCCAGCCTCAAAAAACAATAAAAGGCAATCAAAAGAAGAAAGAGAAAGACAGCCTCAACAAAATATAAAAGGGGTAAAAAAGATAAAGACACATTTAACATACCACGTTGTGCAATTTTGCAAAACATAATTTACAACTCATATATGGGTTGCAAACTAATGGTTGCAAAATTCCATGAAATAAGGCACCAATGTACTTTTGCAAATCATATTTTTTGCAACGCTTTTTTTGCAACCCATATTTTTGGGTGATGGTTGGTAAAATTATACATTACCCCCATAAAAATGTAATTTTACAAACCATCTGATTTACAAGACATATGTCTTGTAAAATATAGTTTGTAAAATTCACTTACCCCATCAAATAATCCTATGTACTGGTCTATTTTTGATTTTTTTGTTTGATATGGAAAATGGAAATCATCACTTGTATGTCCAAATTCAGCAGCCACCCGCAACTGACAGAACCCCCGGGGGGCATGCAGGCCCCTTTTGGCCAGCCCCTGAGGACTTTGACATGTTTGTGTTGTATCAAGGCAGAACGTGTGTACTGCGCCCTTTGTAAAATCTGTTTTTTACATGTTTCAGCCGAGGAGAAAGTGTGTCCATGAAGCAAGACATGTTTTGATAAGATTTAGCATACATAGACAAGAGTTTGTACTAGTTGGTAAAAGATTCCACATCCCTACTCCTGCTACTAGGGAAAAAAATGGGGTTACAGTGCCCCGCACGACTTCTCAACTACCCCCCCCCTTGGGGTGTTCCAAATTTTTGGGAGAAATTTTTGATTTTCTTTGCCAAAGTGGGCTGTTTTTTCCCACTTTTGATGCATTTTCCATTTTTTTTTTCTATTTTCTACTTGTTTTCTAGGTGGAATGGACATTTTCAACTGATTTTCTGAAGATTCTGGCAAAAAAAGGAACAAACACATGCCTCCTGGTTTCATACTGAAGAAATTTTGAAATACCCTGCAGTTCAACATACACATTCGTGTGTTTTGAAGGGGTAAAAATATACAATATGCATTTGAAATTCACACCCAATACCCTGTAAGTACATAGTAAGTATATTATAAGTCTATACTGCATGCATATAACTACATAATACTGTTGTTGTAGGCCATTGTTCCAAATTTTACGGCCCCAAAAAATAAAACTTTTTATTGGAGGGGCACAGAGAGTTGTGCTATATATTTTCCAGTTCTACTACTTCTGTAAAGCTCAAAAATGTATAGTATGCAGTTGTAGGGTGATATGTGTTAGAGGAGAAGAAGCCCAAAGTGAAAATTTTATTTTGCAGGTGCCAGGTAGTTGAGAAGTCATGCGGGGCACTGTATTGATTTGCTGAAAGCTTGATCATCTCCTTTGACTACAAACTGCAAACTGCAAATCATAAGAAACAAATATAACATAGAAATTGAAGCAATGCACTGAAATTGAGCAAGCCTATTGTTCATTGGTGATGATAGTCTTTCCTTGTTACCCACATATGGTTCTTTTGCTTGCAACATGTTGCTTGCAAACAATTTCACACATGGATTTACCCTTGGAGGGAGTTCATCAAACAGAAAGTTTGTAAACTCTTGAGTATTGATCACATGAAAGCAATTACTTATTTGAATTTTTTCCTGTCTTCCTCAACCAATGATTTGAAAATTCTTGGGATCAAAGGCAATGGAATCATTAACATTGATGATGAAGAAATGAATAGAATTTTAATGGTGAATGAGCTCAAACTAAAGGATGTACCAACTGCAGAGGAGCAAGGAAAAATTCTGGCATTCATTGAAGCTATCCCACAACTGAGAAGTAGGCCCAATTCTGGATTGGTCAGAGATTGTAATTTACTACCCAATTAGTCTGAAAAATTGAAAATGTGCCACTAAGTTGAGACATACTCTTCTTCAAAATAGATGTAATGAATCCTGATACTGAGGAAGGGAAAAAATGTATAGAACTTACAGTGATCCAACTACAATGATGAATATTGACTGATTAATTTCAATTGTTAGATTTGTTGAACATTATGCAACATGAATTCACATCTTTAAGAGGAGAATTTTCTGCAATTGTCAATCATTATCAATGCCATAATTTGAGAACAGTAAATTATCTCAATTCCATCCACAAACAAATCCAAATTTACTTTCAACATTGGTTACTAAGTTTACAAGGAAAGTTTGGATGGACAATTTTACCAAAAAAGTTTACCCAGTTTAAGAATGCAGAAGGGACTGATATTAGTGAAAAAAATGGGTTAGAATGATATTACTCTGACGTATGCATCCCTGGTTTATGAAGGAGATGGAGCTGACTTCTTTTTCAATATTTGGGATTGGTTTTATACCAGAAGACTTTGATAATTTGGAACCTAATGCAGATGCAATCATCTCACAAGTTGGTTGGATTCAAAAAGAATTTCTTGAGGTTGGGAGGAATCCTGAAGAGGCATCAACTTCAATCAAAAGGACTCCACCCCAATCCCATACAACAATAGAAGGAAATAATTCACCTGCAGTTTCAGCAGGAAAAATCATACCTGCAGATGTCCATGGAATTATTATAAAAAAAATCATGAGGGGAGTACTTCATCAATTGAAGATTTTCTTGAATGAACCAAATTCCTATTACACACAAGATTTTCAAATGTACAAATTCTTTGAAGTTAACATTTCTCTACAAAGGTTTGCCTTTAGAACACTCAATTTTCTATACACTCATGAGTTAGTAAATTTTGAAGACTACCAGTCAGCCTTTCAAGAAGATGAAACTATAAAAAAAGCATCATACAACATGGTTACCTTTTTTGTTCACTTCAGGAGAAATGGGATGCATTATTATCCCATGAATGTGAAAAATATCTTGAATAGCCCTTATTCCTCAGATTACAACAACATATCAGCAGGTATTTTTTTCTTCTTCTTCTTCCTTTCCCTGATCTTTTTTCATGAAACTGAAACTTACTTTTCCTGATTGCTTTTGAATGCAAATTTTGATTCTTTCAAATGATGGTTAAGCTCTTGATGAGGGACAGAGGAGGTATTTCATGTATTCCTCTTTAAATTTTGTCTTTGAGTTGCAAATGGATAGAAATTCAAGAATACAAGAGAATCACATTGCTGCTCATGTTTGGAACTACTTGAGAATTAGGCTGCTTGAGATGGATAGAATGTTTTGTGCATTGGAAAATGGTCTATCAAAACTTTCTCAGGAGGAAAGGGGTGATATAAAAAATAGTATCCTACTGATATTCAAATTGTTAATGAATTTTCAACATATGAATTCAAGTTGGAAAACAGCATTGTCTCCTGATTTACAGATTTTATACCAATTTTTGGAATTCATTGAAGAAGAATACACTTACAGTCAAGATGATCCAGAGTTTTATCACATGAATGAAAGTGAAAAGACAAACATTGCTTTAATTTCTTCATACAGTAAATTTCTTGGCAGATTAGAGAACATTGAGACCTACTTGGAAGAAAAATACTATTACTCTGGTAAGAATTTGATCAAAAGCAAAGAAAAATTCAAAACAATGAGTGAAGAAAATGAAATTATTTATAAATATATTACATTCATCCAACTGCAACATTCAAAAGAAAAATTAAACATCCTTGGGGGTATGCAATCACAATGGAATGACTATTGTCAGAATGAAAAGGTGTTGCATTTAGTTCAAAATTTGAAACATTCAATCAGAAGGAGATGCAGAAGTAAATTTCAGAATGTACTAGCTGAAAGTTATATTAATTTCAGCCATATGTCCAGCATGGCACCTTTTTATGTAGCTACCTTTTTATCACTCTTGATCATCTCATGGGTTTTTAACAGATTCTTTCCATCATCTGAAATGCACATGAATAATTGAAAGACATGTTTCTTTTCAAATTTTGCTGTTTTTTGTCTCTATTTAAAATGAATAGCAAGGTGGCTAAAAGTTTGTATGTTGCTGATGTTAGAGATGGTAAGCTTGATAGTTTTCATTTTATTGCTTGAAATAGTGGTCAATTGATCCTATATTATTAGGGGCTTGGTTAATCGACTCCCCAAAATTGGAGAGTCGACTCCCAAACCCCGAAACCCCCGAAATTAGGGAGTCGATCCCCCAAAACCGTCGACCGGTTTGGGAGTCGACTCCCTAAGAATCTACATATAACTAAAAAAATAGCCTCAGAGGGCCAAACAAACCGTCAGGCTTGAATAGTGCTTTCTATTGATTTCTCATGCGGCTTCTAACGCCGGCGTCGATATTTCACTTTTCAATGTCATTTCTGACATTCACTAAGACTTTACAATCATAGCGACCTTCAAAATCGAAGGCTATTACACCATAGGACCTTAAACAAGTAAAACCCCTCAACATCCGGGGCAAAAACAAGCAGCCTCCCCAAATTTGGGGGCATATACTAGTTTAATATAAAAAAAATAAAAACCCCCGGTTGGTTTGGGAGTCGATCCTCCCAAACCGACCAGGGTTTGGGGGTCGATAAACCAAATCAACCCCCACCCCACGGCAGCGGCCGGGAGGCATCCTCCCGGCCGCGAGACCGCATTCTCAACGGCCAAGAGGGGAAACCCTCTCGGCCGTTGAGGGTATGTACACTCTCGACGCCGAGAGGGTTTCTCCTCTCGGCCGTCGAGGTGTACACTCTCAACGGCTGAGAGGAGAAACCCTCTCGGCCGTTGAGGGTATGTACACTCTCGACACCAAGAGGGTTTCTCCTCTCGGCCGTCGAGGTGTACACTCTCAACGGCTGAGAGGACAAACCCTCTCGGCCGTTGAGGGTATGTACACTCTCGACACCGAGAGGGTTTCTCCTCTCGGCCGTCGAGGTGTACACTCTCAACGGCTGAGAGGACAAACCCTCTCGGCCGTTGAGGGTATGTACACTCTCGACACTGAGAGGGTTTCCCCTCGCCGTCGAGAGCTCTCAACGGCTGAGAGGTGAAACTCACACTCTCAACGGCCGGGAGGGTTTCTCCTCTCAGCCGGACAGTGTGTACCTCGACCCGAGAGTTTCTCTACCTCGACGGCCGAGAGGAGAAACTCTCGGCCGTTGAGAGTGTATACTCTCGACGGCGAGGGGAAACCCTCTCGGCGTCGAAAGTGTACATACCCTCAACGGCCGAGAGGAGAAACCCTCTCGGTGTCGAGAGTGTACATACCCTCAACGGCCGAGAGGAGAAACCCTCTCGGCGTCGAGAGTGTACATACCCTCAACGGCCGAGAGGGTTTCCCCTCTTGGCCGTTGAGAATGCGGTCTCGCGGCCGGGAGGATGCCTCCCGGCCGCTGCCGTGGGGTGGGGGTTGATTTGGTTTATCGACCCCCAAACCCTGGTCGGTTTGGGAGGATCGACTCCCAAACCAACCGGGGGTTTTTATTTTTTTTATATTAAATTCTTAGGGAGTCGACTCCCAAACCGGTCGACGGTTTTGGGGGATCGACTCCCTAATTTCGGGGGTTTCGGGGTTTGGGAGTCGGCTCTCCAATTTTGGGGAGTCGATTAACCAAGCCCCTATTATTATCTGCATTACATACTGTTTTGTTGCATTAAAGTACCTGCTGCCTGTCAAGTAAATGTGTTCCCAATAGCAGTCTTTAGGGAATCAAAAGATATGACAGTCCTACAAGCCTACAAATATAGACTAGGGTTAGGGTTAGGGGTTAGTAACCCTAACCCTAACCCTACAACCGAGATTGAGACTGGAACCTGCGCGCCGATAGCTGACCGCGACGGGACTGTACCGACCAGTTTCCCATTTGCTCTGAGCATCTTACACAATTGTCATGATTTCAAGACTTACAAATTTTATTTAGGTTAGAGTAAGAGTGATATTCTATTGGATGTACAGTGTCTGGCCAAACCGCATTGTCATTGTAGCATTGTTTAAAGTTCAAGTTTTTCACTGACACAGCCGCATATTTAGCGAAAAGCAAACTGAAGTCAATTCACCACAGAGCGTAGAGGTATACCTCACAGCAGCTAAAATCTCAGCTCACAGCTCGAGCAGGAGGTCAGCTTGCATGAGTACTCGGTATTGGCGTCGGGCCAACAGGCTGGGGATTAGAGAAAAAATTTGTGTACATAGGCTTTTCCATCAAACAACGCGACAAGTGAGATATAGTGCTTACAGGCCCTACCGTCCACGATAGAAAAGTGCGGGTCACACCTATAGAACAAAGCTGCAGCCTGGCTCAAATGGAGGATAATCACAAGAGCTAACATTTTCAAGCTGGGTGATCTCTGGAACAAGATCAAATGAGTCATTTTGTGTGATGTGGAGCGGCGACCGCAATGGTGGACGGGTGATTTCAGTTACTTCAGTCTCCCCAGGGCCTCAACATGGCACTCTTCACAACACTGGCTTGATCTGATTCTCCGGCTGGCATTCACGTCATTATCAAACATACATAGTGCGGCTGAGCCCCGCCGAGCCACATTCATCATAAGGCCCATTCGGCCGAGCCACGCGACAACTTCAACAAGGCGCGTCCTGTAGCTGCAGTTCAAAGAAATCAAAAGAAAACTCGATGTATTGCAACATGAACCGCAGAAGTGTACAAAGCGGGGCGAAGCGATCGAAGCTCGATCACCTCCGCGACATGACGGCAGGGCTAAACGACACGGCGCCGGCAGGGCTAATAGTCACGGCCGTGCCACCAAGTAGCAGATCAGGGGCGCCACCGGTCGGCATGGCACCCGCGCCTGCATGCTTGCTGGTCATGGCCGGACCGCCACCTGAACGCCGGCTCATAGGTCTCTCGAAGCTCCGACAGCCCCCGACACGCAATGGAAAACGCCTGCGAGAAGAATGTTCCTTTCTCGTTGCCTCGATTACAGAGCTAAAAAAGGGCGTTGGTAACGGCACACCTTGGTTTTCGAGATCTTTCGGGCTTGTGTCAGAGAACTGGTACTTAAATCACCCGTCCACCACTGGGGTCGCCACTCCACATCACACAAAATGACTCGATTGATTTTCTCCCAGAGATCACACAGCTTGAAAATGTTAGCTCTTATGATTATCCTTCATTTGAGCCAGGTGGCAGCTTCGACCTACACGTGTGACCCACACTTCACTATCGTGAACGGTATGGCCTGTAAGCACTATATCTCACTTGTCGCGTTGTTTCATGAAAAACGCTGACCCAAATGTTTTCTCTAATCCCCAGCCTGTTGGACCGACTCCAATACAGAGTACTCATGCAAGCTAGCCTCCTGCACGAAACGTGAGTTGAAATTTTATGTTATGAGGTATTTATGTATACTTATACGCTCTGTGGTGAATTGACGTCTGTTTGCTTTCCGCCAAATAATAATATGCGGCCTTGCCTTGTGTCAGTGAAAGACTTGAACTTTAAAGAATGCTATCACGATTCGGATCGTCCAGACACTGTACATCCAGTAGCATACCACTCTTACTCTAACCTAAATATAATTTGTAAGTCTTGAAATCATGACAATTGATTGGCTGGAACAACTTTTTGCGTACCTGAGGTTGTGCTTACACTTTCATCCTGCATTATAGCTGCCCTGAATGATAAGCCCGGAATTTGGTATGACTGCCCTTTGATTAATCCAGCGAACCAGATTAGAATAAGTGAGTCTCTCTTAGTCAACATTCCTACAATAATTCAAAAACTCACGCAACGTTTTCGCAATCAATAGCCTGCTCACAATCGGATTGTGTCATGAAAAAAGCCCAGTATTCATCGAGATTTTAGGTAGCAATTTTTTAACTTTTGAAAAGGAACCTCTCAACATGCCCCAGCATATCTCGATCTCATCTTTTTTCATTGGGTTTTCTTGAAACCAACCTGTTGTGTAAATATTGTTCACTTCCCATACTTTAAACAATTATCTTCAAGTTCAACCCACCCTATAGTTATACAATTCAACAAATTTTTGAGAATCTTTGTCCCTCTTCATGCATATCTGTCTTGGCTTCTGTGATGTAGACATAAGCACATGTTTCTGGTATTCTGGTATGAGGTCTTGATCAGCGCGGCAACCATTCGGGTAGTCCTTATTTTGCACAGGCGGGTCGTCCTTCCTGCTTGTTACCTTGCCATTGCAGAGCTTGTACGCAAACCTATTTTCTTACTCCCAGCATGTGTTGTCTGCTGTTTGGGTTGATTGTGTGAGTGAGTGCCACTGTTGCCGTATCTGTGCACATCAGAGCTGCGATTAAGTTACTAATCCTTTCAAAAAAAAGTATATCATATTCTATCATGTTGAATTGGCCCTTATTGTTGTGGAGTGTGCAAACTCCAAACCTGGACTATCTTGGACTTAAGAGGTGGACATAGGGAATACAATACCATAAGGGTTTTTTCCTATCTACCATTTTCATGTCTCAATACTTATTTTGAGTTATATTCCATATTTGTAGGCTTGTAGGCCTGTCATATCTTTTGATTCCCTAAGACTGCTATTGAGTTCATGTTTACTTGACAGGAAGTAGTTGCTTCACAGCAAAACAGTATGTGATGCAGATAATACTATAGGATCAATTGACCACTATGTCAAACAATCAAATGAATATCATCCAACTTACTTTCTCTAACAATATCAACATAAACCTGAGTTCAATCCAATTTTTTAGCCACCTTGCTATTCGTTTTAAATAGAGATAAAAACAGCAATATTCAAAAAGAAATGTGTCTTTCAATGATTCATGTGCATTTGAGATGATTAAAAGAATCTGTCAAAAACCCATGAGATGATGAAGAGTGATAAAAAGATAGCTACATGAAAATGTGCAAGTGCTAGATCAATATATGGCTGAATTAATAAAAATTTCAGTTAGTATATTCTGAAGTTTACTTCTAGATCTCCTTCTGATTGAATGTTTTGAATTTTGAACTAAACACCACAACACCTTTAATTCACTATGAAAAAATCTCACCAAACTGGTGGCAGTTGACATGCAGGTTACTCCTAATGTAAGTTCTGTCATACTGTAATCTATTCATATGTAAGAATATCTGCACAGTAGCTGTGCAAGGTGCACAGTGACTGTGCATTGCAGTATGGATGAGGTAATGGTTGAGTAACACATGAGTAAAAACCCAACTTTAAAGAGAGTTTCTGCATGTCAGCTGGCAGCAGTTCCCTGACATTTTTTCAGTGTTTTCATTCTGACAATACTCATTCCATTGTGATTGTATACCCCCAAGGATGTTTAATTCTTCTCTTTAATGTTGCATTTGGATGAACATAATATATTAATAAATTATTTCATTTTCTTCACTCATTGTTTTGAATTTTACTTTGTTCTTTGATCAATTTTTGACCAGAGTAATAGTATTTTTCATCCAAGTAGGTCTGAATGTTCTCTGATCTTCCAAGGAATTTACTGTATGAAGACATTAAAGCAATATTCTTCTTTTCACTTTCGTTCATGTGATGAATATCTGGATCATCTTTACTGTAAGTGTATTCTTCTTCAATGAACTCCAAAACTTGGTATAAAATCTGTAAAACAGGAGAAAAAGCTGATTTTCAACTTGAATTAATATGTTGAAAATTAATGAATAATCTGAAGATCTGTATCAACACTGGGAGGTTACATACATTATGATATCCAAAGGGATTTGCGTAACATAACTTCCCAGCTGTCCGGATTACACCGTTAGCGTTATCCATACAAACTGCGTTTTTGGGTCACAAGCAACGTAACAAAGGGGATTTCCCCCCTATTTACCCAGAAAAATAACGCAAACAACAAGTTATCTGCGTTATTGACTAGTTATTCATTATTTATCCACCTTTTTGGGCTGTGGATAATGTAATGACAAAAAAAATTAAAAAAGAAATGCAATGAAAAGGCAGTTGCAAATATTGTCTCCTTTCCTCCTGAGAAATTTTTGAGAGGCCATTTTTTAAGGCACACAACAATCTATCTATTTCAAACATACTGATTCTCAAGTAGTGCCAAATATGAGCTGCAATTTGATTCTCTTGTATTCTTGAATTTCTATCCATTTGCAACTCAAATACAAACTTCAAAGAGGAATATATGAAATAATTCTTCTGTCCTGCATCAAGCGCTTAACCATTATTTGAAAGAATCAAATTTTTTATTTAAAAGCAATCAGGAAAAGTAAATTTCAGTTTCATGAAAAAAAAACTCAGGGAAAGAAAGAAGAAGAAGAAGAAATACCTCCTAATATGGTGTTGTAATCTGAGGAATAAGGGCTATTCAAGATATCTTTCACATTTGTGGGATAAGATTTTTTTCCATTTCTTCTGAAGTGAACAAAAAAGGTGACCATGTTGTAATTTATGATGCTTTTTGTATAGTTTCATCTTCTTGAAAGTCTGACTTGAAGTCCTCAAAATTAACTAACTCATGAGTGTATAGAAAATCAACTGTTCTAAGCGCAAACCTTTGTATAGAAATCTTAAATTTGAAAAGCTCCATTTGAAAAGCTTGTTTGTACATACTAGGAATTTGGTTCATTCAAAAGAATCTTCAATTGATGAAGTACATTGCTTATGATTTTTTTCATAATAATTTCATGGGAATCTTCAGGTATGATTTTGTCTGCTGAAACTGCAGGTGATTTCTTTCCTTCTATTTTTGTATGGGGTGGCATCCTTTTGAGTAAAGTTGATGCCTCTTCAGAATTCCTTCAAACTTTTAGAAGTTCCTCATGTATTGAACCAACTTGTGAAATGATTTTATTTGAATCAGGTTTTAAATCATCAAAGTTCTTGTTGGAATTTCGCCTTTTTTCTTCTCATCCTTAAAAAACTCATGATCTATCTCTCCTCTGAATTGATAAAGATTAGATAAATAATACATATAATTTCCAGTTTTTTGTTGGTTTCTGTGTTCTATCTTGTCATGTTGTCTAGTGCTGAAATCCTTGTAGTCTTCAAACCCTGGTCTAGTCTTTATCAACCATCATTTATTTCAGTCATCCTTTCAAGCATATGTTAATTTTTGTTATTCATTTTGATATTCAAATTTTCTCTCAACCACAGTTTGAACTAATTGTATGTATTCTATTTAATACATAGGCTCTAACTATGAATAAAAAATCATTGGTTCTTTCCCTCCTTTTCTAACCCACTGAGCCTTTCCATCAAAAATTACTTTTGTTGCCCAAAAAAATCTCTGATTTCCAGTCCTAATTTCTTCCGTCTTCTAGTATAAACCTAATCCCAAAGGTTGAAAAAGAAAATTAAGCTCCATCTAGCTGCATAAGTCAGAGTAACATCATTCTACCCCATTTTTTTCACTAATATCAGTCCCTTCGGCATTCTCAACCTGGGTCAATTTTCTTGTAAAATCATCCATCCCTATTTTCCCTGTAAACTTAGTAACTAATGTTGAAAGTAAAGTTGGATTTGTTTTTGGATGGAATTAAATAACATGAACTGTTCTCAAATGATGACATTGATGATGATTGACAATTGCAGAAAATTCTCCTCTGAAAGATGTGAATTCATGTTGCATAATGTTCAACAAATTTTGTAAGATGGATGTGGCTTGGTGGGGCTCATCGGCACTATGCATGTTTGGCAGTGACTCGTATGCCAGCCGTCGAATGAGATCAACCGGGTTCCGGGTTCGGGTCAAGCTCAGCTGGTGGCACAGCAACTGGCAACAGCAATCCACTGTCCAACCATACCCGAGCACCACCCTACATCACAGCGATGGCCAAGAAAGCAAAATCGCTGAACCCGGCCGACGCCTTTCGTAAGTCTTACCTTCTTCCTGCAGGACACTGGGCACATCACATCAATAAGCTCATCTACTTATTTTGCGACCATCCAGGGAAAGCTCAGCGGCAGAAAGAGATTAAGCGGAACAAACTCGATCGGAAGAAGGCGCGTGAGGATGCTCACAGTAAAAAGGACTCATCTGGTATGTTCTTCTCAGTCACTCTTTCATCAACCCATTATCATTCTAATGTTATTTGAAGAAAAGAAAAAGAAAACATCTACTTGATTAGCATCTCGGGTTGATTTAAAATTCACGTGATGTACTTGTTTTTTTTTGTTATACTCTCGACTTATTCGAAATTATCTCCTAATTCTAAACTTGGCCTCCGTTGAAAAATCCGTTTAACCAGCTATTCAGGCTGAAATCAGTCAACTGGAGCGATTATCAAAACCGACTCTCTCCGAACAGAACCGACTAAAGGAAGCTAGAAACGAGCTATCACTGATTCTGAAAGCGAAACAGCAGAAGGGAATCACCACCTCAACTGATGCCACTCCATCTACCTCAAAAGTGATTATTGATCCTGCCACCGGCCTTCCTGCAGTCACAGGCCCTGATAACCGTAACGATGCAGACAAGAGTGGTCACACATCATCCAATACCACCAAATCGGGTTCCAACTCACGCACGATGAATTGGTTCGGTCCTGATGGAAAATTGCTTGAACCCGAGAAGAGCTTTTACTACCATCCGGTGTTCAATCCGTTTGGTGTTCCACCTCCTGGCATGCCCATGCGAATGAAAGATAGCTTGGACGTTCCATCCGGCACCTCATCTAGTGGACCTGTCTCCTCAGACCTTGGGCCCAATGACCTCAGCCAAACTCAGCCATCAACATCTCGAATCATTGAAACAAAAGGCGTTTCTGAGAAGGAAGGCGATAGTGAGAATGAAAGCGAAGAGGATGAAAGTGACGAAGACACCGAGAATGATGAAGATGACATCCCACTGCCTGAAGGTTCCCCTCCTGCTTCCGAATCAGAAGACGACGAGATTCCCCTACCCGACGGACCACCCCCGCCCAAGCCACTGCACAAACCACGCTCGGATCAATTATTGAGCAGACCCACAGCATTTTCTGAAAACATTCGAATTCAAGGACATCATCCCCATTCTGGTCTCGCGCAGTCTGCCCCTTACTTTCCACCTCCGATCAGCCTCGTTCCGGGCTTACCTCCTCCGCCTATGATAGCTGGGATGAGCATGAGGTCATTTCCGTTGGGACCCAATGGACTACCTCTACCGCCTCCCCCAATCAATCACTTCCATTCCCTCCCACCTCCACCCACCTCGGCAAATCTTCCAGCAAAACCGGAGCTTGCGGCTGGTCCCCTTAAGGGGGTACCCACTCCTGGTGCTGCGACTCCTGCTCCCAAACCTACCATCCAGGCCAGCGCGACCGTGACGGCTCTTCCTCAGCTGCGAGATTTGAAACGAGAAGCCACGAGCTTTGTACCAGCGGCGATTCGTAAGAAGCGGAAAGAACTCGATCGACGGGCTGGGCTGGCTGGTCTGGGTGATGGCAATCGTATCCAGGCTGCCCCCAGCTCCCTCGACCCAGCCGGTGAAGATCCATCCGAGTCCAAGGAACCCAAACAAGTGACCACCACCTTGTTGGCGGCTCTAAAGCGAGATGGGGTAGTTTCAGATACCCCAGTTTTGAAGGGACCTGTAGGCTCGGTAGGCGCTGAAAAGGACGATTACGAAAAGTTTGTCGAAAGTTTGGGAGATGTACTGTAATATACCATTTGCAGCAAAGAATAGAATTAGCCAAACTGCCTGCACATTGTACTACAATTTGTTTCTTGAACCCGCGGGTGTCTTCCGCATATGGGCCTGTCCAACCCCTTATGACTTCAGTAGTGATAAGCTATCCAGCCTGGAAGAGGGGTGTCCACGCCCCCCTCCCAGGAAAAAAAGGTGGCAGGAGAGGGTCAAAGCCAACATGTGAATCAGAGATGGACAGATGGAGCAGTGAAGCCCTTCCAATATCAGCTTGTGCTGTCCCTTGCAAACTCATTGTATGTTCTTACACATTCTTGATGGATCAAAATCCAGCGGTTTGGAAGTAGCACAATGTGTATAATCAGCCGGAGATTTAAGGGAAGTCAGAACCATGTGTTGGAAGTTGTTATATGTGTACTAGCCATCATACTGACGTGCGGCCAGTGGCAGGACCGAACATCTTGAGAAGATTGAGCGAATGTATTTCAAGAACAGGTAAGGGAACCCACATCCATCCAAATTCAATTGCAAACCAATCGATGAAGAAGAGAAAGAGAGAAAAAAAAAGGCAGAAATCTGTCGGGGGTGGGTGGGGGCGAGCTCAGTATGTAGAAGTTGCACATCTGTGCATCTCGTTCTTGTCGATAAAAAATATATATGAACATTTGTCGGATACATCTCATTTGTGCGTATATATATGAACACCCCAGTGACCCCGATGACGAAAGAAAAAAGTGGAAGATCTTAAGAGGTCTCTTCTGCAGTGGTTTGGTTCGCCAGGGATCGGATGAACTCTAGAGCTTGCTTGGGCTTTGGGCATAATTTTTAAACCGATCCAGTCGTCGATCAAAGAAATTTATCATGAGGGATTTAGTCAGTCAGTCCCAGGGTATATACAAATAATAAGCTGGGGGGGGCATGAGATGGACTGACGCTGGTAGTGGTGGTGGCTTTCGGATCGACCTGGATGAGTTTCCCGCCAGCTTCGAAGATGAAGTGGGATCGTTGGACGGAGGTTTGGGTTTTGGATGAGCCTAAGAGCTTGATCAGTTGTTGCTAAAAGAAAGAGCCCCGATAGCACGCCGAAGCAAGCATCAGATCGTCAGTCAGACCACGCTTCTCTGGTGTTATCATTTGAGCGCGCCTCTCGTACCTCGGGATCACAGAGTAGAGTGTAAGGCAGTTTTTGCTGTAAATGGGAAGCAACCGGGGGAGGGAAAAATAAATCAGTATTCAAAACTGGCTCCAGAGGAATGAAGAGTCACGGACCTTGACTTTCCAAGTGGTCTGCGCCTTCGGGGAATCCATGCTCAATCCGACTACCTAAAGCGAAGATTTCTAATAAGTTTTTTTGCTTTGATCGATTGGCGTTACCAAGATATTATACAAGCTGCATATCAAAGAACAAACTTGGAATCCAGCATCAACGATCTCCTTGTGGAGGTCTCTGTAGCCACAGGCTTGAGTCGTGCATCCTGGAGTGTTTGACTTGACAGAAGAAGATGATTTTTTTTTAAAACAGCAGGTTCGTTTGAGCTTTCAAGAAACCAATGATTCGTGATGTGAAGCGATGGATGTGATGAGACATACCTTGGGGTAAATGAATATGATTAATCTGGTGGATAAAAAGACGCGTTTTGCGCAAACCAATCGAGTAGAACGCACCTCATCAGCTGCTTGAACTCAAGCGGATAAGACTTTCGGGTGCCAAGAGGAGGGAAAGGAAGAAAGAAAGAAAAAAAAAAGTTGGAGCTGACCCTTTCTCTGCAGTGAGTTCGAGCACATTGACATCCGCGTCATCGTGGTTCTTGAGGATGATTGTCTCCGGTAATTTCTCGCCAATCGCCAGTTTCTTCTTGGAGCTCGATGTACTTTCTTCTTTGACGGGTGCTTTGTCCACTTTGGTCTTCTTCTTGGGTGGTGGCTTGGGCTCAGCATCTTCGAGCTCCTTGACTTGGCTCTCAGCGCTCAATTCTGATAGTGAGTCATCCTCAGCTTTGCCGGCAGCCTTTTTGGATGGCTTGGTCTGAGTCTTAGCCTTCTTGACGATCTCTTTTCCATTTGGCTTGACTGTTTTCCCGGTTGTTCTCGGGTTCTGGTTGCCGGCTGGGAGTGGTTTTGCGGACACTCGCGTCGAGCGTCTCGGAGCCACCTCCGATCCGGGTTCCGTTGAGCTGCGTTTCTTCGGCATGATGGAGTTGTTTGAGCTGGTAGGGATTGGTCTAAAATATCTCAAGATACAACACGCAAGGCAGAGATGGGAAAAAAAAATATAGGAAGAGGTTGCAGTTTGAGGATCAGATATTGGCTATTCAGTTTTTGGAAGAAACACATATTATTTTCGTCCTGGGGAAATATTCTTACAGAGTTCGTTATAATCCCGGACACTTATTTATGTATATATAAGGCTCAAGCGTATTTCTTTATTTACTTGAATATCTAGAGATCGATCAGGGATGGAGATAGTAGTGGAGGTGTTCAGCTTACGGCGGCTCCAATGGTTATTATATGTAGGATGGTGGTAGGATGTATGCGTGTCAGCTTATATATTAGTGATAGACTGCAAACAAACACTAGACAGAAAGAAAGAACCCACCTGAGTTGGTGGAGGGGGAGGAGATGATAAGACACGCCAGTCTAATCCTCACTTACTGGATGGTGGGCTCGATGGATATCTAAATTGTAGATATCCTTGGAGGGAATATTTATTGAAATGTGTTGCAGTTGGTGGGCAGTGGGCAGCTTGAAGGAGATCTGCCTGGGGATGATGGTGAGCATGGACCTGCTCTTTGGTGAATATTTAAGTATTATTTATTTATTTATTATGTATTTTCAAATTCTTCTTATAAACTGTTCATCCCCTGCTCCCCTGCGCCTGCTGCTGCTTTGATATCCTCCTTCTTGGACTTGACTTTCCCCATCCACCCAGCTCACAAGCTGAAGCAGCCCACTTGATTTGAATTGGAGTATGTATTTATTTATTTATTTAAATACCAGAGAGACATTGCCCTGGGGTATGTTTCATCCGCCTTTCACTCAGATATCACATCAAACTCGCGCTGGAGCCTGGAACTAACCGGAAACACCACCACCCTTCTTCCACACCAGCTACATATAACGCCATCCTTGCCACTGCAGTACGGTTCTCTCCCGACCTTCGCTGGTACCACAACCCGTCTTGCTCGGGGTGGATGGGCTGTTGTATGCGGTTTTTGTGAGGTAACTTAACATTTGTACCATGCCCATCTCTTACTGCAATTCCCTCAATGCACTCGTCAGTTGTTGTGCATACAACAACTGTTTATGTAAGCGAGACAAGCCGAGAGATCCAAGGTTTCAGTCTCAATCCATGGCCAAAGGAGGATGACACAAGCTGAGGCCAATGCGTGAGGTGCACGAGTTAGCTAGTGATAGTGCAATACAATGAGACATATTGTGCTTCCACCTTGAATCGCGATTCGCCTCAAGACCCACAGCCCCAAAGAACCTCCTAAAAAAACCCAGTCTTCCTCCGGTCATCATGTTGAATATATTATGGAGGATAGTGCATTGAGTTGGCTGACGACACAGCAACAAGCACCCACTAAGGGTCATCCTATGCAGGGTTAACTGACAGCCCAACCAACCCACGAAAGACATATGTACTACGGCTGCTGTTCTGCGTATCTACCCAGTCACGGTCATTCTGGGTCATTCTGGGGCGCCAACCGGAGTAAATATTGACACGCAAGCAGGAGACATACAGTCTCGTCTGTGAAGAGGGCGCGCGGCTAGGATATGATTGGCACACTGGCAGCTCCTTCAGGTTGCAGGGCCAGGTTGGACGAAGTGAAAAAACAAAAGAAATGTGGCGGTCACACCAGCTTCCTCCGAGACGCGTCAGCCATACTGAAACTTCAAAAACAATCCCTCTAACCAAGTGACGGGTCTAACCAATTTATGGCGACGTGGCATCGCTTAGTAAGCCAGATCGCAATTGACCATATCTTTGTCCCTCCAAGGTCTTAAGCCTGATCGCCTACTCTGAGCATATATCATTAGACAGAGATAAGGGGATTACCTGACCCTACACAGTTCATTACAAAAAAGAAAGAAAAAAACTATGCACACATTGAGAAGATACATAATCCATCCAGAAGTCTAAATTTACAAGTCAAACGTCTAAGATTTGGGTTTCTTATTGTGGGTGTTGAATGCTTCTACTCCTTGACCCCATCGACCGGCCCGTTTTCCCCATTGCATGATGCCCCAAAAGTGGACCTCAGAGAACTTGGGACGAGTGAACAACGATTCATCTCCATTATCTTTATGAGGATCCAGATTGTCTGCCTGCTGGCGGACGTTCGATTTTACCGGTGTGGCGGTTGATGATGATGATGATGATAGTGATGGTGATGGTGGTGATCGATTGGGAGTCAAGTCCAATTCGAGTGGACTCCATGCCTTCGAACTCCGACCCCCCGATTTAGTTAATTCAAATAATCTAGAAGTCGCCCGATCGAACGCATATTTCTCGTCTTGGCCACTAAAGATCGCCAGTTGTTCTACTACAGTTTTCTCAATCCTGTGGTTCTTCTTCTGGGGGTCATGAGTGGGTGTTTGTTGAACAACAGAGATGTCTTGGTAGCTCGACACATTCGGTCGAAACGGCTCGGATAGCTCCTCCACAACATCCGCCAACGTCTCCAGCTCGATGGCATCCGCTTGGTGACGTTGATCTAAAGCATCTGGAAAGAATAATTTGTCGATCGAGGTATGCGAATTCACATATAGTTTGATTGAACATTCATAAGCCGCATCTATAAACGTAATCAGTCTTCTGGCTGGATACAGTGAAGGAGGGAAATGAAATAAAGAGATAAGCATCAGTATTCTGTGAGAGGATAGATTAAGTCTAACTACGCACCTTCATTCTTCATGAACGTGGTAAAAACAGGCACGCCCTCGATCAGAATTGTTTCAAAAGTTGAGCAAATCTTCAAATAATCAGCTGGACCCAATGCGGTTTCACAGAGCTCCTGGTAAGTAAATATTGCAGACTTGGAGGGAGGGTCAGATCGATTAACGATGATTGTCCGCCCATAGACGACCAACTCCGTCTTGAGGGGTGATGGTAAATGTGAATCAACTAGTTCTTTCCACACCCCAGAGTCGATATTTTGATACCAATGCGATGCCTTAGGTACATTCTCACCCTCTCCAGATTCTAAAGATAGATTCAATCGCCAATCTACGTCAGAATCTAACGAGACCACCGGAGATTTGATTTTCAATCGATCCAAGAACGGAGCCACAGTGGATTTCTGAACTCCTTGATCATACATGTCTTCAGAACATTTTCCAATCAAAAGTCAACATACTTGAAAGAAAATAACACAAATCAAGAGCTTTTAGCCAAAGCTTTGGGATTGATGCTTGAGCTTACGTTCAGGAAGCCGATTCGAGGTACCAATTACTACACCACCTAGCCTCCAATACCATTCTAAGACGCGACTCAGAATCCCAGCACCAGCAACATCAACCTGCCCGACGGAACATGAGTTGAGTCCAGAAATTCAAAAAAGAAAGAAGAGCATTGTATGAGGAGGCAAACGCAATGAAAAATAGCTCACCATCTGAATTTCGTCAAATGCTAAAACCCATCCCTGGTTCAGAATCAAGTCACGTGCCACTTGGGCTAGGACGAAGTTTGGGCCATTGAGAGAAGGATCTCTAGGATCCTTGCCACCTGAAAGAAGTGTAAGCAGAGCGCGTCATGAGGTTTACGGTCACTCAGCAGCACAACAAGACGCTTACCAGCGAAGATACTTCTCCAGCCTTGAGATAATGCCTGATTCCGTGCACGATCTTGTTTGGGGGGTAGATATCCACTTGGTTGGTGCTTCAAGCTCAAGATTTCTGATGCGTCTTCAACAGATAACCTAGATTGTTCTAACTGTCATATATATATATATATAAAGTAGAAAATGTATGATCAGCTTGATTTCTTAGCGAATGAGTCTGGGGTGGATGAATAATAAAAGCTGGATTGAACTTAAACACGTCGCGAGACCAATGAGTATAGAGATAACAGAAAGTGATGATAATGTCTTCTGAATTTCTGGTTGATGGGCAGACTATCACTACAGCGGACAACCGAACAGAATTCGAGATCAGCTGGTCAGCGTCTGCTCCGATGTTCAGATATACAAATTTAGGGAGGAGAAAAAAAAGATCCATACAAAAACAAGTCCATGAGTAGTGTTTTACCAGTCCCAGGAGGGCTACAAGAAGTCCGATGATCCAGATGAATCGTTCAGCTTTAGACTGCTGCGCGATCTGTGAGCTTGCGGAGTTGAAGGACATACCCAGTCAAGAGGAATCCCTGTATGATGTGAGGAGAGATAAAATTTGATGAGTGAATTTTTGTGAAGCAGATATCTTTGAAGGGAGACCAACAGGAGGGGCATCTCGATCAGCAGTGTGTTGGTTTTGAGTTAGGATTTTGATCAGAGCAGTTGATGAATGAGTATCGAGAGCAGGTAAGACTGATGGATCGATGGGCTGATTGGCAGTTGAAGGAGACAGTAGGGCTTGGTCGAACAGGCCGAGCAGTCTGGGATGAGGGGTGTACTCTTTCAGAGCTTCGTGAATGGGTTGAAGCTGGATCAATCGATTCAAGAGCAAATTTCAGTTTCAGTTTCAGTTTCAGTTTCGGTTTGTTTGATGCTCAGGATGAGATGAGTGGACTGACTTGGTAGATTGCCCTGGTTTGGTGTTCGTCTGCTCTGAGGGTTCCGATGGTCAGTTGTGATTGGTAGAGTTGGATGAGGTCGGTTGACTGGAGATGGGTTGACTGTTTCCTTCTTGTGATGAGCTGAGTCTGAGCCTGGGTGATCAGTGGGAGTGGGAGTGGTCGATGGAAGAAGTGGGACATGGTGATGTACTGGGCAGGGCTGGGCTGGGGGGGGTGCTGGGCTGTGAACTGGATGGATGGCTTATGAAAGAACACTACATATTTATGTAGACTGATAAAGCACAGATGGAAATCCCCCCTCTCCCCCCCTGGCAACCAATCTCACTTCATTTTGGAAATCTGAACAATCCAATCCCAACAAGACTCAACCTAGCATCCAGACACCCCGAGTGATCCTGGCTTGGAAATATGCAAGATATAATTTGCTCCGCCATCCAACTATTCATTAAGAAAACAGATCAAAAACAGCCGGACTTCCGACAACGTTCAATGCCAACAAGAACCTTTTGAAAATATAGGTCTGTTGTTAGTAAGGATAGGAGAGGGGGACAACATCGTCTTAAATTGGACGGCAAACGCCGCTGTTTTGAACATAAATCTTATTTGCTTGAAAAAAAATAGGAAAGAAGGAAAGAAAGAAAGAAAGAAAAGGAATACAAGAAAAGGAAAGGAAAGATCCAAAAGACAAGAAAATAAGATAATCAAATACCAGAATTCCTCCATCGGGAGAATTTGCTGCTCGCCTTGTTTTGCTGAATCGCTGGCTCGGCCCCTCCAAGCCCACGTCGGGTTTGATTGGTCATAGGAGGCTGAGGAACGGGTGCCGATGAGTGAGGCTTGGTTGATGACTTGGTCGACCTTCCGGCTGCTTGATTCCTCTGAGAAAAGAACTCATCAACCACCCCACTGGCTGCCGAGTTGACATCGATTGCTCGGGCTTTACCCTTATCATCAGCTTTCTGACTATTGGATGCGTACTTGCTGATCAACATCGCTCGATTGGCCCGTCGAAGGTGCTCAGGATGGTTATGCTTACGAAACAGTCGGCTGAATTGGGCTTGCATCGGCCTCATTCGTTCATTCCCTTCACTCTCAAACCCACTTCCGATCCCACCTGGCTCGAGTGAGGAGGGCGTGTTGGGACCATGATCCTGAGTACTATCCGATTCTTCGCCGCTTTGACTAGCTTGACTCCTCCTTCTGTTGATCGAGCCCATGAAACTTCGAATCTGACGGAGACTGCTACTACTACGCTGACCGACACTGCTATTGTTACTGCTATTGCTTGGATTCCGACGGAGCTTGACAAGTTTCGATGGCCGCCTCTGTGGGGCTGGAGAGATTCCCCCACTTCGTCGTTGTGAGAGAGGATCAAAACTGAACTGCGCTTGTATTAAGCTTGGAGCACTATCTAAGTTTGTCGCTGAATCGAAGAAACGGGCGCCCTGTTGAGACGAAGAGGAACCGGGTAACATCCTTGTAGATTGCTGCTGCTCGCTGATCATGTGGGGAACAGGTGACTTGCGTGCAGGTTGGAAACTTGGTAAGGCTTGCGTTTGCACGCTTGGTGATGGGAATGGAATCGAGTCCGGGTGAGATGAGTTGGCTGAGCGATTATTGCTAGTCTGGAGACGGCTAGGCTGTCCCAAGTCTTGACTTTTGAAGGTGGTAGCATTTTGTCCGTTCCTCTCCAGCAAATGTGAAGGGGGGAGAGATGGAAACTGAGTTTGTACTTGCGGTCTATTTTCTGGAAGCTGCTCTGGTGGCGGGTATGGGTTCTTCTTTGGATCATAGACTAGCGGCTTCATTTGTGATTTCTGGGGGTAGGTGTTCACCAGGCCGGGATTGTGGAGAACTTCTTGCTCATTCTGATTCATGTGTGCAAAGCGATCGTAACGATTGGGTTGATCATCTGACCTTTGAGGGTGCGTATAAGATTGCTCTGGCGCAATGTGAGGGTCAACTAAAGATTCCATCATCTGGCTGGGGTCGGTATCATCTCTTGTAGGTGGTGTTACATAGGCGTTCGCTGAGGTAGAGGATGCGTTCCCAACCGTATGGTTTGATTCTCCGTTTTGTTTGTGGGAAGCTTCTTGATTAGATGTGCCTTGCCTGTGATCGAGATCATCGAAACGTTGCTGCAAGGGATGCGAGTAGTTTTCATGTGATGGATTCTGGAAAGGCTTCTGCTGAGGATGAGGTCGCGAGTGAGTCTTGAAGTAAACATCAGGATGGATGCGAACAGGGTCGGTGTTGGCTTGGAAATCTTGTGTGGTAAAATGGTGCGTCAGATCTCCTGTTGTTTGCTGATCGGATTGGTTCGCAGGCTGGGTTAAATCGGATTTGCGCTTGGTGCGTGCTTGGGTGTTTTGTGATTTCTGGCCGAGTTGGCGTTTGATACCCGCTTGGATCATGGCTTCTTCGGCCCTGGAACAAGTCGATGGGAATAACGAACAAAGAGGCACAGCGCATCAATACATTATCCAACAAATCACATCACATCACCGAATACAAAATGTTTGAGTTGAATTTGAACAAGTGCAGCAAGGAGTATGATGTGGCTAAGATTAGCGGGACGCACCCACCACTTCTGGGGGGAAGGGATTGGGTTGTTCAAGATAAAAATCCACGAAAAGAGTCACAAAACTACTTGTGGTCATACGGAACTGACTTTGAGATCACGCTGGATTCCCAGTTGAGAGCAGCGAGGACGGCACCTGATTGACAGAATAGGCGGAATGGTCAACAGAGATGATACCCAAGATAACTTTCAGGTTAAATCTTGTATATGGCGGTCACCATGACTGAGGAGCACGTACCATCGTATGACGTTGAACGATTCATCATCTTGAGCGCGCCTGAGAAGCCTCGAAAGCAACTACAAAAAGGTCGGAAGTGACTGGTCAGCAAGAACTTGGAATTGTGAAGATGTCGAACCATTTATAAATTCCTTCAAGAAGAGCAACAACCAAGAAACAGCTTACCGAAGTAGATATTCTCTTCTCTGCACGTCTTGCTCGACCGAACCACAGGTTAAGAGTTGCTCCAATTCGTTTACGAGTTCGAAGACCATTTCGGTTTTGTGTTCACTATCTCTAAAACTTCTAACTTCCAAGCAATTGAGTGCTGAGATCCTCTGCATCTCCTTCCTGAACTTGCTACCGTACTTGTCCCTGAGTAGGCTGAGAGTAAGAAGGAAGGTCGACTTGAGATCGGTTGGTTGGCCGTTAAACCAGCTGAGTGGACTCGAGTTAGGCTTGAGGGAAAGGATCAGGAAATCGATTCGAAGTTTATCATTGTCCTCCGGAATTTGATGCACTCTGAACCAAGAAAGCAATCGGAGCTCGTGTAATTCCCAAGATTCGTGTAGCTCACCTCCAAAGATTGGAAGTAGGGCGACATTCATGATAAATATGAGGAAGAAAAGAGATGGGTGGATGGATGAAGAACGATGAGAGGGGGAAGAATCGAAAGAAGAAGAAAGAAAGAAAAAAAAAAAAACGACAATCAAGTCAAGGCCAAAAGAAACCAAGCAGCAGAAAATCCCAAGCGGCTGTACTAATCTCGGAGACTGTCTGTATGGGATGAGTTGGTTACACCGATATTTGTGTAGTACCAAGACCAAGGCGTTGAAAAATCAGAAGGCGATGAAGTTGATGAACGATAGCGAAAGAAATGGGAAGAACCAGTCAGCACGAAGGGACACATAAATACACCGAAAGCAACTAAAATAATTAACTTGTATGTGTATTTCGAACTCTACCAGAAGATCTAGAAAACCGAATGCAAGACCACACTAATCAACAATGGCTTGAAAGGTTAACCTTAAGAAGGGTAGCCGATGCAGCAACCGTGTGCAAATCGAACAAGTCAGCTTCGACGTTGGAGTTCTATGCAAAAAAGAAAGGGAGAAAGTCTATGTTTTCTTGAAGGCGTTGTTTGCTGATGAAGGGGAGTGGAGTGATGGGTCCACCGCTTTCAGTTGAGTGAGTCTACAATTCTTCCTCGATCATGACGTACCCCTGACCGCGAGCTCTCCCGCGCCACCTCGACATGACGTACCCCGCCTCCCCGCGCGACTGGTTTCTTTTGAAGGTGGGTCAGTGACGTCTCTGGGCCTCTCCTCTGGGCCGGGTCTGATTATGGTGGACCGGGCGTGGTCGGATCGGGATGGGTGAATAAGCCCGGGCTTTGCCTGCCCCCCCGGCTGATCCTTCAAGAATAAGATTTGATTGTGATCAGATAGCACATCAGAACACTTACTCATCACTTGTTTTCCTATGCAGTCGATGGATGTATGGATCAAAAAGGATTGGCTAAGATCCAACCTGCAGTATTCATAAGCTTAGGAAAGCAGTGGCGGTTACAATCATAGTAAAAGAAAAAGGATGAATTGAAATGCTTTAAATCAAAAAATCATACCAAACAGGGGCTCCAACTGATTGTAAGCAAACATCTTGAGGGATTCTTGGAGGTGCAGTATATTTACAATTTGAAAATTCAGTCAACTTGTATCTCTTGCTAAATGATCAACAAGTCAATGTTAAATGAAACAAACAGTGCGCAAGGCCCATGAAAAATTCTGATGAAAACAATCTAAACTTGAGCAAAAAAATGCTTCTGAATTCTGTATCCCCGCTATCACTTTGAACTTGAGTCTTGCGTTATTCACCTCTGCAAACACCTTTTAAAATTTTGCTTTGAGATTTTCAATTGAGTGGCGCACTTGGTCAAACTGCCAGAACTAATTACTATCATCCCTGACTGTAGCTGAATTAGAAGGTCCTCTGGTAAGACAAATATCACCAGAGCTCAGTCAATAAATCTTCACTTGGCAATTCCTTTTTAAATTTTCCTCTTTTGTGCTGAAGGTATATCAGAAATGTTGAGCCTTACTTATGTTGTATTTTTGGGGAGCAAATACAAGGTTCACAAGGTATATTTCATACGATTTAGATGGAATCAAAATTGACATCATCAAACATTAGTACTACACTGAAGCACAAAAGATGAACAATTAGCTGAAAACGAAGAAATATAAATCACAACAAAAGTTTTACTTGCTTATCTCTGTGGCTTTTCTTGCTTATTTCTCCTTTGGAATTCTTAGGCTGATTTTTGTATCTTACAGGCTTTGATTTTAATTACCTAGCCAGTTATGATTCTCAAGTTACAGGCTTTTCGAAGCTTTTCGATTAATCTTCATAAGTCCAACAGAAGTCTCTACATTGAGAGCACCGGCGCCACTTGTTGGCTGAGATGAAGCAGCAGGGACAGCCGATGGCATGGAACCGTTTGGATTTTCACACTGATTCTTCTCAGGAAGTTCCGAGCCCAATTGTAAGATGAACGTCTCAAAATATTCGATCCTCGAGCTTTCCGAGCCTGACTCCTTCTCTGGCCTGAAGCGGTGACCGCAAATGTTGTTTGAGGTTGCGAGAGTCTCTGGCGAGCGTTCGGTATAAGCTGGGCAGTCTGCCGAAAAAACCTTTCGTCTGAGTTTTCTAGGGGGTGCTGAGTCACGAGGGTGGTATGATAATCGCTTAGCAACGCTGAAACCCCGACGTCTGGACGAAGATATGGTTTGACGATAAGCAGTCCCACTCGATCGATTGTGCAAGGTCAATCTGCGAAGGCTGCGGAAGCGTGAAGGGCGGGTCACAGTGGCTTGCCGACTGACCCTAGTTCGAATGTTTTCGTCCGTCTCGACATCGGAATCGCCTATTGAAGACATGGAGATCAAACGATGGGTGCGGTTGTAGGAAGGTTTCGGGGGAGTCCACATGCCATGATCAGGAGCTTGTTTAGATTTCTTGTGATGGCGGTGCTGGGTAGAAACTTGATTCGGCCGGGTAGATGAAAGGTTCGTGTTGCAGTTGAGATTGTTGAACTTCAAGCCATGCCTAGTCATAAGGAAACTGATCAAGCTCCGCATCCAGCCGTTCCAGGTCGTGAAGAATTCCCGGTCTACGAGGACGAAGACGGAAGCAATAGGATTGATGACTCCAAAGAGGTCCAGTGCCGTATGGTATTGATCTTTGGATGTAAAATATATGACAGAAACCACCAAGCAACCAGCGATTGACTGAGCCGAAAGAAAACCAATAGGAATCAACACAGCCATATCCAAGTTGGACCTTCCATATCTACTGGCAGAACGACGTATACCGACCGTGATTGTGATCATGAGGCCTATGATAAATACGGAAATTCAGACCCCTGGACTGACTTTTTTAAAAAAAAGAAGGAGGTACGCAGTTACCTGAAAATAAGGCGGTTAAGGCCAGAACAAACAGTAACGTCATGACACGCAATGAAACAGCTGCTTCTGATCGCACGCGACAGCTGACAATGTCAACTAGGTGGTGATAATCGGAAGCGGAAAGAGTTCTTAGTTTGCCGTCTATTGTTAGAATGAATGTCACTGTTTATTAAAAATAGAACTAAATGCTAACTGAAGATCCAAGATTTGTCTTTTTGTAGATACGTTATTACAATCATCAAGAGTTGTGGTAGCCCACACAGCGTCGGGACGAAACACAAAAAGAATGGCCATTTCCAATTCGTGTCCCGATTCAAGCTAAAAATCCTCATACTTGAACGGTTCCGATTTGCTGAAAGAATTGAAGCACTGGAAGACTGATCCTTGATTTCTGGTAAAGTGTTCCCATCCGAGATTGAAGATGTTTTGGTGTACACCTTATGCTCTAATTTTGGAACAGTACTAGATAAATCAAATTTGGTATTGCTTTCCAGATCTAGTGAATCATTTTGGCTCTGGAATTCGTGGTCTGTAAGATCAGTCAAAGTCGAAGGTGTGTTGGAGTGTGTTATTTTCGAAACTTGCCAGGTGATCCGCAAGGCTTCACCAACGAAGGCAGCGGCGAACGAAGGTATGACGGTTTGAACTAAAGGGAAATAAATTTCAGCTTCTACCAAACATAGAAATGAGATGAGTGGGCTGGACTGCTAACGATAACTTGCCAGTACCGCGTTGATCCGGCATGCTAAATAAGTGGGAACAGAGTTTCCTACAGATGTATCAAACCGAAAGATGGATTGTTACTTTCAAAATAAAACTGTTCATTAAACATTATACACAGAACAAGCAAGTACCAAGAGGGTCTTCATCAAAAGATGAAGATTTTTCTGCTGCCCAGAAGTTGAAGAACCAAGGCAAAAGCGCATTCCAATAGTTAATCATCGCGATTAAAATGAAGGCTATCACGATTGGATGCCTCTTGTTTCCTCGCCTTCCCCAAGTGTGTGAAATGAGTAAAATTGAAGTAAAAACAAGCCCTATGACCTACAGGACAAGAATTGCCGCAGGATGACCCTCTCGAATCAGTCACAAGTTCAAAAAGGGTATTCTTAGGAGTCTTAGCTCACACAGAGTGCTTCGTATGCCTTTTGAAAGCTTAGCTGGGACGGTGAAATCACTATCGGAATTTCATCGTCCCGCCGATCCCCCAGACTTTGGCGTTTTGCAAAAGATGTCGAGTGTGACATTCTGAAATTATTTCATGAAATACGTATCGGGCGCCTTTTGAGATTGGGTCCGTATAGCTATCTCGGGCTCTGTCAAGCTGTTGTCCAATTGTTTTGATGAGAAAGAAAATCTGCTTTCTACCACTTCCGAAAAGTCTTTTTCTAACAGTTGGTGCCGTTCCAGTATCCTGGCGATGAAAGATATTTGCGTTGAGCGGACAGTAGATGGTCGATTAAATAAAAGACGTATGCTTGGAAGCTGAGGAAGGCCGATTCGGAATGTTTGAGTATTCAAGGGCAAAAAAATATTCTTCAGGAAAGGTCAAAACGATGTCATCAAGGGGAATTGGTAGCGCTCCAAGCGGATGGTTTATGTTCGAAAATAAAAGATTGGCTTCGAATTGTTATCCGAAGGCTGTTTTTGAGTGCAAGACTAGCGAGATGATCAATGAAGCCTATTCAGCATCCAATTTACCATTGTGAAAGCCACACTTCAACTCGCCACAAAATTGGATCAACTAACCTGATACACTTCTAGAGCTAAACAAATGCTTCACGGTGGCTCGTTTTCATGCAAATGATATTCACCTTGAGGACGAGGGGTGAAAGTCTGGCTACTGGTCGATTGGTAACAGAGGGTGTAGGAGGCTGGAAATTGAATTTATATCAGTAGCAGAATCTTTTCAATTTAATTGGCATGTTGTTTGTGGAGTAGTAAGATTGGTGAAAGCCAGACAGTTGCAACGTCAAAGACTTCATTCGTCTTGGGACTGAGCTAAGACTGATGAGAGGACGAGAACATGTGAATAAGTGACGTAAAAAAGCTTACATGGATGAGATGGTAATTCTTTCGAATAAGCGTGGAGAGAGTGTGAAAGAGACAATGTTGTTTTGTAAATGACACTTGAACTTGGTGCAATCCTGACTGCTTGGCTTGGTTAACAAAAGTCGGCCGAAACGCTGGAAGTCTTATATGCTGGATGATCTGGCAATCAAGGTCTAAATAAACAGAAGGGATTGTGGGTGTTGCTATGTCGGAATGACTGATTGTTCGAAGTAAGCTCATAAGGTAATAGGGAGAAAGCCTAGAACCGAATAAAACATGGGTGCAACCGTTTTTCATGTTCTGGATTCTTTTACCAGGTAGGCTAGTTGCCTGCCTGACGGCTGATGAGCGAAGAAGAAGGTACCTCGAAAGATCAAGTATCGCAGATTACTGTACTTGTGCAGCTCATGACTCTGCTTTGCGTACGCGACAAGATGATCCTCATGACTCACCCCTTCCGACCCGCAGCTTTGAGCAGAAAACATCTGGGTAGGCGTTTTCCGCCGTGTGGCTTTAATACGATTACGATGTGCCAAAATAATAATTATCAAGTTTAATTAACGGTGACTATCATGAGTGAGGATGGCACTTATCTTTAAAAAGAAAGATCAGGTCTGGACTCTGATGGTGCATTGCGATGTGAATGTATCTATCTGCTGATTCACTTGGGTGCCCAAATTGGGCAAACAGGAAGCTAGGCTTGGGAAAAAGGTGAGATCAGTGCAAGCTATAGCCAATGTATTGATTCTTGGAGTTAAGCTGAGTATTCTCAACTTTGAGCCTTGGTCAATCAGCAACATTTACAATCGGTGGGTTCCATGTTGCCAATTCGTTTTCAGTACTGCAGTCTTAATTAAACAAGCCGTCAGTCAAGTTCAAGAGTAAAACCTCTTGCTTTTCTCGGAGATATGCGCTCAATCGACACGGACCTTCGAGTGGTCGTCGGCAGCCTTAGCCATCCAAACGACTTGAAATTCCTTTTCGAGTGAGAGGCCTCATGGATCAAGTGAATTGATGCCACACTGGCCGATGTCTCAGAAATTGACTTCACAAGATATTTTTCGCAGTATTTACTTGATATTTGCTGGAACCCCAACTCGCGAAATAAGTCTGATAACACAAGCCTCGATCGGAGGGTCTGGTAAAGCCAGGCTGGCGCGAAGCGGGCCTTCAGCATCTCCATCTCCCATTGGGAATGGGAAATGCTTCACATCGGTCCCATCGGGAGGCTTAGCCAAGTCAGAAACAAGTGTGGTGATGACGCATTGTTGTCTTCGTTGTTGCAATCGGTTCAAGATCGTTTTCCAGCAATAAACCAGAACGTTTCGAATAGATCTATCATCTTGGACAATGAAGAAGAAGCATCGGCAAGATTGCGGTACTCATGGGGGGCTGCAATGTGGCCTTTGTTTTGTCTCGTCTGAGTTCTAAACGGGTTGCCTGCACTGCAATAGTGATCTTGATGTGATGTGGTGATCATTGATGTTATAAGGGCGCCATGAGAAGACCATTGACTTGTGGCTGGTCACAGCTCGTCGCTGCGCCGGTTCGGGGCTCGGATCCGTCCGGACACGGTGATTCCGAATTACAGTCAAACCTGTCTAACTGCATACCTGTATAAGGGCATAAACTCCCATACTACATACTCATTTGAGTCCACCAAATTCTCATTTTTGCCCTTAGCCTACACTTGTAACCACATAACCTGCCAAACCACATAACAAATTCTTTCCACCAAGGGGTATGTGGTTAGAGAGGTTTGACTGTATTCACAGCTGAATAGAACCGTTGCAGTTGCAGCTGCCTAGTAACTTAACCCTTGAAATATCCCTGTTATTGGTAACTTTAACTTTCCTGGACGTCCGCCCCTGGCAGAGGGTGATCAGCGGGCGATCAAGATGCAGCAGGCAAGTTGCCATTGTTCGGCTGGTGACGATATAAATAAATACAAACACCCGGTTTCGACATATTTACATACTTAAAAACTTCAAACAGCTTGAGAAGTAGTACTGAAGCTGATGATGATTGTGGATGACTCGGCGATTGGCCAACCCGATTCGGTAAAACTCTGTGCTTTGATCGGAAGATGGTTTAACGACTTTGCCACCCGACCGATAGAAGTATTACCATTCCGAAATATCCTCCCCTTGACAGGCTTCACCATACTTCATTCGCTGAGGATAGCCTACCTGTATCATTCGGTTTTGAGCTCTCAAGGCGTCAAGGTCGGTCGCAGGAAGCAGGATGTCTCCTTCCTTCAATCCGGTCTGGTCTGTACTACCTTGGTCATGAGTGGTACTACCATGGCTGCCCTCCTTCAAGGTCAACCCTCCGGCTTGCTCTCCGAAGGAAGCGGAGAATTGGTGGCCTCATACATGTACGTTGTTGACTCAATTCTCCTATTTTTTCATTTTTGAGTCTTGTTGGTTGCGTCTTAAGACTGACTGCCTTCTTTCGGGATTCCCTGAATAATCAGGCTTGCAAGCTTTGCGATGAAGTGGCTACATCCGATCATGGCACAGCTTCCTCAGCTTCCCTTGAAACTGCTCTGCTTTTTTATCGACGGCTTTGCCACTACCTTCGGTTAGTCCATGTTTGAATCAAGTAATAGAAACTGGTAACTTACGTTCCTCTTGTTGTGTTCGTGAATTCGTAGGAACCTTGTCGCTTGGCCTGATACCGACGTTGAAAGATCCCACTAAACAGTCTAGCGCGGGAGAACCTCTAATATTACCGATGATACTCATTCCACTCCTTTGTGGCTCGGGGGCCTCGTTACTGGTTCCATTTTTCGGATTATTCCAACCTCAGTTCTCGTTTGGTCATCCCGGCTTTCTGTCTGAAAATTTATCAGTCGACTTTTGGGGGCCCTGGATGATCAGTTTATGTTATGGTACCATCGTTGATGGTCGCGGCTTGTTGTTTGGGGGCTGCCGACAAATTTTACAATATGGGACTTTCTACGGCCTTGATTCTAACTTCAAAAAAGGTTCGACTCCGACGCCTTGGATGAGACCGGATGAAGCCCACGTCCTATGCTCTTTGATTCTCTCGACTACCTATATCATCAACGAGTTTGGTCCCCAGTTCCTCAATAGGTTCACTCTCGCTAAACCGAGTAACTCTACCAAGAAGGAAAAAACTCAGCCCGGTTAGTTAGGTCGATTGAATTCCGGGTTATTGCTACTAGACAAAGTCCATTACTCCTGCTCTCGGCTAGGCTAACAATTCAGCTTGGTCTCTATTTTCTTTTCTTAGACGGTGGAAATCCCAACACAGTCCTTGCAACTGGCTTTGAAAGCTCATCGGGGAAGGTATCCAACAGAAAAGAAAAGCAATAAACAACCTTATTACGTTAGCTAAATTACTACTTATCATTTGCCCCTCGCATCTTCATCCGAGTATACTAATTTCCTTAAATAATCCGGGGTTTACAGAAAAAAAAACATCACATGTGGCATGGCTTGAACGTGATCTTAACAAACTGGAGATTTTGCTGTTGCCACAGTGTGACTTCACAATACGAGAAACTCGTCCACCAATGTAAAAGATGACCCGCGTGATTACAAAGTTCAATTTACTTAAAAACATATGTTGTACAAACTGTCCGCACTTATTTATGTTGATCAAGAGTGGGTTTGAAAGCTTTTGTCAAGCTTGCTTCAAGAATGATGAAATTTCTGCAACTACCAAATGAAACAAATGTTTAATGTAAAGTAAAAAGAGGGATCTCACATCTATGGTACATTTTTGCAGTTCAGTCAGCCCTCTGAAGAATGAACCATACATTGGCCCTTATGTTACAATTCTCATGTAACACTTATTTATGAGGAACCACACAGATACTGTCAGCCATGCAAGTAAATCCAATGTACCTTGTACAAGTTCAGAGCATCTCTAATGGTCCTGGGGGCAGTTGACATGTGTTCCCTGGCCCGCAAACACATTTCACAGGAGTCGTGGGTCAGCTCCAATTGTGGAGTGGCACTTTGAGCAGCTATCCAACCCAACTACTTGACACACCATACCAACTCAACACACTGTCAACACATCACCCAAAAAAATGGAAGAACTACTCCAATGGATGGACAAAGACAACAACATCATTGCCTCCCTCCAAACAAGCATTGCTTTAATTATGAAGACAAAAGAAAAAAAGAAGCACAGCGGTTCAAAACCTGGAAGAACGGAAATCCATCAGAATCAACTCGAAGGACATCAGCAGCTATACAATGACTACTTCGCTGAGCACGCCATATATCCTGATTATCTATTCAGCCATTGATTCAGGATTTGAAGGAGTCTCTTCCTCAGAATTGTCACCGATATTGAAAAAGCCACTCCTTACTTCCAACAGAAGCGTGATGCAGCTGGAAGATTGGGCTTTTCAGCTCTTCAGAAGGCAACAGCAGCAATATGAATGCTTGCATATGGATGCAGTGGCAACTCAATTGATGAATATCTTTGTATGAGTAAGTTTTCTAACAAAGAAGTTTGTTTGAATTTTGAAGACCTGAATGAATTTCATTTGATCCAGGTGAATCTACAGCAATTCAGTGTTTGAAAAAGTTTTGCCACACAATTGTCAAGATTTATTGTGTCAAATACTTAAGGACTCCAGACAAAACCAATGCCGCCCTGGTATGATGTGGTTGCCAAGAAACAAGGCTTTCCTGGTATGATGTGGTTGCTTGATTGCATGCACTGGTGCTGGAAAAATTGCCCAGTTGCTGATCAGGGCCAATATACTGGCCATGTCAGCTATGTGTATGAAACTTTGGCTTAATAATATAAAAGCCAAGTACTATCACTGTGCTGAAGGACTCAGGTTAAAGAACAAGATTACTCCTAGTCACCCTCAAAGTATTAAGTGGTCCAAACTTCCCACTTAAGAGGTTAAAAAGTCCACACTCCTCAGTTAATGACACTTGAGTAATCAAGAGAGCACTGTAGGAGACAATAACAGAATATGTTATTGTAGATCAGTGTTTGGAAGCAATAATTAATATTGCAAGAAGTAGCTGGCAAGCACCTGAGCTGAAAGGCTACAGTCAGAGGTGGTGGTCTTGCAGCAACTACTTTTTAAGTAATTAGTTAAGTTTTGAGTCTGGGATAACTCTCAGCTTAATAATAATTCCAGTAAGAAGGTAGGGTTGGATTGGATAAAAAGACTACTCTAAAAGTAGGTGGAGAATATTCACTGTACTCACTAAGTGTACTGGGGGTGAATATGCTGAGGAATCCATCCTAGGCAGGAGAAAGGCCTCCTTAAATATTCTAGAGATCCCTTGGGGGGCATTTTTTAGAATATTCTAGAATCTCCTTTTTAATGTACAACAGTAGAAATAATCCCATGATGTAATGGGAATTGTTGTAATATTTCTAATAAAATTATATTCTATGTCCCATGACATCATGATGCATATTTATAGCCAATTACATCATGTGTCAACTAAAGTAGAATAATACTAATAGAAATTGTCACACACTACACTAGTGTGGTAATTTCTATTCTACATATTTATTTCTTGTATAATACATTCTTAAATGTATATTTAACCCTAATTTAATATACATTATGTTTAATTTATTATCTTACTTAATTTTACAGTATTTTGTTCCTACTTGACTTCATGGTCTTTGAGTATTAACAAATTCCTAGAAGAAGCAGGATTTTAGGGGTAGCTTCAGTGAGAGACCCCACCTAAAATTATATGAAAATGAAGATTATTCAATAATCTTCAGTGTTTATTTTATTTTTTTAGTGAGTAATATTAGATATATTTATTATTAGCAGACTTTTGGATACTCTGGAGTATCTCTAAGGCTGACAGGCCATGAGGAGAAAGAGCCAACAATTTTTCTTGAAGCGGTGGCCTTGTATGACCTTTGGATTTGGCATGCATTCTTTGGGCTTCCTGGTACCCTCAACGACATCAATATCCTGGACCAATCACCAATTTTTCAACAACTTCAAGAAGTCAAAGGAGTCACTGTCTTGTGGGTAGTCAACAGAAGTCAATATAATACTGGCTATTATCTCACTGACGGAATTTACCCTCCATACTCAACATTATTCCAATCAATCTCCAAGCCCCAAGGCAAAAAAATACTTTGCAAAAATGCAGGAGGCATACCAAAAAGAAGTTGAACGTGCCTTTGGTGTTCTGCAAGCTTGCTATGCTATTGTTTGTTTTCCTGGTTGATTTTGGAGACACAAAAACCTTTCCGAGATCATGTCCACTGTGATCATACTCCATAACATGACGATCAAAGATAAGGCAGGGACAGAATTTGAAGAAGACTTTAAATATCATCAAACTCCAGGCACGCGAGCAACCATCATGACAAACAAACCAAATAATTCAACTTTTGAACAATTTATTCTGCAATACCAGACAATTAGGGATCATGTCTTGCATGCACAACTTCAGCAAGACATCATCAATCATTTGTGAAATAAGCATGGTTCAGATGAAGACAATTCCTCATCTGAGGAGTAACTGTTGCTTTGTTTTTTTTTTCTCTTGCTTATGTTGTATTTTTTTCTCACTTTTTTGAACTGCTGCTTTTTTTTTTCTCTCGCGTGTGTTGTTTTTTTATATTTTTTTTTCTCACTTGTTTCTTGTCTTGAGATTTCAAAAAAAAAAGAGACAACTTCAAAAAAAGAGAGAGACAAGGTTGGTAAATTAAACAAGAAAAAGATATCAATCATTGCCAGATTCACTGTTTTCTTTGCCAGATTTGTTATTTTCTGTGCCAGAATCTTTGTCTTTGTCTTCATCTTCACCATCAATCTCAATCGCTTCCTTATCTTTTCTCTGTTTTTCTTCTTTCTCTTTTTGCTCCTTTTCCTTCTTCTCTGTTTCCTCATTTTCTTTCTTATCTTTTTCCTCCTTCTGCTTTTTTTCTTTTTCCTCCATCTCCTTCTCTTCCTGTAGCTCTTGAGCAATAGTTGCTCTTTTTTTCTTCTGGTAATATGCACAACTTTCATCATCCATTGTGTTCAGATTAGTACACATGATCACATTGTCTGAGTTTGATTGTAGAGCCAATTTCATTGAAGCCAAACTATTACACAAGATTAGGGTTCTGATCCGGACCCCGCAGATCTGGCAAGATTCGGAAAACCCACAAACCGGATCAGGGCTTGGGATTGACCCAGAGAGATCCGGCATCCGGTCGGATGCTGAAAACCCCCAGAAGTCAGGGATCTGTGGGGATTACCCACATCAAACCCGTTTGGGGGCCTAGCTGCTGCACCTGATCAGCTCCAACTTTCCCGCCCTGAACCCCCTTTTTTAACAGCCGAATAGCAAAAAAAACATAAAAAAATATCATAGAGATCTGGAGAAACCCGGCTAGGTGCCGGATATCCGTGGGGTCAGGGTTTGGGATGCACAGAATCCGGCTCCAAGGCACCGGGTCAGAACCCTACACAAGATCTGGACCAGTTCTTTTTGCATGCTGACAATCTTCTCAAACGCACACTCCTCCGCTTGTTTACATTTTGCCGCTCTCTGACCTTCAATACAAACATTTCCCAGCGCCAACTGACTGTTTTCAGACTCTTCATCCTCTACTTCGATGACCGCAGGGCTTGAAACGGCAGGTGGATTGGAGGAGGGTGCTGAAGCGGTCAAAGCTACATCCTTGGCCTTCTTCCATGAAGATTCACTTTCTTGCTGTGTGGCCTGCCATTTGGGGGCATCCTTCAAGATTCCCCAGCAGTGATCAAGATTCAAGATTGAAGCTGGACCCAAAGGTGGCCTTGTATAGCTCCTTGGCCTCAGTAAGCTGGATCAAAAAAAAGCAACAGATATAAGTATATCAAGAGCAAGCATACAGAAAATATTAATCATAGAAAACTTACAATGTCTTTGCGAGTTTTCCCACTTTTCAAGCAATGTTCAACATTTGAATAGCAACCAGAGAATTTATTGACTGTCTTGAGTATAACACCCCAACAACATTCAACCGCACCAACTGGTCTAAGAGGAAGTTCTTTGAAAAACCTTGTATTTTTCTTCTCCTCATTGTACTTGTTGATGAGATCCAAAAGGGTTTCATGGATTTGCTCCCAAAATGTTGTAGCTTTCTGTCCTTTGCCAATGATTGCATCTTGACTAGTATTCAGCCAAGCAATACAAAGTCTTTTGTCCTCTTCAAAAGAACAGCAAGGAAATCATTTCTTCATTGTTGTATTTTCATCAGCTTTTGGGGTGGTATCAATGGCGGCATCAGTATTGTTGGTCAATTTCTCTGCCGGCTTGGGGGTTGCAAGGTTGTCGCTGTTGTTGTTTGGGGTGGATTGTGAAGTTTTTTTAAATTTCTTTTTCCTAGGAGACCTGGGCTTTGGAGTTTTGTTGGAGTCAAGTGGATTTGTTGAGTCACCCATGGTGATGGCCGTACTATGAAAAAGGGACGAGTGGAGTGAAATTCCTGGATTGCGGCTGGGAGGTGACTGGCAAAAGGTTGTAGGGGTTTGCGGGTTGAACAGCCTCCGGGGATGTTCCCAGGGTATTTCCACGAGGCTGTTGGAGTGCAAAAATGCAATTCGGGCAGTCAAAGTTTGCCCCCGGACGCCTGATTGCGGCTCTGTTGGAGTTGCTCTTACCATTGTATTTACTACATACACAATCTGCAGTAGCTATTTTCTATATATGCTTATATTCACTTTTGTCATATGCTTATAAGGAGTTGTCTACATTATGGTCTCTATATAAGTTGTACCTTCTTCATTTCTATGCTCACCAGAAATCCAAGAAGAGACAATATTAAACACACCTTTCCTCTTCATCTTCCAATACATCACCACATCACTGTCTCAAGATTGCCAGTTCTTGATAAATAACAGAATCACTGTCAGAACCAAGGCTTTGTGTTTCTCACATCATCAACTGACTGTCACTTTAGCGACACCGGCTGACAGATACCAACATGACTACATAAGCAGTCAATTTTTCTGGTCAAATATTCCCACCTCAAGTATATACAGTACAGCTGGTGTACCTTTACACAACTCTTCTGTCAAAAATGTAAGGCCAGGTTGACATGTTACATTTTGCTTTGGAATGGGACTGATAAATCTAAAAAAAGTATATATGGACCCCACAACCAAAAAAATGAGTTTCCTCAGATGAAAAGATGATCAGCACCAAAAAACATTCAAATGTATTTTGTTGATGTTTCCTGGAGAAGGAGATTAGTTTCTGCTTCCTGAACCAATCATATATGTTCTTTGTAATGGTCAAAATCTGTTGAAAACTTCTTAGGCCCATGTGTTGGTTGCAAAAGCTGACAAATCCCACTGAATCATCAAATGAAATATGTAGCAGGTTCTTATTTTCCTTTTTTGCAATATCATACTTTTGAAATCTTCCATAATATGGAGCAAAGCTTGACAACATTTTTGTAGAAAAATCACATACTGATGCAGTGTTTTTTGTCTTTTTTGATACATAAATAATCTTTACTTATGAGCCATGAGTATGTAGCCAGTCCTGGGAAAGAGGCATTTATGGGAATATCAGTTTGGTTGGTGTTCTCTTGGGTCCTCATCACTATGTTGAGGGAGGTTGTTGAATGTGTGATATTTGAGGCTCTTGTAGGTTACAGGGGTGAAGAAAATTATTGCCAGCTCCAGAAAGAAAGTTCTGGTCACCAGTTCCATGAAGAAACCCCTGGCTATGCTTTCGTCTCAAGTTGACCCATGTAAGGATTCAGATTCAAAAGCAAGCATTTTTGTTTTTCACAGCCTAACAGTAATTGCCATAACTTGACAGAAATCACACAACCTTCTAATTTTCATTGCTATCAAAAACCAAAACAAAAAACCATGCAGCAAAACAAAGAACTTTACAACAACTTGATGAGGGAAAAAAGAATGGAGTTGATTTTTGTTGTCTAAAGAATGCCGCGAAAAGGCAAAAAAAAACTTTCCCAATGAATATGCGAAGAGGAATGAGGTGAAAGAAATCATGAAAGATGCTGGTTTAAGATATCGTTGATGGGTTTTCCCGGTAGCCCCTGTTCATCAGTTTCGTTTGGATCGCCATCGTCATCATCCGATTCTGTCTGCTCCCGGTTCTCCGTGTCTTGTTCTTCTGCAAGCAGGGCCGCATCGGCTTGGTCCTCAAGGTTGGCACTATTCCTTCTTGTGCGTTCTACTTGCGCCACCAAGATCTATGTGAAGCCCCGACCAAGGAAATAATTAGATACATGTCAAGGACGATTTTGTAGGATTTGTCATAGACAAGACACTAAGGGATTTTGACGGCACCCACACTTTCTTTCAAGACTTCTCCCGGGACCTCCTCATCGTCATCTCCGGCCACTGTGCCTAAAACACTGCCTTTCCTAAAGACTTCCCCCTCCTCAATCGTTAGAGATCTGCTATGGCTCTCCACAGGAGATCGAGGGGGCGCGCCGTTCGAGGATGGCGAGTCAAGTCGAAGACTATCTTTGCCACTATCAATCGTCACTTCCGTTCGCTGTCGGACTCCTTTCTTGCCGCCATTTGGAGATGAAGATAACCCTGAATGTTGAGCGGATATCGAAGAAGAATCAGCGCTTTGAGAGCTCTGTCCACGTGGTTCAGATGTAGATTGAAATTCGGTGGTTTCAGACGAGTCGTTTTCAGTTTTGGAAATTGAATCCGATCGGGGAGTAGTCTCTTCATCCTCGAAATCGGATTCTTGATTTCCAACACTCAGTTCCGAATTTCGGATCTTGGGATCGTGGGAAACGTTTGAGACCGGCGATACTACTTTTGAGTCGGAGAAGGACGGACTGGAGCTGATTGAGCCTCTATTCACTGCATCCGGCTCTCTGTGGACCGCCTCGGCATATTCACAAACAGCTACAGATTCTGCGTGAACTGACTGGGCATGAGCTATAAAAGAATGAGCGTTTTCTCAGCTAGACAGTCTGAGGTTCTTTCAAGACTCGAGCAACAAGCTTTTTTGTTTCTGCAAAAAGGACTTACACCTCAGTGCTTCATCCATCATGAGGCTTCCGAGGGCTTCCCTTATTTGGAACTGCCCGGCCTTGACTTGGTCTAGCAGCTCCCTGACAAGCTCACTACATTCTACTATCATCAGTACCTTCCGCTCTTCTTGAAGCATCCTAAGTTTTCGTTGTTCATCTTCGGAGATCAAATCCCGCAGGACTTTGCATGTTTCCTCTGTTGAGGTCAAAATCTTCTTAACAGTCTCAGCGCGACTCATGGCAGCAGGATTCTTAGATTTCCGCCCAGGAGTTGAACTGGCGGGCTGTTGTTTGATCCCAATCGCCTCCAATGGATGTTCCTGTTGCTGTTGCTGCTGTTGATTGACGAGTGCTTTGACGACGGTGGACTTGAGCATCGGCTGTGCTATTGTTGTTTGAGCCCCACGTTGGTTAGCCATTTCTTGAGCTAGCTCGGTATTGCGCACACAGGATTGCAAGATTTCTTGAGAAAGATGTGCAAAATCAGGGTCGTTCGGCGGGATGTTAATATCTAAGCACCTTAAACTGGTGTTCATTTTGGCGGAAACCGCTAGCGCCATCACGCCTGCTATGTCGATCTAGAAAAAGTGGAGAGTAGTGAGGGTACATCACATCAGCCATTGGCCGATGTCATCAACAGAGGCATAATGGTTTTGGATATGACTGAACTCCATGATTTTCGGTGAGATCGAGGTGAATAAGATTCTTCATCTCGGGCAAAAATTCAGCTATTGCGATAGAACCTTGCGAGCTCAAATCAGTTTGCGACAAGAATATTCGCTTTAATGAGTTATTGATCGTGCAGGTCGTTCGCAGCGCTAAAATCTGATGAGCAAGCAGGAATGCAGCTGAGAAGTTGAACGTTGCGCAGTCGAGGAATTACAATGGCCACATATAAAATCTACAGGGCTTACTCACGCCTTCTAGGTTTGGGCCACAGCATGGATTACGACTCAGATCGAGTGTCTCTAAACAGGTGTTATATCGCTGCTCAAATGAGAACCGGAAAAACACGTGTAACATATCAATAAACAGAATCGTGGCAAAGAGATGCAACAGCAATCAGAAACAGGCAGGCAATCGATACAGGTTTCATGATTGATTGATGAGAAGGATAAATTTAAAAACTGAATCACGTGAATTCATTTTTTAGAAAAATTGACTCAACAAGTGCATCCGCCAAATGGGCCAATCCTATGGGATCGATGCGATTCTCGGCCAAGTTAAGTACCTTCAAAGTTCGATTTTTCTTGAGTACCTGGGCTAAATAGAAGACGTCTGCACTTCTCAAGTCATTGGACTTCACGTCCAAAGTTAACAATTGGCCGACGGTTGGCAATTGATCGATCTTGGATTTGATCTTGAATCTTTGTTCATGGGCCTTCTTCATCTCGTCCTTGACCAATGCAGATACATTTTGATTTGAATCTTTCTGTGCCAGCTCTGGCTTACCAAATTCTGCTGTCTGTTTCGGTGAATGTTTATCTGGGGGGAGCTCATCTACGGGTGGCGGTAGCGGCGTTTTCCCTTGCATCTGGCGCTGTGCTAGGAGATCACTCTGTCTGGCAGTAACTGAGTTCAAGCTCACAAATGGTGTGGGCATTGATGAGGTGGGTGGATCCAAAGATTCATTGCCTGGATGCCCTGGATAATCTGAATGATGGTCGGGCGTTGAATCTACCTTGCCACCGATACCATCGTTGAATGTTGATTCAGACTGAGTAGGCCAATCCTTAATCATCACCGCCAAAGATACGGCACCAAGATTGAAGATTCGGTTATTTCGAAAAGAGACATGTTTTAGCTTTGATAGACGAATGGCGTGGGCCAACGTGTCCAATTGATTGTTTTTCAGATTGCAGTGATCTAGACGCAGAGAGACGAGGTTTGAAGAATCGGAAGAGGACCAATTTGAGATGGCAGACAAGGCTTGTAGAGCCGGTGAATGATCTTCTCGAAGAAGTGGTGCAGATGGGAATAATGAAGCACCGTCATCTTCATCTTGAGTGAGATGGGTCGTGAGGTCGTGTCCGTTGAAGGAAAGAGATGTAGGTGAAATGCTAGAGGCGCTCGTCAATCGAGGGAGAGAATGCGACTTGAGGTTTGTCTGAGTAAGAGAAACGTTGGCAACCGGTGTGACATCTGGAAGCTTCAGGTTCGTTGAGTTTGGTGAGATGTTAGCGTCCGGGCGATCCTTACGAATATTGCCAGCTAGGGCCTGTACGAGGTACTCTACCGATCGTCGATCGAGCGAATTATCAGATATATCTATATTACGTAGCGCCTTCGCCTATGTAAAAATCCAAGCAACCTTAGTGATCTCAAGAAGGTGGGGAGATTAAATGATGGGATGAAGAAGATGAACATAGCAGACAACTCACTTTTTTGATAAATACTGCAATCAATTTCCAGCCTTTAGCTCGAAGCTTGGGGTTATTGGCAAAGCTAATCGAGGGTAAACTACCACTAACTAGCAAACCATGTAAGATTGGTTTGAGACAGTGATCTTCAAGGCTGCAGCTCGACAGGACGAGTGATTTTAATCCAAAGTCAACACTGAGTAAGTCACCCAGGACTTCAGCAGCTCCGACTCGGTTCAGAGGGACCCCGGTCAGATCGAGCACTTTGGGTGGTAGGGGGGCGGATTGTTTGATGATCTCTCGAACCTTCATGATTCCCCATCCTTCCTCTCGAGTCCGACAGCATTCATCATAAAACAGTTCTAGACTCCGAGCCGTCCAGCCGTTGATGGTTGGGGATGAATTGATTGGATTGGGTTGAGTAGTCGTAGTAGGAGAAGTGGGAGGGTGATGATGGGCCGCGTTACGGTTGGCAAGGAGTAACTTGCGGGCTTGGTTGATTCTTAGTCTGTTGAGTTGATCGAACGATGGGGGTTGAGTATTGCTGATCGGATAGACAATCTTGAGGTCGGACATGATAAAATGAACTTTTTTGAGTGAGGAGACACTGAGTTGGAGGTTCGTTCCGGCTGGAGGGGGTGGATGGAGAGGGGGGGCGAGAGCATTAGTTTGATTGAGATTATGAGAAGGTTCGGTGCTTGAGGAGATGGGCAGATGGTTGAATCTTGAGTTTGGAGAGAGAACTTGATGAGAATGAGTAGATGAGGGTGGTGAACTGATCGTCTGATCGGCCGGCAAGTCGTTTGAAGGTTCGATTGGATGATTTGAATTTGTGGGATGGATAAGAGAGGATCGCTGTTGCTGCTGAGTTTCATGATCGGCGGCCGTTAGTTTTTCGGTAGTAGTAGTAGTAGTAGCAGCAGCAGTGGTGGTGGTAGGACTAGCAGTCGTAGCAGCACCCAGTCGCTTCCAGGCGTTGCCGACCCAGCCAGCAGCAGCTTGAACGCCCTGACCGACACCACCAGCTCCGACTACAGCACCTAGTGGGCTCTCCTCGAGTGCGGCATAGCCCAACTTGTTACTGAACGGGCTGAGGATATCACGTTTGAAGTTGAACTTTGGTTGGGGTTGAGGTGATGGTTTGAGGATCGATCTGACCGGTTTCCGAGCGGGTAGTTTTCGATGAGGGGGAGTATTAGGACGAGGTGTAGGGGGTTGATCGATTGGTGAGTGGTTATCTGTGTTGATTGTTGTTGTTATTGTTGTTTCTATTGGCTCTGATGGAGTGGTGGCTGGTGTTTCGGTTCTTGGTTCCTGTTGTTGTTGTTGTTGTTGTTTTTGTTGTTGTTCGTCGTCCTGGCTGTTGACCATCCTTGCAAGTCGTTCTTCGGTGTTGTTGGTAGTTGGTGGCTGGTTCTGTTCTGAGTCTGGCTTGGGTTTCAGTTGACTGTTGAACCGTGGTGGTCATCTGATTATTAGAGTTTGGTTCTGACGTCATCCCGACCCTAGCCTGGGCTTACATAACTGCCCACAGCATTTAATCAATCGACTCCCCCCCCTCCCACTCCAGTTTGCTTATCACCCTGCACAGCCACACAAAATTCCATCAATCAAAGACACATCCAAACTGTCTGCTTGGCTTTAATCTGCCTATCAAGAAAATCACTTCAATCTGGCTCTTTCTTCCCAGCCTGCAGTTGTCCAAACTTGAATTCAAATTCCGACTTTCTAACTGGAAAATACGAGATACATGAATATGTTTGATAAACTTGTAGCTTGGAAATTATTTTCATTATAAAAATTATCACAGAAGTCACACTTGCATAAATATGTACACAGAGCATCTGGACTGCATCCATCACCACACCACCCATGGACTTATATTGAGTCCAAATCAAGGAGTGCATCTACATGGATGAATTTTTGAGAGTCTCACAAGAATCTCAACTTAACCTTATTGCACAGCATGTCATTAAAAGAGGAAGACCATCTGGTGGCTGTTCAGGTAATTTCAGGTGGTGTTTCAACTTTCAACATACAGGCTGTTTTCTATTATCATATAAAACATCCAAACAGGACATTCCAGCTAATCTTATGTCATGAAATATGAGGTTTCTGTAATGGAACAAAACACCCATCTTGAACCAAAGCCCAACATTCCAATTGGCATTGAGCCACTGTGACAATATGTCAGTAAAATCCATTGAAATCAACATAATTCAGATTATGCCATCTACTACCAGCAAGAAAACATAGAATCTGTTTCCCAGAGTTGCATTAATGGTATGATTAACTGATGAGAATATGCCAATTCTTACTTTTGAAGACACAACTCTTTGTCATATAGTAGATCTTGCATGTTTTGGTTAGCCATATTAATACCTCCATATAAAAATAAAGAGAGTTTTGTTTAATCAGTTGGATGTATTATAGGTGTACATACAAAGTTCAGATCATCAAACTGGATGGGGTACCCTTCAAACCAATAATCACTGCCTCCATTATCCCCTCACCTCAAATATCTTCTCTGGCTGTTTGAAAGTTTTGGAGAGAGAAGGAGCATACAGTTGTGGATGGCAAAAACCAACCTTGGATTGGGAGAATGTCCAAATATTTTGGGCAAAAAATCATTTTTTTTTTGTATTTACAGGGTTTTGTAGCCCATCTGAGCCAAAAAAATGACAAAAAAATACCTTGCAGCATTGATTAAGCGCTCAAAATAGATGCTACAGGTACTTTAGGGACCTCCTAGAGGTATAAGACTATGAATAAGCCTCAACTAAACCCATAGTTAGGGGTTTGAGTATGGCTTTTGGGAGGCATGTACAAATACACTCATGCCAGACAAATAAAAAAAAGGAACCGCCGGGGTAAAAGCTTAGCGGTTATAATTTTGATCTCTGCACATCTGTAGGAGTTCAAAATTGCAATAAAAATAAGTCTTGGGGCATATGCCCCCCAGACGTAGGCCCTGCATTTTGATTTTGGATTTTGCGGGCGGGGCTGGGTTGGTTCTATATATGGCCTGGATGCATCCGGATATCCAGCTGTTTTTTCAGGGGAATCAGCCATCCACATCCGCTGGTAGGTATTCCTCTGCCTTAGTAGGTATCCAAGTGGGTATCTTGGGATATCCACCCCTTAAACCAATGGTGCCTGGAGGGGCCCAGGGGATGGCCAACAATTGACCAGAAGGTCTTCCTTCTGGCCAATGAGGTACATGTGCCTCTTTGGCCAGATGGAAAACCTTCTGGTTGATGAGGTACATGTACATACATTGTTGGCCAGAAGGAAGACCTTCCAGTCAACAAGGTTGTGCCAGAGGTGGGCCACTACGCTACGCTTTTGGCCTGGCGCGCACTTCTAACCCTAACTTTTACGGGGGGAGTCATCCATCAACTGCCCATAAAAGTTGTATTTTTTTGGGTTTCTTGTTGGTTGAGGTTATTTTTTGGCCCCCAAGAACCCGGTTCAACCCCCAAATAGTGTGAAGTGCCGCATGGCACCCACCAATTGTGACTACCCAATAAGCAAAGTCAGACTTTGCTGCAGTAAAAATTGAGGTTGAAAAAAAATATAATTAAAAAATTAAAATACATGGAAAATAGACTGTATGTACAGTGCGTGGACCGTTATTTTTGGCTGCCTGTTTTGGACCCCAGAGCTCTAAAACACAGACTTGAAGTTATGAGAATTGTTCAGGTGGTGCATAATAGGTCCCAGAAAATGAATACAAAAAAATAAAAACAAAAATTAAAGTTTCAAAATCTGTGAAAAATAAAAAATAAAACTGATTTTTTTCAAAAGCTTGGATATTCATTTTGGGGGAGTGGGAGTGCTGAGAGAAAGAAAGAGTGGAACATGGGAAGAATGATTGTAAATGAAAAAAAAAAAATCAGAACCAAAAAAGATTTGGCCAGGTTGGTTGTCCAGGACTCCAGATGGGAGCCAAAACAGTAAATTCTAGTGCTTTACTGCAATGTGGGCTGGTGAATTCCCCAATCAACAGCTCTTTGAAGCCATCTGGAAAGCAATTTTTCCAAAATTTTCATTCATAATCATTCTTCTAATATCCCAATCTTCCTTTCTCCCAGCACTCTTGCTCCCCCAAAATGAATATCCAAGCTTTTGAGAAAATAAATTTTATTTTTTATTTTTCACAAATTTTGAAACTTTGCTAGGTTCAGGTATTTTTTCATATTCATTC